AATATAATATTATTATAATATATAATAAATTTAAAATAGGTATAAAATAGCTTTATACCTTTTTATTAATTTAATTATTAATTATATTAAAATAACTTTAATAAGTTAAAAGAAAATATAAATATAATTTAATAAAGTAATATTAAATAGCTATAATATTAATATAAAATTTAAATAAGCTAGATTAAAGTTCTACTTTATTATTATTAATAGCTTAAACGTTATTAATAGTTATTTTAAATATAAACACTTATTAACTTTATTTAAAAAGTTTAATAAGGTAAATAATTTTAAAAGTTATTATAAACGGAAGTTAAATTTAAATAAATAACAATTTATATATAATATAAGTATAAAAATATTAATAAGCTTATATATTTAATACATTTTAATATATTTATAATAATTAATAAAGTTAAATTTATTAAATAAATAATTAAATTTAAATAGAAAATTAAGGTTAAGCTAATATATATACTTAATATATTTAATATAATTATAATATATTAATATAGGTAGTATAGCTATAAGGTTAATATATTTATTATAATATTAATCTTTTATCCTTATAAACTATTTATATTTTTTTTAGGGGTTTTTACCTTTAATATCCGAATTACCCCTATAGTTTAAATGATTATTAGGCGGAAGGCCGGTAAATTTACTATAGCCCTAACCTAAACCGCCCTTTCCGTTATTATCGTTATTATTATTACTGCTTAATAGCGGTACTAATAATGCTAAAGAAGTAAGTAATATTAATAATACTAATAGTAATAATATAAGTATTTTATTATTAATATATTCTTTATTTATATCTTTATTATACTTAAAGAATAATAATAATAGTAGCACTTTACCTTTACTATTATAAATAATATAGTTACTTTTTAAAGTTTAAACCTTACTTTTATCCTTTTTACCCTTAAAAGGTATAATTTAAATAATAATAATAATAATAATATAAATATAATAAAAAAAAAGGAAGATAAGGTAAAAACGGAAATAATATAATAACTTTTAACTAAAATTAATTTTTAAAATTAATAATAGTTAAAAAAAAAAGAAAAAAAAAAAAAGTTAATAAATAATTAATAAAAATATATATATAAATTTTACTATAAAGGTAATATATAATATATATAATTTATAATATAAATATAAGTTTAATATTTATATACCTTTATTATAATAACGCTTTATATAAATAAATTATATTAATATATTTATTATAATACTTTATATTATATACTTATATAATTAAACTTTTTATTTTATATTTAATTAATAAATTAATTATATATTAGATTAAGGATAACTTAATTAAGGAAAAAGAAATAGTTATTATATTATAATATTTTAAAGCCTTTAAAATATATATACTTTATATATATTATATACCCTTCCTATATATACTTTAAAGGAGATTTTTCTCTTCTTTAAACTTTAGTTTTATTAAATACCTATTATAAAATTAAAAAAACTTATAATATTATACTTAACCTTTAAGATTTAATCTACCTATAACATTAAATAAATCTTTATTTTTAAAAAAGATATTTAAATTAACTTTATAAATTTTAACCTTTTTTATATATTTTAAATTTAAGCTTATAAGGTTACCTATTAGGTTAACTATTTTAAAAATAGCCTATATAACTATATTAATTAGCTTAAAGTTAATTTTATTAAAAGTACTTTTAATTATACTTTTTTATAACGTTAAGGTTAAGCTACCTTTTTTTATTTAAGCTTAAAAAGGAATAATTTATTTTTATAGCTATTAAATTAAAGTAGCTTAATTAATAACGCTTATTTTATTTATTAATTAAAGTAATTCTATTAATCCTTTATTTAAATTAAGGTTTAATAGTAAAAGTGTTATATTTTTTAATTTAAAGTTTAAAAAGTTCTAAAAGTTATTTTCGGATTTAATATTAATTTTTTCTTCTTTAATAAAAGGGATAGAATTTTAAATTAATTATTTATTAATTATAAAAACATTAGGTATAATATATAATAATAATTATTAAGATTGTTTTAAATTATTTATTTTAATTAAGGTTTTTTTAATTTTAAAGGATATAGGGTTTAATTTTATTAATTAGGTTTATTATAAGGTTATATTTATTTATTATTAAATATAAAATATAATAATAAGGAAAAAGGTTTAATTTATAAATTATAAATAATAATAATTAAATATAAGTAATATATTTATATAATACTTATTAATAAGGAAAAGAAGTTTAAAATAATATTATAATTAAAGGTTTAAAGTATAGTTATATTAATATTATAAATAAAGATTTTAAGTTAAAGAAAAAAGAAAGGAAAGATAAAATTAAAATATAAATATATATAAAGATATATATAAGTTAATAATTATTATAAGTTATATAATTTTATTAATATAGGTTTTATATATTTTTATAATATCCCTTTATAATATATATAATATTCCAATATAATATATATCTTTAATATATTTATTATAAATACCTTTTAATTTAATATTAACTTTAATTATATTTTTAATTATTAAATTATATATTTAATTTATTAAATATTAAAGGTTTTCCTTTTTAATTCTTTTTATATTTAATAATATATTATTAATAATTTAATATTAATATTATAATATTAAATCTTTATATAATAAATAAATTTAATATAATTTTTAAATTTATTTAAAAGGTTAATAATAAAGGAAAAGGGTTTAATAAAGTTAAAAGGGTTATAAATAATATTAAAATTTAAATTATTATTAATTAAATTCCTTTAAATAAGGTTTAAAATATTAATAAAGTAATAGCTTATTAATTATTATTTATTTATATTTAAATAAATATTATTATTTATTATTATAAATTCCCTTTAATATTTTTTATTATTTAAAATTTATTTATTAATATAATTTTTAAAATTAAAACTTTAATATAAATTTACTTTATTATATTTATTTATTATTATATTAAATTTTAATATATTTTATATTTAATATCTTTTTATTTAAATTTTTTATTAATATATTTATATTTTCCTTTAAAGTAATAATTTAAAGTATTATATTTATTATATAAAGTAATAACTATTAAAAAAGCTATTAAAATTATTTTAAAACATTTATAAATTTTTATAATATATCCTTTAAAGTTATAGCATTTAAATTTAAGTTTTATAAAGCTATTATAATTATTAAATAACTATTAATAATATTAATAATTATATACCTATATATAGGAAGTTTTATTAAGGTAAAAATATTAAGGGTTAAAGGTTTTAACTTTATAGCATTTTAAAGGTAAGTTTAAAGTATTTATATAAATTAATCCTTAAAAAAGGATATTATTTATTTTTTAAGTATAATAAACTATTATAATATTACTTAATTATAGTTTTATATATTTATTTTATTATTATATAAGGAGGGAAGTTCTAGTTTTTGCCCCTTATTCCCTTTCCTAGCGTTATATATAATGTTCCTTGGTCCGTGCTATATATCGGAAATTAAGCTTCCTTGGTTCCGTGATATCGCGATAGGCTCCGGGAAACTCGACAAGGTATTCTGGGCTGGGTACGGCATCACCTTCGCTAGTAAGATTCAACTGCGCGCACTCAGGATATATCTGTAGATTCGCTTCAAGGTTGATGACCTCATGGCGAATCAGATAGTTGCCTGGTTTGAGAGGTTTGGGAATTGTCATATTTACGCCCCTCCTGACGATGTAATATCCAGCCTCCCAGGCATCGCAGGTGCTGATGGGTGTGTCGCTGCAAGAATAGCGAGTTAGAAAGTAACCTATTCAGTTATATATTGCTCTCAAGGATGAGAGGTCACAAACCCCCCAACCGCGTCTGGGGGGAGACTTCAAAATATGCATACCCGGGTATGGGACGTGGCTGCCACTCCGGCCATGAGGTTCGGGAGTAACCTGTTTCCCATACCTTAAACCACCTCTTTCCGGTGCCATCCCATTCATCACAAGGGCCTTCACAGTTAGCCATATAGACCATAACGGGCCCCTGTCCGTGTGGCCAATAGTATTCTGGCCCCTGACACTTCATCGGGGGGTCATAGTCTCCGTAAGGAGGACTTGGTGGAGTCGTGGGGAAGGGTAATTACCGGAGGGTTGACCGGGCACGGTGGAGCCAGTTACCAAGCTGTCACGTTGGCACCTGCACGTACGGGTGCGTGAAGTTTCGGGAGTGTCTTTGCCGCCGGGTTACCGCGATTACAAGCTAGATTTGGATGCTGCGTAGTCAATATAGGGTCAGGCCACCATCGTCGCTGTATTGACACCTGGCCTTCCTCGGGAAGCCAGGGGTAGTGGCTAGCACACTTTAGAATTTTTACAGTCGAGATAACTCGCTGACAGAACTGACCCCGCGTAATCGATGCCATCGATCTTATAGTTGTAGATGCCTCCATGGCTTTCAACCCTCGCCGCTGCTAGAACAATCGTTAGAATTCCCATGGACCTCATTGCAGCCGTCGGTGTACTTGAAAGATGACTACAATTTAGAATACGGGTGACTTTCAGGAGTGACTACCTTCGTCAATCGTTAGCGAGGGGCGACAAACGAGGATGCCTAACATACCTGCTTGACTATCTATCAATAGATAGAATCCGGGAAGGTAGATTCCGTCGGAGTACGATGCTATGATTTATCCGCTGCATGTGGCTTCTACCATCCCGATGTCGTGAACCGTTTCGGCACCGAGCTATGCGTTTAACACAATATGGAATTGTAGCAGACACTTATGGCTCTGCTTATTAGCCAGTGATCGCCCCTCTTGCACAAAGCCACAGAAAACACTTGAAATACCAGCAGCGAGTACAATGGCAGTAGAAGCTTGCCCTCTAGATATACACACATAATACAGCTAGCTTCACTCATATAGTTTTCCATTGCAGAAAAAGGTAGGATCTTGTCCCGGTGCTTATTAGGCAGATCTGTAAGAGCGAAAGCTATCTGTACATGCCTGCACCTGTAAATTGAAGCTATTTTCAACCCTACTTTACTTAGCTATCTGTAACTTTAAAACCTTAACGTTTACCTTTATTACTTTTACCTTCAATTAATACTTCAATTTTGTAATTTATTAGCGGACTTTATTTATGCTTCGTCGGCTTTATATGATCTAGGACTTCCTTCGCCCGCTGGACTCCTTTGCCTATCTGTTGGTTCTATGTGCATATGCATAGTCTATTCCCAGTAAAAGCTACCCCGGTCGAGTCCACACAAGAGGTATCTCGCCCTCAGTTACTTGCTCGGAAAGACTCTCAACGTGGACTCCCCTTAGCCTTGCCTCGTGTTTGTATTAAAGCTGAGTAGGGGGGGAGTAGTGTAACAATCTGACCCTGTTCCTCCATCTACCCAATCGCTTCTATCCATAGCTTTACTTTCGCAAAAGGCGTAGCTTGCTGTGGGTAGCGGCAGACTTGGCAGGGTTGGCCGTATGACATCTGCTCTCTTTATGTACATGTATTGCGTGCTTCCACAGGTCATCGGAGCGGCGAACATTTCGGTGGTACCGAAGACGTTGGCTTCTATACAAGGTCGCAACCAGTGATCGATATCCCTCGCTATCTCTTCGAGGGCTCGTATTACGTCTGGGGCGTTGATATCTGCCTTTTCCTTCTGACTTAGTGAGCGCAGACTACCCGGACGCTTAGGCCAAATAGTTCTTTCAAGTTCGCCAGCACACTCCGAGGCGCTTCCTATGAGTTTCTCAACTTCATCGCTGAGTAATAGTACTTGTGGCTTTAGAAGGCTAGGGTGCTGTTGGCTGCGTCGCTTGTGTGCTATGTTTTTAAGATGTTTAGCCAAAATTGGGAGCACAGGCTCCAAGTTCTCGGGTTCTTTGAGAAAGGAGTGGCTCCCTTTGCTTTGGACCGCTAGCTTCTCAGTCTGGTCGCCAACGACCCGAAATGGCGGAAGTAGAGTCGGCAAAATCGTGTTCGGACCCTTGGCTTGGTTAAAGTTGGAGTGATTCGTCTCATTGTTAGTGACTATGGATAATTCTTCGAAGTGACCAACGAGTTTCGTCAAAATGACTTTGGCTTTCTCAATGCAGGCTCGGTTCGTCGTGTCTTCGAGCTCGGGGTCGTGAAAGATGTTGACAGCTTCGCCCCAGCGGGTAAGACGGAGTCTCATAATACTGAGTCTAAGAAACCCTCGATTATTTGGCCTCCCTTTTAATGCATAATCAAAATAAGAGACACATGTGGCGAAAATAGTTGCAATGCTCTCGTTGGTCAAGTCGAGTTCTGATAAGTTAGACATGTCTTAAGACGTGCAGGTTGCGATCGAGTATTGATGGGCGCACTTCAAGAATTTTGAAAGGGCATAGAAAATGTTAATATAATTCTGAAAGAAAAAGTCCAAGGCTTCAGGAACAGATAGCGTAGAGGGACTATTAAGTAGATGAATGGGCTCTCACAGAAGGAATCTAAATTTTACCTGTTTGCTACTTATCAGTACCATTTGCTTATATGAGCCATTTATGTTCTTTCAGCTTTCTGCTGCTGAAAGTTCTGCCCACCAATTGTAATATCTGAACATCAAGCCCGCCCTCTTTCCGTGGCAGCACTGCCACCACAGTCGACATTTTGCCTCATATGAGCACTTGAAATTGGAACGCCACACAGCTGTCGTTAAGGTGGCTTCATTATGCCCGCAAAATACAGCCAATGTAATCCAAAGGCTGCCCTTCCACATCTACACTCATATATACCGCTCTAAGACTCACGTGTCCGCCCACACTCATGGCACCAAGAACGCAGCTCCGCCTACTATGTCCAGGTGTCAAATCAGAGAACTTTAGAAAGGTTGAGGATGGGAATTCCTGGAACCAACTGCTAAAGGTAATACCAGTCTAGAAATATCAATATGGATCAGGAGGATCAGTACTGGTCTCACCTTATGTCTACTCAACGCCCGTTCTATCCGGGGTTCATTAGGCAGATGTCTAGTCAGGTTGAAGGTGGTGAGGATGAAGGACAAGTTGTAGTAATCAACTTCCAGGATGAAGCTAAGCCACAGTACCAGATTTACTCAAGACCACAGGATTTACGTGGGCAATTCGATAACCCTCCTCTACCGCCATCTACCGATGCCGTCCGGTCCAGGCGATTATTCGTTTTGGAGGGGCTTTCAAAAAGTTTCATACAACTGCTTGGATCTAGACTGCGAGTTCCACCATCTTTCTTCGCCGCGCATTGTCCGCATACAGGAAGGTTCGTCGGCATCTTGCTAAACCAGACGCTGCGGGACTACGAGACTCAGAGCCGCTTTACTCTGACATTCCCAGAATGCATTCAGCGACCATTGATGAGAAAACGGATGAAGCGGATCCTGTGTACTTCAATCAATCTAGCATTACTCGCCAGTTACACCGCATAAACTTGTTTGGGGATGTGAAGGATCCTCTTTGGAGCTTTGAACGGGTATCGTTTTGGAGTACACGTGAAGGGGGGAGCTGGGATGGCAAGTCAGATCCCTCCCTTGATACTTGACTCGACATTTTCTCACATATATTAGCTGTTCTACTTGTTGATCCACCCCTCAGAGACTTCGTTATCCGCATGGGTGACCCCGTGCCCCGACGTGTCCTTCATCTAAATTCCAAGAACTTTAATCCACCAGGGATCGCCGAGGATAGCTTGAGTCAGGACGGGTCTTGGTTCGCACCTTTCCTAATGAACTGCGCTGGTGAGGTGCCTGAGATGAAGTCCATATTTGACGACATCATCAGCTTGTACCAAGGTCGTCAGTATCAATCAACTGCAGATCCTAGGGCTTGCACAGACATTTGTAGACAACTAGTCCTGTCGGCCTGACTGTCTCGGCTCCGTGTTGCGGAAGCTGAGGTTGTCCGTAAGCAGTACCAGATGAGTGTTGGTTCTACCACGTCTACAATCAACTACCACGTGTGGCTAGACAAGTCCTGGACGCAGCCCTGGACGGAGAGAGAGTTTGGCGGGCTTATGCGGGCAAAATCAGCTCTGGAATCTATAAAGACGAGCCTCTCCTACAATATGGACGCCCTCGGGATAGGTGGACAGAGTTCGGTCGGCGAGGAATGGGAGGACAAAGCATGGAACAGCCTACAGAGTGCGGTTACAGCCCTCAAGATGAAAGTCGATCTTATGTCCGAGGCCTACACTCAAGCTATATCCGTACGAGAGAGCATCATTGCGAATCAACAGGCTCGTCAGGTTGGTTACCTAACATCACTCGCGACTCTTTTCGTCCCTATCTCATTCATTGCCGCTGTCTTCTCAATGGGAGGGGACTATGCTGCCGACCAAAAAAGGTTCTATGTATTTTGGGCTGTCTCCCTCCCAGTTGCGGTGGTTGCCTTGTCCATATCCTTTTTCGGAGGCTATATTCAGAAGCTGTTGCCAAACCGCTTGATTACTCGAGCCACAGAAGAATCCGCCGTATAGCAATCACTATAACCAAGTCTCATTCTTGTTATCTCCCTTCTCAGGGAACACGTCGCTATCATGTGATCGAAAGCGTCAAAGGGTCTATCTTTTCCTCTCAATCCAACCATGTAGTAATGTCATTAGAAAGGACCACCAATCCTATTATCTTTTTAGGGCCAATTATTCAGCTACCATCTTTATAGCATACTACGACTAACATCCGTGCCGAGACCATATTGACGTTCGAGCTTTTCAGCTGCTATCATCCCGACCTGGTAGGCATAAGATTGCGTATGAACACTGCATGCGTAAGCGCGTTAGTGGTTTTCCCCCTTGTATTTCAAAATCAGTGAGAAGAGCGTACCTTGGTAGGAATGGAAGCACGCTCAAGTCTACCACTCGGAGGTTCTGAATGCCGTACACCCTAAAATCCGGGTCTACGCAAGCACCATCTTCGTCTTGTGTATGGCCGATTCTACACGTGCCAGTCATATGCCATGTGCTTGTAAGATTCTCTCTCCAGAAGTCAAGAATATCTTCCTCACTATTGGTTTTGGGACATATGTGCACTGCCTTCGGATCCCGACTTTTCGATGCCGCCGAATGATCCATGATTCTAAGAGCCTCCTGTGTAGATTCAATGACAATACGTTTGTCCCACTCGGATTCCAAAAATATCGGACGTATTATCGGCGGCGTTTCCGGGTCGAGCGATTGAAGCTTGACTTCTCCGAGCCCTTGACCGTTCAATAGGAAGATATTCATCATTGATGTAGGGCCCATCCCTTCAAGCCGTACAGCAGGTGCGAAATGGTGCACCTCGAAGGTCGGAACAGTTTGGAGGCTGAGTCGCTGCCTCTCACTTTCATGCAGCGAGTGAAACTCGGGACTTGATAAGGCTGATTGGTTCTTCAAAAATCCCATTGCAGCTCCGCCTGTAGGAGGGCCGTCATAAAGGGGTATTCTGGGATTGGTATTAACAGAGAAGTGCATCTGCACGTGGCAATGATCTCTCAGATTCTGCCCAATATTTTCATTCGCATAGACAATAGGAATTCCAAGTTCAATCAGGTGGTGCGCAGGGCCGATGCCAGATCGCATTAGAATCTGAGGAGAGGAGAGTGTGCCAGCGGACAAGATTACCTCTTTGCCACACTTCAATACCTTACCATTCGTTAGCTCAACTCCGAACGCCTTTCCGTCCGCTACAAGAATTTTCCGAACGACGGAGTCCGTTTCAATCTTAAGATTAGGAGGTGCTCCGCGTAATAGATCTGCAGCAGTAGACCGAACGCCTTGGTGGCCCGATAGGGGGCCGAATAATATGCCAACATAATTGCCCACAGACATATCAGTGATCAACGGGTACCCACAAGCCTCCCACACGTCAGCAGTTTGAATCATATCAGTATCCCATCTCGTAGTTTGGCTGGTAAGATGAAGGGGCCCGGAGACACCATATGCGTCAGGCCCGTGGCTACAATATCGCTCAGCTCCGACCCCTGGCTTGATCAGATGATGATAATTCTCGAGTCTTCGAAACCGGGGTTCAACGTTTTCCCACTTCCAGCAATCATCTCCTGTTACTCTCGCTATTTCATCCCATTCTTCGCGTGGTCCCCGGACCCAACAGGCAAAGTTGATGGCTGTCGACCCTCCCAATCCTTTCCCGGTGTCCATGCAGATCTCGCGGTTATTGACATGAGGCATAGGTGCGCTCTTGTACCCCCAATTTTGGGAGTTGCTGTTGTATTGTGTGAAGGTGTTGTTGAGGTCGCGGAGAGCTGGGTCGCTGTTTGCGCTCCCGGCTTCAAGGAGCGAGACGCGAGGGCGACATTTACTCCTGGCTAAGCCGCTAGCAAGAGCACATCCGGCTGCTCCACCACCGACGACAATAAAGTCGCAAAACTCACTCTCAACTGCCATATCCAAAGCGCGATGTGACATGGGGTGAGGGAGATAACTGGAGGGAAGGCTGGGATATTTACACCACCCAAGGGGTGCGGATTGGGTGATCTCAGCTCAATAAGAGAGAGGGGCTGCGGGTATGCAACATCACGATGAACAGTAGCAGTTCCACAGGCTAATGTAGTTAAATGGCAATAGTACACGAATATCTTAACGAGCCTCGATGCGTTCTCAAATCAGGTTTCCGCCTATACTTGGAGAATACCACTATTGGTCAAACAGTATTGTTGACCTCGCGAGTTAGCCAGGGCCGAGTTAACATGCTAGATCGCGTGCAGTCCTGAGGATGACGGGGATTTTCTATTGATGGCACAACAAGTTGACTTTATATTTCACAGATACACCTAAAATGATCGTCCCCTCTCTTTAAACCACACTGAATACAATGCATATTTATGACAGAATAAAGCTAGCGATTCATCATCATTGGTTCTCCATCTTGATCCAATGCGGGGTAAGATCTGGTGATTGGGGTTCAGCTCTTCTACCGGTATATTCAAACGCAGCATTTACGTGAGATACGTATTTAGGTGTAGAGACGGATAGAACTGAAACTGACAACTGTTACATTCATTAATCTGTCAGTCATGTAGATGTATGAGTTTAAGTGTAGCATACCTCTATGATTAAGCTTTCAAAACGCGGTGCTCATCATTTCTTAGATCTCCCTTCATTCGAACTCCTCCTATGTGCCGAGTCCATTAGTGTCCGTTGGTGTCTAGCACAATGATCGAGGCCTAGGGAGAAGTGCAAATCGTGTCGCAAGGGTTGGTGCTCGAGATTCTGATACTACACGAAGCCGCTTAAGATCTGATACTTCCAAATATTCCACATGATTAATATATATAACAAAGAATATCATGAGAATCGTTATTGTTATTTCTTTTTTCTAAACCGAGGGCCTGTCTATTAAACACTAGAGTGCAGCCAGGGGACACTGGAGCCCCAGTGCATCTCTACTGGTAGTCCCCCGCCATAAATTTTCCAACAATAGCCCCCAAAAACCAGCTTTTCGAAAGGAACTTAATGTGCGAAAGCTGTAGACCACTCCTGCGCTCGTTCAAGCAAATTTCCAATAATTACTGACTTTAAGGAAGGTTACTCGTAAGTTGGTTAACATAGTAGCAGTAGCAGGAAGAATAGCAGGTAAGGTTGGTGGCCAAGGGGCCCTAGTCAAGCCCGCTATTCTTATATGCCCTTGTCGTCTGTTTTCACCCCCAATATAACCAACTGTCAAGTACTTCAGGGTCTATGCCTCGGTCCAGGGAGACAAGACAGATGCCCCAATAGACAGACAGGAATTGTTGAAAGACATATCTAATTGGCTCAGAAGGGTATCTAAGGTTCCTAGGTACAGCGGAGCTTGGTTATCGAGTACCTAGTGCATCCGTTGGTGTAGACCATACAGCCCATATCCCATACGACTACACCGATTTCATTCCAGCTTTCTCCCTTCGAGTCCCAGACACTATGACCACCGCCGCAGCAGCCGAGGCAAGACCTCTCTCTTTCATGGAGACGCTTGATCCGCTAGTCTCCTTCTACCGGCCTTCAGACGCCTCAAGCTCTGGCTTGAGCGGTAGCGTAGATCACCAGCCGCGACTCATTATCGTCGCCAGTTGGACTGGCGCCAGAGATGTCCACATCGCAAAGTACATAGCCAGATATACGGCTCTGTATCCTGCGGCTCAGATCCTGCTTCTCAAGAGCACCACAAGCCACATTATGCGCCCATCGCTGATCGGCCCCTCAATGAAGCACGCTGCTTCCGTCATTCGCGCCGCTTTCCAGACGCCGCCATCATCGTCTTCGCCAGATCTTCTCATCCACATGTTCTCCAATGGCGGCTCCTCCAGCATCGCGAATCTATACGAACAGTATGCTGCCTTAGCTGGTCCTAATGATGATAAGCGCCTCCCTTTACACGTTACTATCTTCGATTCGTGCCCGGGCACCTATAGCATCTCTCGTGCTGTGGTTTTCTTCAGTGTCAGCCTTTCACCATTCCAACAGTTGATCTCTGCGCCGATCTTCTATGCTTGGGCCACTTTGTGGTCTGTCTCCATAGCCCTAGGTCTCACGCCTGACTGGTTAAGCAACTGGGGAAAGACACATAATGACACGGGTAATGTGGCTGAGATGCGGCGGGTGTACATTTACAGTCCCAGCGATGCATTGATTGACTATAAGGTTGTTGAAGCACATGCGGCGGAGGCTCAGACGAAGGGTTTCTCTGTTGCATTAGAGAGGTATGAAGGTTCGGCACATGTCGCACATGTGCGGAAAGATGTGACTCGGTACTGGAAGATTGTTGAGAGACTCATGGAAGGCTCTGAGATATCTGCTTAGTGGTAAAGAGGTGATGGGTTCCTTGCGTAATTCTGTTGCGACTTTGCGGACCTGACTGATTGCCCAAAACCTGTCTAAGCACGTTGCTAGATTTCATAGTTCAGTTCTACTAATAATCATTTCATCTACTGCGCCGGTGAGTTCATTGCACCGTGTTTCCATAATACAGATCACGCCCTGGTTAGCCAATAAGTACGTAGGCAGGTAGTATTGGAGACATACCGCTCACCTGCACACTCGACCTCTTCGCAGGAGTACCTGATGAGGGGATGAGACGGTCGCTTCTATTGCTGAGCGTGATATTATCAGCTTATTGAGGATTGCTGCAGGAGTTGTCGGGACCTAACGTGGGTTCAGAGTAAGGTGGAATAAATTGTCTTGTAAGATGATATCCATGTGAGGCTTCAGCTGACTATATAATGTCAGTCATATCATCAACCTTCGCAGCATAATCACCATCGAAGATCATGATGAAGTAGGAAGAAACAATCTCATATTGAGCTGTTAGTCAGTTTCACATTTGCTCCTAATCTAAAGCCAGGGGGTATCGTGGCTATGGTGATGATGGGGAAACTGGGTGAAATGAAATCGCACCACGCCATATCCTCGAAAATAAGCGAGGTATAGAATGCCCAAAGGACATCACCCGCAACGGTATAAATCTTCCCCTCTTCCCCCTCTCCCCATTTTCAACTATGGTCGCGCAGCGGCCATCTACCTTCATTTCACTCATTTCACGAAAAGCCTATGTTATTCCTTTGAAGACGTTTTGAAAGGTTTCTAGCCGTCCCCTGAACTCCAAATTCGTCGTTGTGGCATATTAGAAGATAAGGTTTGGGCTTCGTTGGGTCCGAGAAGGCGGACGTCATGGTGATGAATAATACTCAACCATTACAGACATATTGTGATCTTCGCTCATCTCCTCTCGCCTTTCTGACGACAAGTAATTTCCTTCAGAGTGCGAAAACAATTCCATAGAGGGTGCTGCAGGAAATATCGCACAACTCTTCCCCTTCCTCATACTTCTTTCGATCCATAATTTTATCCAAGACCACACGTCAACAGCGATCCGTGTAAAGGAACTCTATCATATCTGTGCTCAACTCATACCCGTCGGCTACCTTCGGCGTAGACCAACTGAGAGCCGCCGCCTTCAATGAATGCCGCTTGTTTCGCATTAGGTTCGGTATGAGGTTCGGTTGTTCGACAAAAACCAAAGTCAAGGAGCGATTACATATAAGACAGCCACCTAGGTAAGAGATAGTCGTCCGTCCTAATTTATGTAGTAATGAATGATACAACTATCTTCATATAATGTGGTTGTTGTGATTACAGATAACCCTTCTCAGAAGGAGGCACTTCTAGGTTTGTTGATTGTAGTAGCGGAGATGAGATTCATATATCCAGGACTGTCATGATTAGCTAGCAAATTCTAGACGTTGTTCAATGAACAATCTAATGATACTAAGATTATCGTTTCATTCGGGGTCTCGCTAATCGCGAATCGTGACGTTGCCCGACACTCATAGGTAAGTCGTCAGGCGAGGTGAACAATTTTTAAGGCCTATTCCCGGGGTCCGGGATCCTTCCTTGCTCCATCTCCGCGGCTCTTGATAACGGCAAGTTGTTCCGCAAAGACTCTTGACCCAATATAAAGACTTGGCAGTGATCCATTTGCCGTGTCCGTTTCCCGGAAATGCTCCCCACAATGAAGGGCAGACAGGTGTCAAGGTTTACCGAGCGTGCTGACTGACGCAACCCACACAGTTAATGCCGTAAGATGACCACCGGTACAACTCTTGCGGGGGTCAGCCGCCGGCGTAGCATCCCAACAAGCTGTAGTAGGTGCGGTAGGGAAGTTGAGTTATGCAAAAAGAAATATGGCATCGCATCACAACACAGTATGTCTACCTTCGGAGTCGCGGAGTCGCGATCCATTTTGTGCCAAACCCCGCGAACCACAAAAAGAGCTTAGTTGGCTATCCCGCTGCCCTTCAGGGCCCCGCCATCAAACAGCGGCTGCGCCATATCGCGTTGATGGTAATCGACGCCAAAGAGAAATAGAGCTCTTTAACACTTCACCAAGACGGGAGTCCCGTCTGACTTCTGCAAACCAAATTTGTGAAAACGGCACCAGATTTCATTAATACGTGGTGTAGACGTATGTCGAGCTGACATCAACAGACCAGACCCTCTTTCATTCTGCCGATTGTGGGCGTGGCTTATGGTCAAAATCAACTGGCCTTTGTCCGTCTATCCAACTACGTACGTACATCTGCGAGGGAGGTTAGAGTGTCAAGTCTGGAGTTGAAGACATAGACGCGATGGCCATCATCAATCTTCTCGCCTCACCTTGGGCGCTCGCCGCCGCTCTGGTTGCCGTTGCTGCCTACTATGTTTACCCTTATTTCGTCACCTACGGCCACTTCCGTGGGATTCCAGCCCCATTCCCCGCACAGTTCACTAATTGGTGGCTGTTGTACGCATGCCGACGCGGCAAGCGGTATCTCATCGTCGACGAGGTACATAAGAAATTAGGGCCGGTAGTACGAATCCAGCCGAACCATATCAGCATTGCTGATGATGAAGCTATCCCGATTATCTACGGACACGGAAACGGATTCTTGAAATCCGAGTTCTACGATGCTTTCGTGTCTATCAAGCGGGGCCTGTTCAACACGCGCGATCGCGCGGAGCATACTCGCAAGCGGAAGATGGTTTCACATACATTTGCCCCGAAGAGTATCAGCCAGTTCGAGCCCTATAGTAAGTTACATGGATCGCACCCATGATTCGGGTCATTCGATTATCTGTTTAAAGGCCGTGGTGTCTGAGCGCACGCAATACAGGGCTTAGTCGTAGGATAATATACTGACTTCGTGTAGTCGCTGAGAACCTAGAGTTGTTTGTAAACCGATGGGATGAGCTAGCTGAAAAATCACCTCGCGGAGACAAGACTGCTCACGTCGATTGCCTGAAGTGGTTTAACTATGTCGCGTTTGACACCATTGGTGATCTAGCGTTTGGCGCACCATTCGGCATGTTGAAGGCGGGCGCTGACATCGCCGAGGTACGGATGTCCGTGGACGCACCTCCAATCTATGCGCCTGCGGTCGAGATTCTCAATCGCAGAGGTGAGGTATCTGCAACCCTCGGCTGTCTCCCTTCCATCAAACCATATGCAAAGTGGTTGCCCGACCCCTTCTTCTCTCAGGGTCTTGCTGCTGTCGAGAATTTAGCCGGGATCGCAATCGCGCGGGTCAAGGATCGTCTCGATAACCCGCCAAACATCAACCGAACCGATCTCTTGGCGCGACTGCAAGAAGGCCGCGATGAGAAAGGCGAACCGCTAGGTTTCCAAGAACTAACTGCTGAAGCCCTAACTCAGCTGATTGCGGGGTCCGACACTACATCAAACACATCCTGTGCACTTCTATACTATGTAGCCAAGACTCCCGGCGTGATTCAAAAGCTACAAGAAGAGCTCGATGCTGCCATCCCCGACAGCAACACAAAGGTACCAGATTATGAATCCGTCAGGAATTTACCGTACCTTGAAGCCGTGATCAATGAGACGATGCGCATCCATTCAACATCGGGCATTGGGCTCCCGCGCCAGATCCCGGAGGGCTCGCAGGGCATCCATCTACACGGACACTACTTCCCGGCAGGGACAGTCTTGAGTGTCCCGACGTACACGATTCATCACTCGAAGGACATTTGGGGCCCAGACGCTGATGAATTCCGCCCCGAGCGCTGGGAGAATGCGACAACACGCCAGCGCAACGCCTTCATTCCTTTCAGCTACGGGCCGCGATCTTGCGTGGGGAGAAACGTAGCCGAAATGGAAATGAAAATGATTGCCTCTACGTGGTTGCGCCGGTACGATGTCTTCTTGAGACAAGAGGTAATGGAGACACGCGAGGGATTCCTAAGGAAACCTTTGGCGTTGGAGATTGGGCTCAAGCGGCGCTCTGGTTAAGTTGCGATGTTCCCGGGATAATAGTCAACAAGGCGATCCGTCAATAGTTTCCTGCTGCGTGCCCCAACATGTATAAATAATGATATGAATGATTCAGATTGAGAACACTAATGTCAAGGTACGGATATAGTCAAATGCAACATAATTGAATTCACAGTATTGGTTCGAAGCTTAATGGGGTTCGTATTGAAGTCAAAAAGGATAATCGCCTAACTCTATTTCAGAAGCTGGCAGTATCCTGTGCTTCAGAAGAGTTCTTCTATTCGCTCCTTGTCTGATCATGTTATCGAACCATTCCAACCCCAAGCGTATGCAAATATAACTCTGTGGGCCATAGAATGTTTCGATCGTACAGTCCTCTTTACACTCGTTCACGACACCAGGAGTGATAATTCCTCAACCATAAACACCGATCCAATAATCACCGCCCTGATCCTTAATAATGGTGTTCATAATTCGACGTTCTTCTGCCATACCAAAACCCAACTGCTAGATATCGTTGCCATCACATGATGCTAATCATCAAGAGGAAGCGGCTTCAGGATCGAGCCCGCTTGGAAGTCGATATATATCCGGATATTTCGCGATTAGATTCGGGGTTCCCTTTCTGTTGTGATGCGCGTGGGGTTCGAAGACAAGATCGTGCCTTTTTCGATGACTGCCTGCATCCACCCTCTCTTTTGTTGAATGGTAGGATCATGCCTTTCCCTATTCTCGCACGGGCCTCTTCGTCAAGTAGCTCCAGTTGAACGAGTCTCCAGAGCCGAAATATGTCAGCTATGCCTCGGAAGCAAGGGTTCGCGAGCGCGCGCCCAACACCATCGCAGGCGCAAGGGTCTCCCATGTTATGGTTTAATCCAGACACCTGGTGCACATATGAACCCACTCGGTCTTTGTTGCCAAGCTCTTTGGTCTGGTCACAATCAAAGAGGGCCGACCAGTTGGAGTTTGTGTCGCGCCCCGAATCAAGAAGGCTAGTCACACCATCTTCAGGAGTGTGACGCTGACTCGGCGAGGGATTAAATTCTTCATCTCAAACTGCACCCCGTCGACAGTGTGTCAGCTTAACCTTGCGGCACAAAAAAGCCTGTGCAGTGTCGCGCAAAATCAGAAGAGAAAAGCTGAAGCTTTCTTAATATTAGCTTGATAATCCACGTAGAAGGGTGGTGTATTTGAAACTGACTGGAAGAGTATGCCAACCCTGTTTGCTGTGACCATACCGGGATCCGCAACTTTCCAAGAGCTTGTTCCCGGTCATCCAGCGCCGTCCAAGCCGCGGCACCACCACGTAAGCGCATGATGTCATCAGGCCACATTCCTGAATCGCGAAGATACACTCAATTCGCATTCAGAGGCAGATGCAAGTATGAGTTGAATAGGTCGCTTGCTGAAGCTTAATGCGTATGTTGCACTTCGAGTCCCTAATTTCCGCTCAGTACGCTTTAGATCTGATAAGGTAGATTCCAGCAGTGACAATGACGGCAGAGATAACAAGAACAACAGATAGCAGGGCCGCAGAGTACTGCGTCTGCTGCTCTGGCGTGGCGCCTTGGAATGTTTTAGTCCATGGTGGCAGGTCGATGGCACTCGATTGGATCACAAAGGCGAGAACGAAGACAATAAAAATGAGAATCGCAAAAAGTACTTGTATGATCTCAGTCAAGCTCTCGCGGAACTCCGCGCGCCGGCTTCTTTTCATTTTATAAGTATGTTATGAGTGGCTGAAGTAAAAAGATCAATGATAAACTGGGGAGAACCAACAAAAAAATAAAACGCTAAGCTGTGCAGTCGTCGGGCCTTTTCACTTTGCGGAGCCTTCTTCAGAAAGTCTGAGGAGAAGAAAAAGAAGGGAGGAGTGAGTGAGATGACGATGGTGTGGTGGCCAGCGTGTTAAAAACGCACGCGAGCAAAGACGGTGGTGGGATCGGGGTTGAAAATAGAAACCAAACTCCGAATCAGTTCAGTCAGCCCGTCATCAAACTGCGTACGGCGCAGTCAGTGAGCGAGCGAGCGAGCGAGCGTTAGATGGGATTCTATGAAAGGAATCTCTCCGTCAAGCTCGACTAACTAGGCAGGCCCCAAGAGCCCAAGGGTGCCCCATTGGATGCACAAAACAATGGGCTGTCCAAATGCCTCGGAAATGGAACCCTTGCCCTGGTCGCGTCTGCCTCGCCATCCAATCCTGTCAGGCCGTTATATGGGCTGCGCCACTAAAGACTGGAATTCAGAGAATCCTTCGGATGCTTCGGTACTTTTCAGCTGGCGCGAGGCCCCGCTCGTTGGAATAGAGGTGAAACGAGCAGAGCGAATTACAAATCCGGGTTGACAGATCAGCCCTACACTACCTACCTACTTACTTAGCACTTGTAGTCTGCTCGTAGCAAGCACACTTTCATAGTACTTACATAGCTGTACAGTACTTCTCCTACCCTGACAGCAAGCAGGTATTTTGAAGCTTGCGCTGACGCGTTGCCAACGTAGATGACGTACGTGGTGCAGATAGGTCACTGTCTCTGTGCGAGGGATCCCTTCAATCTAGAAGCGAGGCACTTTTTGTCTCAATGATATTAAATAGATTGAATATCCGGACATGTCTTGCAGCATGGTTGCCCAACCTTCGCTATTTTCCAATGGGGATGGGCATATGGGCTACACACGACCGACCGACCGACCGACCGACTGACTGACCTACCTGAGTCCACCTTGGTGCCCACCTGATGCCTCAATCCGGCTTTGCATAAATCACCCGCTTCGAGATTAGCACTGCGAGAGAAATGAGTCAGCAATCTTTGTCTTTCAACACCGAATTCGGTTAGGAAAAGCCCGAGAGCCGAGTCTAAACCCCGAGCCTCCCCAACCAAAGATAGAGAAAGATCTTTATTTTGGACGACATGCCAGCCAGATAGGAAGACGAGAATTAACACAACAATCAATGTTACTCACAGAGACGACTGCTGGGCCGGGGTTCTTGTAGCTCGTGGGAATCGGCCAGTACAAGTTGATCAAGATGCCGGGGTCAGAAGCCTGCGTTGACTAAGTCAGTCCGAAGATCACGAAAGCGTCGCGGAGGAGTCTCACCGAGTATGCGCCCGGAATAGAGACCCCGGAGAAGGTCTTGGTCCCGCTGCCGGAGACGTAAAGCTGCGCGCAGCCTTGGTAGAACTTCGCAAAACGTCAGTGGCAATTCACATCATGCCGTGCCATCGTCGTTCGTTCGTCTTACCTGAGCTCCACCGGTGGAACCCGCGCTGTGAAGACCAATGTGCTCGACGCGTAGCAGATAATAACCTGGTGTAAGGCAGCGCGGGATCGTAACGTCGACAGTCTGCTGACCATTTGACGCCCACGTCAATCCGGCCGAGGTGACGGTGGGGTGTTCTTCGTAGATCTTGAACCAGACGGCGCCGTCGCCGTTGAAGGTTTCGGCTGTAGCGCCAGATGGAGCCTTGGCCATGTAGAACTGCAAAGGCCCTGGGTGCTGGATGCCACCATCTACGCGGAAGCCAACCTTGTCGCCGGCATTGACGTTCTTCGTCTTGGCGCCGTTGGAGCCGGGCTGAAGCTCATAGCAGCGGAGTTGGCTATCTCTTACATCCTGGACTGGGCCGTGAGAGTAGTGGTTCGTCGTCTCACGAACATAGGTCCAGTCGGCCTCGGTAACGCCATTATGGATGAGGCCAGGCTAGGCAGTATGCGTCAGAACTACACTATCGGTGCGGAACCATGGAGCTTACAAAGGTGTCTGCGTATAAGTTAGCTCAACGCGTGTTGTTCGGACTTGAATATCTTCACTCACAGTGGGCTTGGGCGATGCCAAGTAGGGCAAGAACAGCAAGACACTTCATTTTGATTGGGCTTGGACTTATCAGGATCAGCTCTGGCTCACGAGGTAGAAGACTTGTTGCTCATGGGGAATGATCTGCATCTTTATAGGAGTAGTCAAGATTATGTCCTAAGTTCAACTTGGATTTACTGGCCAGATCGGGGATGTGGACTAGACAACTCCCAGTCTTGTTTGGCGGGGACTCGCGCCGGGAGTTTTCCCAGACATACGTGCCAATTCAGTTGGCGTGAATGAGATATCCTGGATACCGGAAGAGACGCGTTTCGGGTCTGCCATGTAAGCGAATGGTAACGCTTGAATGTGACGCTAGGCGATGGAGAGCTTGGTTCCGATATGCTGTTTCTCGGAGCGAGAAAACATGGATATAAAGGGAATGCATCCCGCTTCAAAATAGCACCATGGCTACCCTCATGACGCTATTGTGCCTGCAAAGTATCCATCCCTGATGACACCTTGAAGCATGCGGATGAGCTTGAATTTACAACATCTCTAAAGCATCAGCGCAGCCGCGTCGCAAGGTAAAGAAACTGCCCACTATCTCGACCGCTTAATTGAGATATACTAGCTTTGGGTCCTCTCGCTAAATATTGACCCTCTTTACGTCGAGCTCCTTACCTCTAGCGTGCTGCCAGATCCGAGATTTCAAGTTTCACTAATAATCTTCAAGAAATGTCACACACGAATTACGGAGCTTAGTCCCGCTCTCAAATTGGAAAAGCAGGATTAGCTTGGGCGCCAAGTCTTCAGTTTGGGAAATGCACGGGACATCCAAATCCAGAATCTTTCAACTAAGTCCCGTCCACCAAGAATTATCGCACCTATCATATCGACCGTAAGGACCGTAAGCAGTTGCAGGTCGGAAAGGAACACAGCCATAACCTACATACTAAAACGACGTACTATACTGCGTTGTCGATAAACATGGCCAACTGCTCCCAATTCATTCCATCTTCATCTCATCAAACCCCTTTCGAACAACGCCGTGGGCTACCATGATCTCTCGTAGACGATCGAGCTGTCACTTAGGCAGATAAAGTCAGAGACTAGTAGTCTCGTATGTTTCGGCAACTCGTGTTTGTATCATCCGTGATAATCCAATAGGTTGGTCCTTCATCTGAACAGGTACAGAGTGCCATTTCGTTGATTGCGTACGAATCCTCACAGCCGGGATCCTGAAGAAAAGTTTGTAAAGTACCCTCGCCCCAATAAGGACATGAGGATTCCCTGCCCTCCCAAAGCTTTTCAAAGTCTTCCCAGGTATAGTCACGTGTATATCTCGCTATCCGTGGGCATATTCCCCGAAAATCTGCTATGTTGTAGTTACAAGCATGAAGCACAGAGTCCCAGAGATTCCCTCTGTATGACCCTAGATCGTAATTGTTCAGTTCAGGGCAAATCAACTGTGCATATGCGATCTCAGAAACCGATCTTCCCTAGTTATCGACAGAGTAGACATTTGCTCCGCAACTGACGAGGCGAATCAGCGCTTTTGCCAACCAAGTTCAGACGGCCGGTGTATCAGCGAGCGAAAGAACCTGTGCAAGTATGTTCCGATGCTGCACCTGTTATCTGTTCGACATCCTCAATCAAGGAAGAATTTAGCCCATTGTTCTGAGCCGATGGGAAGCCATAGGGGCTTACTACCTTGCGGATTGTACTCGATAAGTCGTTTGATGACGGACTGGACAATGTTCGTGGTTGTTTTTCGTACACTTGATACAGCTTTGACCTCCGCAACGAAGAATGATTTTCTTGAATGATGATTCTGTTGTCTGATTGACTCTGTAGTCATTTTACAAGGTGTGTGAAGTCTATATGGTCTTATATCATTGCAAGTCTGATTCTGATACATGATGCGGCATACTTGTATCCGTCATGTCTCTCTTGCTAGTTTGGGAAGCATTAGAATATCGAATATAAAACGCTTACACACAAATGAGAGGAGGATAGAGGGATAAAAATGCATAAAAGTGTATAAATGTCGGTTAAGGGGCATTAAATGAGGGGTTAGTGCTAAACCAGACGTAAAAGTGTAGCAAAGACTTTATATATGATGGCCAATTAGTTTTCGAGCTTGCAGCTTGATACGACTTGCAAGGTTGCTGCCTATGGGGTGCCTGCTAAGATCTAACTTTTAGCAATGAATTCCTGGCATTGCATTATGCTAGCATTTTATGAAGCGTTTGCAGTTCTTATTCAAGTCTCAATGTCACTCAAAACCAATAATGTTGAGGCAAGGTCTAAAGAAAACAATTAGGGGCCGCTGAGTCTTCCAATGTGTGCCGTGACTGCTAGTATAAGGACCGTGAAGTCTAGCTACCACAAGTCCTGCGTTCTGATCAACAAGACTCATCCTCGCTCCCCATATCGGCAAGGGGTAAGGCATACATACACGCATGGGAGACAACGGTCCTTCATGAGATGTCACCATCTAGTTGCAGAGGGAGTTCACTTTTACTGGTTGGAGCATGCCATGGTATGAGTATCTATGAACCATTTATCGGCAGTTTCTTACGCTCAAGATGCCCGGGGAAGGTATAGGTATTAAGAACAACGAATCGTCTTCGCTATCCCCTATTTAGATCACGAGATACCTATTCCTTGGCTATCTACATGGGAGCTCATCTATATTACTCTTGCCAGTTCCACACGTATAATCTTATGATCTAATACTATTGACCCGACACGCCTCGGCAGAGGCCATGTGACAGGGCAAAGGTTCACAGATATCTTCGTAACTCGATATGAGCTATGTCACACCGATTTTCGATAATGTGTCATTGGTTAACTGTTGTTCCGACTGTTACACTTGGACAACCTATTCAAAAATACTATTCCCACCCATGAAATACAAACCTGATAATCTCTGGTAACGAATAGCTATTACTGGCGAAAAGTCCCGATCAGGCCCCTATAGGCTGGCCTTTCATTTAAATTCACATCACAAGCATTTTCTTTTTTTCTGTCTCCATCTCCTTTACATAGATTAACTTCAAGGGATTCATTTTCACCATACAGCTTGCATATCCGTCAAGAGATAGTCTCCCCTCTCTGTTAAAACTTAGTGAACGCTGCGGTTCCAGTTCCAGTTCCAGTTCCAGTTCTTGGCTGCTGCTATATGTAGCCCTACGATTCGCATTAAACGCCATAACCTTGAACTATTATTCTTCATTTTCTCACCGTTGAAGCTATAATTATCTCTCCTCTATAACCACCATTACGATGGCCGCCAACCATCAGAAAGTTGCGGTGCCCAGAGCCCGGATTACCAAACAACCGTACAATAGTGCTGCCAAAGAGAAAGCAGACGAAGCGTATGTGCTTGTGGACCGCCACAGCCCACAAGACGAAGGCAAGGCGATATCGAGTCTTAATAAACTCTTCAGCCCGGAGATCAAGGGGACGGAACAGGACAAGAACAATGCTGACAAGGATGCCTGGGAAATGGTCTCTATGGACGGTAGTCAGCCTGGAAAGCCTGCGAAGAGAAAATATGAGAAGGACTAGTACTAAGCCGACAAGAAAAGGAAGAAAGAGAAAGGAAGCCATGGAACGGAGTTGAGCAGCATCTGGAGCTAAATGGCCAAGCTTTGAGGGAAGCTTATAGCTGTAAAGGCACCGACCTTCGACACAATTTAGCAATGCAACCGAGATTATTACGTCCACCACTTCAGGCACATGCTTTGTAAAAAGCCCTTAATAGGACATACAGTATGTACTGTAAGTAAGGTTACATAGAGCTTACTTAGATAAACACATATTTACAAGCTTTGACGTTAGCAACGGCCCATCCATTTACGTATCGAGTTAGCATCAGCCACCAAGATCCAAAGGAAGGGACTCCGGCGAACTATTATCTCGCACTTTGGTGAACCATAATGGCCCGCTAGGGCACTTAAGGCATCACTTCAAGTCGCAGAGGTACACACAAGCGTTTTTCGTTCTACCTGATATCCGTAGGCTATATAAGCAGCAGGCGAGGGTTACCGAAATTTAAATGTTGCAATTGATACACAATGCCGGTTGGCTGTCAATCCCTTACTGAGCTGAAGCTGTTCATGCACCTCAGGTTCTTACCTAGGTACGCATCAGGGGCTATAATCACAACCTACCCTAGAGCTTAACTATATTGGATTGGCCTATATTCTAGAGCTGCCCCCCAAGTATTCTAGAAGGTTAGTGATCAATTCACTACTCTATCAAGCCTTATACTCTCCTTCTGCCTACCTACTCAACTATAATCAACTAACCTTCTATTCACTCCGGGACACCTAGCCTCTGACAGTACGTATCATATATGTCACCAACTAAAACGCTTATTAACTAAGATATATAAATAACACTCCTATTTCCTCTTTCACCGCGACTCTTAACTTTTGATATAGTTAGTGGCTTTCTATCAATTTATTTTACACCTTCCAATAATCCAAGGAGCCTCCCAAGTAAACCAGGGTGTGAAAATCCTCTGGAGTACTTGGGTTAATTTGCGAGAGAAATCTAGTCTGGATGAGATTGACAGGTGAGCTGTCTGTAGCCTAGTTGCCTGTGCCGCGGTCATACTTTATAAAATGAGTCAGAACGGGGCGTATTACCTATTTCATCCAGCATAGACAGTTTTAGGCTTCAAGAAAAAATCAATCTTCAACATATTGTTGTTGGCGATGGATTACTGCCAAAAAAAAAAAAAAAAAAGGCTATTCATTAATAATTAGTAGATATAATCCCTTCTTCCATTAAGTTCCCTATTTTCTGATCTTGTCTTTGCTGATCTTGGTTAAATCTATTATGGAACGGCCCAAAAGCTTAAACTGACCTGCCCCCCAAAAGTACCCTGTCGGGTTGTTCCTACCGGTTAAGCTAGGTTACATACTCTGCAAAAGGCATCCTGTTTTGTTATGGTGAAAGTGTTATGGGCTTCCTTATTCAGTAAGCGCTCTCTTGGCAGCTGAACGCACTGAAGCGCAAGGGATCATTGCCTTGTACATGCTTACGTCTAATATCTGCTTAGGATGTTCACATAACTCGCTGTCATTGAAAAGCTACGGGAACTGACATTGTCCATGTTAATATAAACAGAGCTCTCATGCGATCTCATCAGAGTAGTATCTTGACGCGTTTGATTACCGGTGTTTTCTCCTTACATCATTAACTCTATGGGATGCAGGTTGACGCCAAGAGAAGCGCGACGGGGCTTGCCGGGGTATCTCAACCAACTGTATATTCGAATTCAAAGAGACTGTGGCACAGTTCAATAATGCAACGCAGCGCTATGAAAGACGACAGGAACAAGTTAGTGCATCTCGCCGAATACACCATTATTTGGTACTAGGGCTGACGATGATGCCCCGTAGTCTATTGATCCAAGCCCACTGGGTATTAATGCAGATGAAGTTGCCTGTCTAAGGTGGTAGTGAGAAAGTCCTAGAGGAAGGTACCTGATTCGACGCAATCGAAAGAATGCAACGTGAGCGGGGGGCCTACCCTTAGTGCGCCTGATTGCTCGTGGAAATGAGCTGACAATGGCGACGCTTGTGATGAGGAATGTGACTATAAAGATGCTAGGCTCCCTTTGTCCTGAATGTTAGATCTTCTCGAGAATGTCCGATTAATTGACTACGCATTACTTCACGATGAAGGTTTTGACCGTTTTCTCGGTGCTTCCACTGCTTGGCGGTGTACTCGCTGGTATGTACCTATTCCTCAATTCCACAATCAATTGCATTATATAGCTAACCTTCCCTTTAATTAGACTGTGGCGTTGAAGGAGGCACAATTACGATCGCCAATCCGGACTTCGACATCCTCACCGAACTTGAGGCGTGTGAGACTATATACGGGAACATCCTCGTTGATCCAGCTTACGTCTATTTTATCCTAGACGGCGGTCCTTTTGAGATCACAGGCACCGTCATCGCTCACGACAATGAGATTTTGAAGGCTGTCAGACTTCAGAATGCTACGAGGATTGGAGGTTTCTCTTTTGCCAGTCCTGCTATCACCGGGCGGGTCGACTTCCCAGAGATGGAGTACATAGGCAACCTGGAATGGATCAATATCGTTTTCCGGACCGACCAAGGAATTGATTGGTATGAGTGGAATGCACTGAAGCTCGTTGGCATCGGTAGCCTTAACGTCGAGGGCACGTCAATCAGTGGTTTCAAGCCTGACTATCCCAGCTACGACGGCGTCAGCTTCTATTACGGCGGATTGGAGCAATTGCAGACGGCTGATAACATCCGCGTCGTCGGCAACACACGCATGGACGACGTGGTATTCACCGGTCTTAAGACTGTATCAGGCGCCATAATTATCGGTGATAACTTGAATTATGATGGAGGGTTTGGCAAGAGAGACGGACGTGCTCTGCTCGTCTCATTCCCTGCCCTTGAAACCGCTGGAAGCATCGCTATCTACGACAAAGATGTTCCTCTCCGACTTTCAGACAGCGGAAAAGTTGATTTCCCAATTCTAAATCATGTTTTCGGCGACTTCGGCATTACCGATATCAAGGGGCTTACCGAGGTATCTGTTCCAGCCCTGACGGATGTTGACGGTGGGATCAAGATTACTCTTAACGAAGCCTTGAAAGAGGTCGACTTCCCCGAGCTGCGGAGAGTTGGTCGTGTCGAGATCGTTGCAGAAATAAATCTTGGTTTCGACAAGGTTTCTTTTCCGGTTCTCGAAGAAGTTGGCGAGTTCTTGGTCGACTCTGGCGCCAACAACTTCGACTGCTCGAGCCTTGAACATATCCGAGCTATCGCGACCAAGTTTTCTTGCAGAAATGAAAAGGGAGATTATAACCCGGGTGTGCCAGCAACTACAGGAACACCTACGCTAAGCTCGAGTAGTGTTGCGAGCTCGCCATCTGGTGTGCCATTCCCATCTAGTCTTCCATACCCCTCCGGCCTGCCTTATCCAGCCGACACAACCCAATACTCTTCATCCCCCGATACTTCTTCCACCTCACTTGCCGAGCCATCCTCTTACTCAGAGACAGCTTCTGATGTAAATACAGAAACTACTACTCTTGACACAAACCCGAAGCCAACGCTCACAGGTGACGCAACCACAACATCGGTACCTCTCACAACAGGCGACAGTGCCACGGGCGAGAGTCTAGCATCTACGGCTTCTACCAGCGGTGTGGCGGTAACTACTGGTTCGGAGAACACGTCCACAAGCACCGAGAGCGCTCCAACTGTGACGGAGAGCGTTCCCGCAACAGGAGGTGCATCGAGCCTAAAGTCTCCAATTGGAAGTATGGTATTTTTGCTGAAGCGTTGGGCATTGTAGGAAGCTTCTGATTTGAAGTGAAGATGTCTTGGTACATTGATGATATTTTTGTAATTATTCAGGAGAGAGCTAGTGCAATTATACTTCTGCTCCGTGACAAATAGCCCAATAAACACGGTTATAGCATTCTATGAGTGAAGCGGATAGAGGCAATAGGTTCGCAATGACGCACTACAAAGATAGTCAGTCGATGGCAAGTGGTCTTATTGCTGAAGAGAGAAATAAGAAAGAAGACAGCAAATGTGAAGCAATCCTGACGAGGTTGGCGCTGGGATGCATCGCTCGGCTCTCTGCGTTCAAGTAAAACGTCTTGTCGGTCTGCTTGTAGGTATGTATCGCAAAGTTAACAATATCACAAACGACTCGACATCACTTCATTTACTAATGATCTTTGTAAGCTTAAAAAAGTACTTATCTACTCGGTCGGTGTATAAATGAGGATGCTTTGCGATCGTCGCCACAAGGAGCAATCCCCTGGTTTTATTCACCTTGCACTAAAACCGCTAGCAGCCCTACCGGCGGGTCCTAACTCACCAATACATATACTTAGCTACTCAGGTATATCTGTATCGATAGTATCTTATAGTTGATGTCGTTGTTAGTAATAGGACATTTGATTGTCGCGTTCAAAAAGAGTTCACAATCGAATCACAACATGCCAACTCAGCATTATAAAAGGAAGCACTGTTTGGGAAACGCCCGTGGTGTTTTTTTAAGTTTTCTTTTTTTAAGCTAATAGCACCGTTTCATGACACATTCCAACTCCTCCAGGAAGTCCAATGCCATGATCGAGCTAGATGAGGCACGCATTGAATCCTCCAGCGCGGTAACTATCCTTATTCCAAATTTCGCCGCCATTCCAGGGTCGCCGTCGAGATGGAAACTAAGACAGCGGAAAGAGAGTGTATTGAACACAAGCAACTGCTCCATGTTCAACATATTCCGTAGCAAGGCAATAAAGGGCTGCGTTTTGTGTGGAGTTTGGCGTTGGATTGGGGGCAGGTGAATTTGAAGGGATGATGGAACTCTCAGGCTTGTGGAGTTAAACACCTCGTCTCTTGTTCCAGCCACTCTGACCCTCAGCGATACCCCAATCATTCGCGCATATCAATTCAAAGTGGTAGCCGAAATCAGAACTGATCCTAATGTTTCTCCAGTAGTTCATGTCAAATGTACTCGTCATGGTTTCGTTCCCGTTGCCGGTATTGCACTGACATTCAAGCATGTATCGCTTGCCAATTGTACACTTAGGACAGGTCGCGCCGAACCCGCCGTCTTTGTCCACCTTATTTAGTGTCCCGCGATAGTTAGCAAGACAATCGTTGAGGTCCACGCTGAGATTAACATGTGTCTCGGGGAATCTGGCGCTGGTACAGTTATCCATGCGTAAGACGTATTGGCCTTCAAGTCTGATGTTCTGGCAAGGAGCATGTTCGAGGTTGATCTTGTCCTCGGGGGGAATAACTATCGACGACGCGAGGCCGAGGAACGAAAGAAACGCGAGGCACGCGAGCGCAGATGAAAATGTAGTTTTCATGGTCGCTTTTGGTATGGCGTTTGTGTGATGAGAGGCCGAGTGTGTAAATTCAACAATCTAAGTTTCTGAAATGAAAGTCGTTCAAAACAAGTAGCACCAGGCCGTAGAAAGAAGAATGAATGGAATTATGAATGAATGAACGAATGAATGTATGTATGTATACTGATGGTATCATGAACAACATATGACAGCGAACGAGGCTGCTCGATATTATATAGATAAATGCCGTCCTACACAGCTGCACACGCACTTCCCTGGTCTTCAAATCCATCACCTCAACTTCAATACCAAGAAGATGCAAGGCTTTTGATTGGGCTGCAAAATTTGAAGCTGCTACAACGAGACGGGACTGTGTGAACTCTCCCTTGATTGCTGTGGTGACCCACCATTGGAACAAACCGACTCATTGGGTTGCAGAAAGCAATAAAACAGAGCGCTAGAAAAGGGATGCTCCATCAGCCCCTTCACTTATTTATAAACCTCCCTAGTTTGTTATGTACAGGAAGAATTTGCCGTCCCAGATAGTCAGTAGACCCGCGATTGCTATGTCTAAGCTAATTACCTTTCTACATTTGATGAAACAATGCTTGATGGTATCCGAGCTGGTTGACTAGGTCAAGTGACTGTGGCCTCAATTCTATATTAAACTTATATTACCTTTCTCCTAAGTAATTAAGAGCCTCATATTTCCCCTAAATCATAATATCTGAGTTTAGCCAAGCGTCAATCGTAAGATATGAGACTCATTTGATCTAAGGGCCGTAACACAAACAAACAGCATGTTCCTTAACAAGCTAGGAACTCTGGATTCTGCGAGGCGCAAGGCGTCCAACCATGTGGTGTCGTCGTTGGCGAAACAAGGCAGGCTGACTAGATCCATTAAGCCCCATTAATATGCTGAATTTGCATTTTCCGTTGCAGCGCTCTGTAGTCCATTCCTACCCAGTGCGTCCTCCAAAGGTCTTAAAACGAATACAGCTGAAGTTTGATGTATTAGACTATATAATAATAAATTTAAATACTTATACGGTCTGCAGAGAAACATCCATTTGTTGCTGTAGATATTGAGAGGCCGATTGGCAGCAGCGCACAGTGTCGTGCATAGAAGATTTGATGACTCTATCGGTATAGAAGCGAGAGCTATCCCTCCGCTCCCTGCTCATGATAGTTGAAACAGTACTGTCTTCCTAATTTCAATATGATCTACCTTCGATTAGTGTATAAAGCATAGCCCAACTCCAAGCTGCTTAATTTTCTTCATGTTAGTCGTTCTGTGTGTTGCCTGTTGGTCCCTATGATGGTCAGACCACACTGGGCATGTCCACCTTTAAGTCCGCCGTTACTCTTCTTGCACTCATCTTCGCCGCCGCCTATCCTGTGCCACAGGTAGAACAAATTTCCCTCTATTAATGTTGAGGCGACATAATGCAAATCTCGTCACTGGCCATTACATCAACTTGAAGCTATAATATGTCCTTTCAAGAGGGACCCACGACTTCAGATAGCAACCATCTTACCATATCAAGCTTGAAATACCCGATTTCAGCCTCTATAGCTGCCCTCCAATATTTCTCACCGCAGTCAAGGCCTTGTGGGATTTGCACCCATGGTTTCTGATGTCACTCTGAACAAGTGTCTGCTTACACAGGCAAGTTAGCGAGTTCGTTAATCAACAAGCCCAGTAGCTGAGTCGAGCGGAACTAGGTAAGGTACGCGATCCGGCCGCTCAGGCCCCGAGCAGCATTTTGTTGCTATCGCAACGAGGTAGCTAAAGACACTTATCAATGAATTGGCCGCTTTGCTTCCGACAGGCTTCTCATATTACTAAACAATGAAAGAACAGTTAGTAAACAATAGTTTGGAATATTGACGATAAAAATTACAAAATTCATGTGGGTGTCTTTCTAAGTAGGCCAGCAAGTTGCACTTCTGAAGCCATGCATTAGTTGACTTAAGAACGCCAGTTGGCTAGGTGTTGGTAACATGGGCATCTGACCTGCATGAGGCGTAAAACCAGCACCTTGCTTGCCCTGTCCATCTTTAACAGGACGCTCTAATATGACAGACTAATGATAATAGTTACCGGAGAACCTGGTTCATTATTTGATTAAATATTACTAGCTACTAATAACACCGTCAGTTGCGGTTAGTTGGTATCGCTCTGTACATGTAGACTCTCAACAGTAAGCTACCTAATCAAGGCAAGACCTAAGACACTAGAATAACACCTGACTAATTACGTCGACGCATGTCTATTTTCCTTCCACGACGAGAAACACTCCTCGTCGGGTTCAAACTCGATTGGAAATCCGAGCTCGCCGAGGCAACGAATAGCCGCAGTGCCCTCGTCGCCCAGTACAACTTCCCGCATCACCGCCTTCGCGGCCTCGAGCATCGGACGCTTGTCGGGCAGACTCTCGGACGTAGCGGCCGCCATGAAGATCCAGCCGACGACGAACGGAAGCTCCGTCTCGCGCTCAAGGTACGCGGGGGTGAACAGTTCTCGGAGGACCTCGTCGCACTGCTGTTTGACGGCGCGGAGCAGACGCCAGCAACTGTGGTGCATTGTGAGCAGCGGGAATGCGAATTCGGACGATTCGGTTTGGAGAGCCAGTGTGAGGGAGCGTATGAGCTCTTCGGGAGTCAGACGGGCTGGCTTTGCAGCGGGGTTTTTGCCTTTCTCTTTTCCTTCCTGTTTCTCTTGCGCCTTCTTCTGGGCTAGCTCTTCCTTGGTCAGTTTGCCCATCGTCAGAGTATGGTCCTCTTCGCTGCCCTCGGCTTCCCATTGGCTCGCTTCTATTACCCGCTCGACGTACTCTGCCGTCCAGTTTAGCTGTCCCGTCTTCCGAACGTAGCGATCGATAAACATCGAGGTGACAGGGCAAAGGGTTTCGGGCTTGATTCCTGAGAGAAATGTAAGTGTCAGTTGAAGAGTAAACGATAGAGTACATAGCTAGCAGTGCCACCAGAACATACCTCTGGGCCCAGCCTTGGACGCCAATGGCCCCTTCCGCTTTTCTTTGCGTCTGGTAAAGGCGTTCACTGTCGTGCCCATTTGCAAGCAGAACCTCGTGAAGTATTCGTCGGCATTGCTCGGTGCGCCGCCCACGAAGATCTGCTCGTCTTCCAACATCAAACTGCGAAGAACAGTCATATCAGGCCATGGCGGCCGAGCGTTCGCGTCGTCGTTGTCGCCTGACAACAACTTCTCGCTAGATAGGGCGTTGAAAAGATGCGCAGTGTACGTGACGGAGCCCCATGCGTTGACCACAGTGAACGCAATGTCGCGTACCTCGGCGCGGTACTTGAAGAGCACCAGGCCCGACAACACTGGCGACATGCGCAGGATCCGGTTGGGCTCTACCGAGTCTGGCACCGCATAGTTCATGCGACGATAGTATCTCTCTTTGGCTCGATACACAGGATCTCTGAGAATGGTGCGGATATCGGTGATGATGTTGGCCATGTATTGGTCATTGGACCGCGGCCACGTATCGGTCTTGAGAGTCTTGTGGAAGTCGAGGTGTGCTTGGATCTCGTCGCGAAGCACCGTCACGCCAGACTGGAAAGCGTCGAAGGCCCGTGAAACGTCTTCTCGTAGCACGTGGTGGATGTCGAGGAATACCTGTGCGGCAAAGACCATGGGAAACGGCGTCTGTCTCGTCTTCCGCATCTCCGCCATGCCCCGCAGGAATTCATCCTCGACGGGATAGTCTGTGACGCTAACGCAGACGGTCGTGAGCTCGGTAAAGAAGGGCATGAGGAGCGCGCGGTCCTCGTGGAATTTCTCGTACCCCGACTTGGCATTGCGGTTACTTTTAGGGTCGTAGATGCCGAACATGCCCTCCTTATAGATGGGCAGCTGGTTTGGCTCGATGACGCGGGAAAAGGCATCGACCATGTTGTAGACCTGGAGGAACTGGCCGATCCCGGCATCGTACAGCTTGTAATTGAAATTGTCCGTCGACCCCTCGTTATCGAACATAGCTTCCGGGCCGTGCCCTTCCATCATGCATTGCAACATGTGGAACTTCTGTAGCATATTCCATGCACCGCCGTGCGCATCCAGATCCGGCGTGATTTCGTCCATGAGATTGCGCGCTAGATCGATTGCCGTGTTGGTTGCAATGGCGACCGCACAGAGGTCGAAGAGGCCTTGGCCATAGGCGGTCCAGATCCACTTGATACGTTCCCGGAAGCGATTCAAGTCGTTCATCAAGGCGGTCAAAGCGAATATGACATCCTCGAAGGCGTTGAGCCTCTCGGCCTCATAAGTGGCTTCAAGCTCGTCGTTCCCGGCAGTCTTGGAAGGCTGTGGTCGCTCTACGTCGGGCATGTTGAGGAAGGCCTCGGATGGCTCGTAAACAGACAATCCGGCGAAGCGGTTGGAGAAGGCATCCTCGGTCTCCTCCTCGTCTGCTGACGCCTGCGGCGCCTGCTTTTTAGAAGAAGCTTGAGAGGGGAAGAGCGGCTTCATGACGTCGCGGACCTTCTCGAGAACACCGACGAAGTACATGTGGGTGCTGTCGGGAGCAGCGTCGTCGCCCGTGACCTCGCCTTGGTCGGCAATCTGGTCCCCAAAGCCCCGTCGCGCCCGGATGACGCGGTCTAAGGTCTTCACAAAGGATGCCGGCACCTTGCCGACTTTCGCCCGCTTCTCAGAAATGAAGTTGGCAAGGGCGACGAAGTCCTTGACGGCAATCGTGTACTTCTTCTGGGCATGTCTGGTTTTGTCTGCGGCTACATTCTGCCGATACTCACGCACTGCTTGTAGTCGTGCCTTGCCCTTGAGACGGCGCGACGGTGCCTGTGTCTTCTTGTTGTGCGGATCATTACCGCCAGGTTGAAGTAGCTCTTGCGGGTAGCCATTAGCTTGGGCTGTAGTAGCGAGCCAAGAAGCGATGGCATCTGTGTCTAGCTTGTACTGCCGGTACACGCTGTAAAGCGAGTAAGGCAGCATGATTGGGGATGGCCAAGAGAGGAGATGGACTGAGATGTAGACAGCAGGCGAGAAAGCATGCCCATATATTCGTTTGAGATGAGTGTTACCAGTAGGGATAGATGGTTTTCCTGTCCCGTCGTCTGCGTTTGTATCTGCGTTTGCGGAGGGTTCAATTGAATGTGTTCATGGCCTGGGTTAGGTGAGTTTGAAGGCGGTCTAGACGAGTTTCAGAACCTGCGGGGTCTGCAGCAGCAACAACCTTGGTGAGTCTGTAGAGGCTTCAGAATAGAATTTCTGCCTACCTAAATATTACAAGAAACGGTGTAGGATCGTGTCATGTGAACTTGATGAATGCCCGAGTTGAACCAGGACTTGCTAGGTCAGGAATCTGCCTCACGCTGATGCCCCTTAGTGTCATATTAGGTATTGTAGGATATACATATAGTAAACATCGTTGATAACAGCTACGGTAATATTCAAGATATGTTAATCGCCGAAAAATATACCTAGGCACTGTAGGGAAAGGGTCCCCTGAATACCTACCTAGTGTGTTGAATGAGCTGGAACAATTCCAAGGCCACATACACGCCCAATTCACGACGGTAAAGCCGAGATAATCATGAATAAAAAGATAACTTCTCCGCCATTGAACCCCAATCTCGTGAAGCCAAGTCTGATTCCAGCAAAGACATGGTCATAGATACCCAACCGAATCTCGGCGGGAAGCAGCCTGAATGGCACCTGGCACTTCGTGTACCGTAGCCCGGATTTATTTGCATAGAGATGTCGAAAAGTTGCTGTGAAAGTGCGCTTGACTTGGGATGGGGACTCTACAATTAACCCCTCTAGGGAGGTAATCTTCTCGACAGCATCAATTCCATGCCCTTCAAGTAGATAGATACCCAACCGCCAGCCTTTGTGAGCCTTTTTCTATAAATATTTGCCCAAGTGCCTACATAAGGTAGTTGAAGGTCTCCTACGGTTTAGAAGGTACCCAACGGGGGACCAGTACTGAGCTTACCAACACCAACTAAGTGGCCCAGCGGCCGAACGCCAGGCCCTTTAGCGCATAATTGTAGCGTATGCTAGCCCTGGAGAAGCACCAAGAAAAAAAACTTACCTACCCTACTTGCCAGTGAAGAGATAAAAAAGAAAGACTGCTGACCACTTCTAACAAGACAATACCTATAATATATAATCAGTTCCCAATGGGCCTATGTAGAATGGTATATCAATCATATGCCTTAGGGGTTTGGGATTTAAACTGTAGTATAGCCGACTGATCAGATAGTGCAAATGGGCAGGCATCTCTTTCCTTTCTCCCCCTTCACCCAACTTTCAAATCGGTATCCTACCAAGGAAACCACTTCACGAATAGTTGTGGTGAGATAATTGAAGACAGTCTACAGTCACTGTTTATCTAATGGATACACAGTACGCCACTTTGAAAGATGGCTAACTGTTGGTATGCACGAGGTGGTCTTTGCAGGCAAGGATGCCATCACCAATCAGGGGTCAACTTCCAGCTGTTATACAACCATACCGATACAATAATTTTGCCATAGTCCAAAACTTGGATTTTAAATTGATATCAGTGAAATCACAGCAGTTTGAAGTTTTGATCCTATTAGCGGCAAAGTGTATGATAGCCAATAGCAAAAAAGAGTTGGGGTTGAATGTTGGCGCTGGCAGCTGACTGATCCAAACGACGCCAACCTAGATCATACGCCCAGGTCATAGATATTCCCCCACTATATAACTCTTCTTGCGATATGTCCTTATTTCATTATCATGCTAGCGTCAGTCATAATTCATCATAGTCCTTGGAAGGATATTCTATCCTTATATCATGTTCCCGTATCGTGTGAAACCAGTTCTAAAGATCTAGTTGAAAACGTGGGTCTAATCGGATGCGCTCGCCGTACTTCATTATAAGCCAAGTCAGGGGCGCAGTGGCCAAAGCAATGAATGCCAACAAGGTGTTTCCCCAACCTAAACCTAACTTGTCGTAAAGTGGCTGGCCTGCCAAAGGGAGAACAACGCCGAAAACGGACCTGACGACAGTGTTTGCCGCAATCGCACTGGCAGCGTAGATCGTAAAGGCGTCGATAAGGTATGACTGAATAGGCACCCAAATAAGATTCACACCTATCCCAATGAGCGAGGTCCCTATAATAGGCACTATCCAATGAATACGGAACTCGGCAGTCCAGCCATACCAGATCAGTCCAGCGGGAATCAACAATGAGCCGATGAGCAGAGGAGCGAGTCTACTCTCCGGTTTAATTTCGCCACCTTTCGCTTCCCTCTTCGCGAGGTAATCTGACGAAAAACCATTGGCAAGAAGCCCGATCAGAAAGCCCACGCCCAGTCCAAGGTAAGATAGCCCTGCCGCGCCCGCATTGAAGTGATACTGGCCTTCGAAGACGAATATGAATGTCGTGAAGAGGAGATATAAATAGCCATAGCCGACTGCCAGCTGCAATGACAGGATCAGAACGATCGGTGATTTGCACAGCATCTTCAATGGGCGTACTATCGACTTTCGAAGCAGTTCTCTGGGAGTACTCCTCGTAGAACCCGCCGCGATATAAGTCCTACTCCCATCTGCCTTTTGTAGGCGCGCTGCTTTCCGTGCCAGCAGTGTTGAATGATACGTCTCAGGTATTAGCAGGTACAACACTGTTAAAACGCCGCTCTAGCATAATATGAGGTATTAGCAGGAGAGCATTGAAAGCATTGGAAAAAGATTAGTAAAGTACACACCAAGATTGCTACGAGCCAAAACAGCCAACGCCATCCCACGTTTTGGGCAATGTAGCCTCCCGCTACCGGCCCAATAACAGGTCCCTGGAGTGTTGTTAGGACTGATCAAATCCAAAGTTCACATACGATAGCTAAAGAGATTGAGATACGTACCAACAAGGGGCCAAGTTGCCAGCCACTCAAAGCTCGCCCCCTTTTCTCTGCCACAACGAGGTCACCAATCATGCCCCCGCCGAGCACCAATGGCACGCAAGCCGCTCCGCCTTGCAATACTCTGAAGACGAGGAACAGCGGAATGCTATTGCTGATAGCACAAACGATGGTGAAAACCAGAAATGCGAAATTCGCCGTGTTCATGACAACATTTCGACCGTAAAGCTCGCTCAACGGCGCGACTACCAGCGGGCTGATCGCGAAAGGTATTACGTACGCCGACACCAGGAAACTTGCGAGCGCAGTGCTATCGCTGTGAAACTCACGGAGCAGCAGCGGGACGCCAGGGGCAAATATGGTAGGCACGAGAGAGATGTTAAACGTAACGGCGGACACAAGAGTGATGATGAAGGTTTTACGGGTGGAAGACCAATTTAAGGGGTTCGCTGGGTCATCGGGGCCTTCCCAGTCAACGATGACTTCATCGGAGGAGCTTATAGGACTGCTATCAAGAAGCCCCTTTTCAGGCTCATAAGGTTGTATGTCGACATCAGCAAGGGTTAAGTTGGGCTTCGTGCTCTGGACAGGCTGAGGTATCGACTCCATTGTGAATAGGGGTTCAACGAGACCTAGTAGGCGAGAGTTGGAAAGGGGAAAGTACACAAGCCCAAGTGACGCACAACGACACTGAGATTTATAATTCGTATATCGATAACGTAGATGGAGAGTCGGCTTTAAAGGCCTTATATCCACACAGCCGGATGATTCATTTCGGAGACGTTGGGCACAATGTGATTGATTACCTGCAGATAAACGGTGCGGGTGCGGTGATAATGGATAAATACCTAACTAAGACCCTACGTGCGCCGATCTTTTGCGAATCACATCCACGAGCTCGGTATCGCGCAAGACGAAGGACCTTTCACGGCAGATCATCCAGATTAGCGAAGGGTGCAATAAGATCGATGATCCTAGGGTTTTTTCGTACATACCGTACGATGTCTACATCGCGCTTTGAAACAGTGGTGATGGGAGCGGAGCCGATGTGACATAGGCTGGGATGTTGGAGCGCGCGGGTAGACACTTGCGTGAGTCTCCCGAGTAGGGGATGGTATCATGCTGTGCAAATGTGTTTGTTCATTGTTGGCTGTGAGATACCTGGTAGAAGAGACATCCTGGCAACGAATTCGAATCATAGTCTCACTCTGCTCTATGCATACTGCTATGAGAGACATTGCAGAGCAATGGATGCGCTCCGTTTCATCGGTCATTGTCATACGTTTCTGCTGCGAAGGGATTTCGTGTACAGCAAACATCGTTAGTATGACCTGTCCAAAGCTCTGTGCGCAGCGATAAGTGCTTGTTGTACACTATAACTCTTGCTGGGGCTCTCAAGAGGCACAAGTGAACAAGGGGCGGAATTGCTGAGCCAATCCCCAAGTTAGATTTGTTGATACACCATTGTCACATGCTCGTATACAATGTCACAACTTGGCAATTGATCTTCATTCACTACTACGGGAACACTCGTGATTCAAACTGAAGCATTCGAGGAGGACAGCCGTTGAACATACCGCCCAGGCACAGCTAATACCAACATTCAAACATGTTCGGAATAGAGCAGCCCTGACAACCCTGGCACCCCGTCCGCATCGTGTGGGGTATGATGCCACCCCTACAGAGAGGGGCTGGAGTTAACGTTAAAGAGCAGTTGGAATTACCACGTCGTTTCGAATTGGCCGTTTGTTCCTCCACTAATGTGCGGACACCACGATGCGGGGGCACATCAAAGCCGATACACGTAGCTCACTTTCCCATCGCTGCGGAGCGGTGGCATCGCCAAGAGCTGTGCGGGAGGAAGTATCGTGTGTTCACGCCGATGCGCACCGCCGCCGCAGCAGGAACGGACCCCGGCGAATCTGAGCAATGTAAAAGTCTAGAGCTTGATTCGACACCCGCCGATTCCGTGGCTGGTCACAGCTTTCTCTACACCCTTGTCGACAACGCTAGTCGCACCGTTCTCAAGCTGCTATTGGACATCGACGTTGAAGTCAAAGCATTCTTTGGCGTCGAATCAAGACGTGTCTTTACTATACCTAGCATATCCACTTCTCTTGATCAATCTTGCTTCTCTCGCCAATACTTGACATCGATCAATTGATCTCTCCTAGTCAGCAGATCGGCAACACTCACAGTGCTTCGATGCGGTTGTTCAACAGTTTTCCGATGCCTTGGACGTCGACGTGTAGTAGTCATACGAGATATCACGTATGTTGGCATAGCCAATGATAAGTTCAATGCCTAGCACCTTTGGCCACTGGCCAGATCGCTATAGTCGCAGGGGGCAGAGGTCCAGAGCTTCTAGGCAAGAAAATCGTAAGGAGATCACGACATTCACGCGCTCGAGGAGTGGCCTGCCCCTTAACAGAAACCCGCCCATCATAATTCGATGCGTTGGCTCTATCCTTCAATGCACCTTTTTAGTACACAATGTCAATACTTTAACATATGTTCAGATTCGCGGCCTCAAGGCTGGAGTTTCTGCGACAGCATTAAGCTAAAGTCCCTCCAAGAGCTCTGGATTTTGCCGCTTAGATCTAGCAGACATTAAATGGCGAGCCTTGATGATGACGAAGATTTCTAAATTGACGAAATCACCACGGATCAAAGGAGCTATTATCGCGTAGCGTACATTTCACGTCATTTAAGTGCTCATTGGCCCCATTCTCGAATGACAATCTAAATCGCACGCCTGGAAGGATTCCCGAAGTTACCATCCTGCGATCCCACCGGGCCGATCCCAGCCAAAACGGCTGGAATCAACGTGAGATTGCCAGTGATGACTAGGATTGTTCCCACGTTTTCAGCCCAGACCCACTGCGTGGGATTCCGCACAAGGCAGATAGCTGAGTACACTGGGGCGCAGAGAGCAGTAGATGATGCCGAAAATAGAATCAGCCATCACGACAGTGGGATTGGGTATTATCTTCAAATATGTGACGTCTCCGCGACGTGCGGTCGCGCTGCTTAGGTGTGGTTTTGCGCTCCCTTCCCTCTATCTAGTCGCAGCTTCAGTCTGCTATCTCTACTTACACGACTTCGAGGATGGTGTGAAATCGACAGATTCCTGGAGCAGAGAGCGATGGACCCAGACAAGCCAGCGCTTGCGCCGCCGCCTGGCGTCCAGTCTAACTTCGACAACCCTCCGAACGGCAACGTCGAGGCGCATATTGGAATTGCAATATGCATCTTTATAGTGTTTGTCGGGGCTTCGCTCCGTGCATACTCTAAGATTGTATGCATGAAGCAGGTCAAGTTGGAAGACTGTGCGTTCTTCGACACCTACTACGATAAACCATAGACTAACACCCAGGTTTCAATCGCAGATGTCGGTCTCGTGGCGCTAGTACGATGACACTTATCTTGGCGTCGGGTGCAGAGGTGCTGATACGAATAAACATAGGCACCGTACATTGCGTTTGTATATGGCGTATATAACCTCATGAGGACGGTTGGGATATACGTCCATCAGTGGGATGTACGAGCTAGCGAGATACCCTCGGCGTTATATGTAGGTTATAGAAGATGCCGAAAACATCATCAGTGTCCATTAACATAGCTAACAGATTGTATACGTCAACACCTCCCTTTTCCAGGCCACGATGGGTACCATAAAGGCCGCGATTCTACTCGAATGGATACAGCTTTTCGTTCCGCGTGGCACTAGAACTCCGTTTTGGTGGACGTGTCAGATTGTCATGTGGGTGAACATACTATACTACATCTCAATCGTCACCGCATCCGCTTTGTCGTGTTTCCCACACGAAAAGATATGGCACCCAACCATGCCCGGAAGATGTTTCAACACCAAGGCCCTGTTCGTCATCAACGCCACGTTGAATCTGGTCTCGGATATCATCATCCTGATCCTCCCCCAGAGGATAATATGGGGACTCAAGATGTCAACACAGAAGAAAATAGGGGTATCCCTTGTGTTCGCTGTCGGAGTGATGTATGAATCCCTTAAAGGCCGACTCTCAGTGTAATTGACATCATATACTAATGGCGCCATATGTAGTGCTACTCTAGTGGGAGGTGCGCGTCTTTCCCGAGCTGTTATATATTACTTGTCGAATGACAACCTCTACAATGTGTCAGCGGTATTTCTGTGGTGTACGGCCGAGTTAAGCACGTCGTTCCTTGTCTTCTGTCTACCAGCTATACCCAAGATCTTCTCGAGCGACAATTGGTTTACGCAACTCGCATCACGTCTTCATTCTCGATTGAGCTTCTTGAAGACACGCACAACCGACACGTCGGGTACCAATCCAAAGGCATCTACATGGAAGTCATCGACGTTCAGTGGCGTCTCAACGTCGGAGACTAGATGGGATCAACAGCCTCAGTTGTCTTATGAACAACATGGGTTTGTATCATATTACGCAGCGACAGACCCATTCACACCGAATGCAATCAAGAGCTATGTTCACTACGATACGAACCCCCAGGCGTCTTGGCCTTCTGTACCAAACGCAGCGTTGAGTCGCCGCGATCCGTCGACGAGTTGGTATGAAGAAGAGCGATAGTTTCGCAAAATTGATCATGCCTAGCTTAGTTGCATCCCAATATAATATTAGATCGATTGCGCTAGAATTACCGTACTTTCAGTGCAAGGCGCAAAATGCGTGAATAGCCAATATAATGAGGATCCTAAGCTGAGATAAGCAACTAGCTCCCTTGGGATCACGATTACCTGGGAGCATATCCAAAGCTCAGGCCCTTACTCTACACAACCACCAGATCCTGTAATCTATTTTCATCTGTGTCCGTCACTGATAAGGTTTATACACAATACTAGACACGTAGAAAGAGGCAGCTAAAATTTAGAACTTGTATATGTCAGATTAATTAAGCGACACGTTTTCCAGGGGTGGGGGGAGGGGGGCTATTAACGTCATGCTTGGCTTCATGTACGTTACGAGTGTCTCCTGCAACCACAAGTGACCACTAGATAGGCCACGTACACAATCCAAGCCACTCTACCTACTTATTCGACTAAGCAATCATATTGTAACCTGGGTTGTACATATTTCGCTTATGTGGGTTATAGTACGAATATGAAATATCAGGGCCCAGGCATGTAATATATATATCAATAATAAATGATAATTAATGCTGGAAAGCTTGAAGGACGGAAAACAGCGTCCAATGCGGTTATAAATGTTGTGAGTATGTCTGTATTCACACTCAGCTCTTTTTAGATAGGAGATTACAAAGATAGAAAAGCGTTTGATAACACTGAACACGATGTATATATACTACGATGGCGAGGATATGAGTATCAAAAAAAAAAACCAATTAAACAAAAGGTCAGCTTCACCAACCTTTTTGCCGCTTGAATTAGGAGGAATATTCATGCGGCAATTTTATTTTATTTTATTTTTTTTAAAGAAAGGTTTTGATTATTAAGAGTACATAGAAAGTATATAAACGAGTAAAGCGAGTAGTTCCAACGTGTATATGAGTGAAGGAATAGAAATATAGCTTGCGTAGGCTAAATCACTACTTCCTAACTCCATGACGGAGTTTCTTTGCGTATGTAGAAAGCAAGGCAACCCATCACCGAAAGGGGCGGCTAATACATAACAATTTAATTACAAGCACAGCATCTAAGACCAGCTACGTATAGCTAGCAAGCACAAATAATACTTCAGATGTCTCCTTTCACCTCAGATGCGAGGTCATCAACACCATGTATATAATGTATATATATAATGCTGATTGATTCTGGGCGGTTACTTGGCATACATATGCTCTGCAACTTTGTAGTCTAGGAGTAAGCATCGAAGCTACACTGCACGAGTGAACTCGAATCTAATAATAAGTTGAGAAATGCGGCAACAAAAGCAATCTCTACTAAAGCCGGAAACCCCGTTAATATCATTCAAGTGTCATGAGAGCCTCGGTCCGCTTTGCAAGGCTCTTCGTGCATCTCATCTCACCGCTTTTTTCAAAGGCTCAAGCCCCCTAGTAACATCGGTATCCGGCGCCCGTCATGATGTCGACACCAGCGTGAATTAGGATCAGGAGATAAAGAAGGGGAGGCCTCGACTTATAGGACGCAAGCTATGCGTCTTACTCATCCTGATTCAAAGAGGGAATGGATTTACTTGTGATAGCCCACATTAATCTCCCGTTAACGTTCATCGACAGGCACTGGATTGGGGGCGAAGCCATCGCTGAACCTCCTGGCGTATGGCTAGAAATTGGGGGCCGAAAAGCCAGGATCTGCTAGGAGGGAGACTGTAGCCTGTTTCCAAGCCAGCTAACCTCTTGGGGCTGGGACGGAATAGACGGCAAAATGGCGGTTGATGTCCGAATGACCTTCCATGGTGGTTAAGTTTTGCTCTTGATAGGGAATTCAAGATGAGGCAGGTGACTTGGTGGTGCTATGTTGACAACTCTTAAGGCCGTATGTTTATGACTCAGGCCGGTGCCAGTAAAATCACTGCGCTCATTCACTTACGAAAACCATTCAAGTCGGCTGTGCACTAGGTATCCCTCGATATTTGTGAGACACACGGCGTTATCGTGTTTCTGGTAGCTTATTTCCACTTCCACAAGAGGGCGGACGTAACACGTCGCCACGGATAGAGACATGACGGAAACATCCGTGGCTATATAATCAACACGTGTCATTACGAGAGATTATCGGAACTTTAACGCGACCAAAAAAAATTCTGTTTTCTTAATTCTTCTGCTGAAACTGGTTGTATAATTATCTCTTAGACGCAGTTACAACTAAACGCGCAGTAATCGAGCACTGACATCACCCATCAACGCTAGGTTAGCGTAGCATCGCTAGAGCTAGTGCCGATAAGTCAAGTTAATACACTTCGGTATGTTGAGACAAGTTAAATCGTCACTACTTAGTCAAGGAATTAAAGGGATTTTGCCTTCTAGTCTTGTTTATTCAGCGAAAATCTCTTTACCATCAAGGTTCACGTATAGCGGTCCAAGCCAATCTTGAGACTCCCCGCAGAGGTGCCTGCATCCTGCATGAATGATGCATGCTACCTGTAGTAAGTACTTACAAGTTAAGTAAGCAGAATATTGAGTACTTACATGATACTACTATGTCGGGAATCTTACCTGCATGCAACCCATCTTCCTGTCCACTATTTCGCTGCTACACACTCCAGGTTTGAGGCGTAAAGACTTGCATGGTATGATTATTGTTCATTGTTTGCCTTGTCTCCGGCGTCATTCTCAAACTCCGACAACGAGAATTACGTGCAACAGTGTCTTCGCATCCACTTACTTATTTTCTTCTTCTCTGTCTACTTACTTACCTAAGCGAGCTAAGTACATAGTGTAGTATCTAATATTAAACTTACCGAACCTAACCCTTGTCTGGTGATACGTACCGGAGTGACCTCAACTGTCTGAGATGTGGTCTCAGCGGAGAGTCAACGGGTCTTTGACCAGAGCACATGGTCAGATGTCCGGGGTGTTACATCACCACGATGACCTAAATAGCATACTTGCCTCTGTTTATACACACACTTATGTCCGTATAGATCGAGTTGCCTGGGGCGCACACAGCACTCGACCTCGAAACGAAACTCACACTCACACTTACACTCACACTAAATCCGGCCAACCTTGCTAGGCGCGAAAAAGCCACAATGCTGTGCCCCGCCACGCTCCATCTGTGTCTGCGTAGCCCATCACTTTCCGGTTAAGCGTGCCCTCCCAAGCGTGAGGCTCGTGATACCCTGGCCGCCGCCCATCCCTGTGCCTGTCATCCTCCACGAACCATCATCTCCACCGCGCGCCGCACGCCTAGTTGGGAGGCCTTTTCCAACGGGCGGCGGGTATGCATGTCACCATACATGATATGGTACATAAGTCCACATGCCTCCTAAGCGCTCTCGTTGGTTCTGCTCATGTGCTATCCCTACTAGCTTCAACCATCAACAGATCCAATCAACCAACAATACTTACACTTACGCTTACACTTACACTTTCAACCATCTATCTGCATTCGTTATTCGACTGTTTGCTGCAGTTCAGCTACTCATCTCATTCAGCCAGCCTGCATCGTAGCCCTTGTCATCTACCTGTCTATCAACCTATCTTATCGGTTCCCCAGATAGAAGGGTTGGGTTTATTCTATCCTTTTCCCGGCAACCATGCCTGAATACGAATACGTCAGACGCTCGCCCAGCCCATTCATACGCTCCCGGTCATTTTCCTACCAAACCCGTCCGCGACACTGCCGTCTGCGCTGTCCGGAGAACTGCGCCTGCGTCTCGGTCGAGGAGTGGAACGAGCTAGCCATCAACGAGCGCACGGCGCGCGAGAGCGCCGACAACCTCAGGACCGAGCTCCGCGCCACGTCCCGGGAGAACAATCGCCTGCAGGCCACGAAGCGCGAGCTGCAGGCCGAGCTCGAGCAGCTGCGCGGCCACGGGGACGCGGTGGCCAAGTTCAAGCGGCGCATGGCGAAGCTCGCGGCCGAGGTCGAGGGCCTGCGCAAGGAGAAGGAGGTGGCCGACATCCGCATCCGCGAGATCAGCCAGACCGTCACCGACAAGAACCTCGAGATCGACCAGCTGCAGGAGGAGAACAGGCAGCTCGCGCGCATCCACAAGCGCGACAAGCAAGAGACGAGAGAGGCTTGGAAGCTGGTGACCGACCTGCAGAGACGGCTGCACGACTGCCGGCATGTCTTTGGATTCCCGCGGCCGTATGGTTACGCTTGATGGCGCACTTGCGCCGATGATGGGGATCTACGGATTTGGGGTTTTGGAGAATGAGGAGGACGAGGAGCGTTTGCATTTATAGAAGTCTTGGCGTAGGTTCATGGCGTTGATAGGTTGGTTGGTTGGTTGGTTGCATTTCTCCTCCCAGATTGAGGTTCTTTGGGAATTTTACTGGGGATATCGTGGTACAGGCGTTTTACGGATAAGGCGCTTTAGGGGATTTTTACAGGATTACTATTTTCCGGGCTGTGTAGTTCATCGTCACTCTTTTCAAGAACATTTCCTTTGTTGTCATGATAGCGTCACACAAATGGGTAGGATTTGGGTTGGAGGGGTCTTTGGCGTTTGGGAGATACCCCGCATGTCTTTTTACAATTTGTACTACCGGTACCCTGCTTTTCCATCTCTTGTTCCACCAAGTACTCTTGAATATGCCCTCTTATTTAATATGAGATACCCGCCCCAGAGAGGCACAATTTATTGAGGATATTCAAGACCTATATCAATCTACTATGCCGCCTCGTTTACATAACAGATGATATTGTTGCCTGGGCACAACGTATCTCATGAAACAAATCCTTTGGCGTTGGCGGCGCGTGAGAGCGCCCTTACATCATGTGAACCCAGTGCGCTCCAACACGATAGCTCGTGAGACCAGTCTCTTGATACACTGAATGAGACCCGGACACACCCCGGCTAAAACGAGGTGTAGTACCTCTAATCTCCTTGTAAACTTGTCGGACGTGCAGAAAACCGACCTTACTCGTTTGACTGTGAAATTGATTACAGACGGACCAGATGGATGGTGGGTGCGACTTGGCACGCGCCTACGAAGTACCGTACCTATGTACACTTTTTTCCGCGCTCGTAAGTATGGTGTAGTTCGGTTTTACTGTTGCCACCAAGGTTGAGTCTGAGGCACAAACGCCTAACTAGCCTGGAATCGGAATTAGTGATGGAATAATCGCGTGGTAGTTTGTCAAGATGGACTCCTAAAATGCCCTTAGTTAATCTGGAAAGTGTTGACGCAGATTACAGGGGACCTCGGGAGCCTCATGCAAGATAACGGCCATGCATATGGCCTTTCCAGGTGTTGCCCTACGCCCTACATACTGCCTTGTAAAATTGGGGCCGTCGGCTAGGCATCGAGTAACACATTATTGCCTCAGGTACCTACAGTAACGCATGCGATCTCCCATGCTAATTTCGTTAACGATTTGGATACTCTCATTTTCCGGATTCCTGGTTGGTGCTAGAGTAAAGCATCACCTGGGCATGCTGGACTCTAGGTACCACTTTAAGTGCCAAGTCTAACCACTTCTGCTGCAGCCAGGATAAACGAGAATAGAAAGATTGTCGACGTGGATTCATAGTCCACAGCCTTGATACTTGTGAAGCTATTGTGTCAATGTAGCATGGCTCTGCTTGGCCTAGGTAATAGTCAACGTTTGCTAAGTTTTTGTAGGATTCGTCGCGAAGCTCGAAGGATTATTTTAGTAGCATGTTGGCCTCCCGGATAAACCCCTGAAAATGGCGGGAATCCTTGCACCCTGAGGTTTCCGTGAGGAAATTGACCAAATTCTGGTAACTATAGAAGATGGAACAATAAAGACTACTACATCTGAACGATATTGGAAGTTTCGCACAGTTTCGATTTGCATAAATGAACAAGGAGAGACAGAAATAGCAGGGCAGAATCCTCGGGTAGACCGGTCAAGGCGCGATCGAAACCGATCGAGGTTGCGTCTAAATGTATTAGATCTGGGGTGCAGCAAGCCGAAACTTTGCAGTGGCAACAAATTTACGTGTCCCGCGCGTGTAAACAGCCCCGTCTCGTCTTCTTTTCCGATTTTCGCCTCTTTGGTCGCTTACCAAGTACGCCCCGGTCTGTAGGCGCAGTCAAGCGCAAGCGCAAACGCGATAAGCGAGATAGGCGGCGGCCTCCGGGAAGGAAGCGCGGACTAGGGAGATGGCAGATGCTTTTGGATCGTTCGAAGCTAGGGTGAGTAGTCTGGGTATGGTTTACAATTAGTAATAGTGGGAGTTCTCAGTGTCGTGGAGTAGGCGTTTTCGTAGTCGGCGATACAGGGTAACACGGACTCGTTCTCCCCACACAGAGCATGTGTACTGTCCGTTGGAAACGACATATCGGAATCGGACCGGGGTGTGCAACCTACTTTCAGTCCGACGTTGTCGTTGATATATCGACACCCTACCTGCCTACTGTAGACGGATTCTGAGCAGAGGGAGATATCTGGGGTGGTCTAGAGCACATTGCTAACTCAAATTAGAAGATACAACAATAGTCCGGGGGCAAATGCTTACACCCGTCTACATCACTTACCTCTGTAGGTAGTATTGGCAGACAGGCATCGGATGCGGGGTACCTGAAGATAGACCGAGAACACCGAGTAAAGGCCAGATAGGTACTGCAAAAGTGCAAAAAGGGACGAACACGAGTCGGCATCAACAACGGGCTAGGCTCTCGTCGAAGACAGCCACCGGAACTGGATATTCTAATAACGTACTAGTACCTAGCAGAACCTAGGTAGACATGTAGGGATGGAAGTCTAGGCAGAATCTAGGTACACTAACCCAGCATAGTGGCTTGATCGTCGATCACATGTCTTACACAACAGTAGGGATCTGATAACCGAGAGAAAGTGGAAAAACCCGACCTGCCAAAAGATGCAAAAGTGCAAAGAATGGAGGGGCCGGGTTGGTGTTTGCCTGATTTGGGCGACTGTGGGGGGGTGTGGAAAGATGGTAGTGACGGGTACTGTGGTGTAGTACGCTGTAGTCTGCTGTAGTCTAGCGGAGTGTTTACCTAGGTACAGTGGTAGGAGGGCTCGGGAGGCAGGAACAGCGGGAGAAACAACCCACTCTAGCCCTACGATGCGCTATATAATGCACTATGATGCGCTATAGGTAATACGCTATGGATCTGGTATACCAGGTAGGTAGGTACCTAAGTACCTAGGTACCTACCCAAGCTCGCCAAGGCACGGTCCTCCTCCTCTCTCTTCTCCTCTTCTCCTCTTCCTCCACCACCACCACTATCATGGAACAATGCCTGTTTTGTAAGTCCGGGCAGATTGGACAGGCCACCCTGACTGACTGACTGACTGACTGACTGCCTCTGCCTGTACCAAGCCGTCACCACCCACATGCACCGATCTTCCTTCCACAGACGTCATGCATCCAATGCATGGAGCAAAGATGCAATTAGCGACGACCTACCTCTCATATTGGCATGCCCGTCTGTAAGTCTCCTGTAGGTCTTCTGTGAGTCATCGCCCTCCGGCATCGAATGCAACCGTCTAGCTGGCACTTCGGATCATGTGGGAACTGCTTCGATTGGTTCCGTACGGTACACACGCCATGTCGCGAGCAATATCCGGCCTAGCTGGCGCAATGCGCAAAAACCCGGGATCGAGCACCATGGCAGCTTCTGCTCAACGCGCCCACACGACAAACAACCACAGCGCGCTGTCAGCTTTGTACGTTCTGATGAACTGAGCGAGGAGAGACTACCTCGTATGAGTGAGTATCATACACATTAGTTCCTCCTCGCGCGCTCTCCTTGTCTACCTAATCCCGTCCGCGGAACTGCTACTTTGGGGGCCAAAACGTAGGCGCACTGGAGGGCTCAATTCATTTTGGCATTTCTCCCAGTTTTCGGTGTATATGTCGCGTCTGAATGGCTGCTGCCGCTTTATGGAGGGCTACACAAAGCCAGCTGTCTGGTCACTCTCGAATTTTCCATTACTTTCTCGCAATCTCCCCCTTTCGTCTCCGGGCCTCTCGCTGGTGGTGAGCCAGAAAACCCTAGACCCAAGATCCCAGACCTGAAGGCGAGCCTGAATCTGAGAAATGCGAGCCTGAAATCCTAGACGCTGACAGCCATGCCCCCACCTCAGCGCCAATGCGCAATGCGCGGTGCGCGCCGAGACGAGAGACAGGCTCGACAGGGTCTTATCAGCGCATTTAGATAATGAATAAGCAGAAAAAGTCCGGGTAAAAAAGACAAGGATGACAGCCAGCAGACAAGGATAGCTGGGCTGATAATCGCACACCACCGCCAAACACTTTTTTATTAGGTATTATTTTTGCTATTCTCTCTTATTTTCATCATGGTGGGCTTGACCCTAGAGTACTGTGAGGCTCATATGCCCCCGAAGGATTGCTACCTCCAGACAATGGGGCGCTGCCTAGAGGTATGACTCGATGCAACGAGGCAGCCAACCCTTCGTCTCAAGTATACCACTCCTTCTTGTCCTCCTGTACAAGGTACAGACCGACAGACAGACAGGTACTGCCGCACAAGAGACGGTCTGTCTTCCTGTTGCTGGTGTGCAGATTGTACCTTTGCGCAGCAACTTGACTGCGCCGGCAAAGAAGCAGCACCCCCTCTTCGCAAATTGAATGAGCGCTTTCTATAAAACACCTTTTAGGCCTGTTCTTCGCTTTGCGTCTTTTACCTTCTTCCGTATTGCGGACCCATTTACTTATTACTGCGAGATTGTCCTGCTTTTGTCAGGCTATATTTCTCCTTATATAGCGCGCGCGTCCTCTTTCCTCCCACTTGTTGTTGCTTGCTTGACTCATTCTCACCTACCTACCAATCAGCCACGTACCATCCCACACAACCTGTCGTCAAGGCGACCCGTCCCAACTCGCTGCCTATTCGCGGCGACATAACTCAATCCAATCACCCCATTCGCCTTATCTGGCTTCCCCAGGAAGAGTATAATCATGTCTGAGAAACGTCATGTCAAGTTCTCACCCTCTCCCCCGGCTGGGAGAGGTATCCTAAAGCACCCCGAATCCAGTCCTCGCGACTCAGGAGTTGGCTCATCCTCTAGTGATCACACCGGCTCAAGTGGTAGTCTTGATGAGAGATTCACACCCCGGGACTACGATATCCAGAGCAACAATGTCGACGCCCTCCGGGAAGCGCTTCGTGACACAATCAAAGATATCGATAACTGGAGGACCAGATATCTCAAGAAGAATAATGAACAACTCGAGACGCGCAGAAACCTAAAAAATTCAGAGAACCGCTACCGTGAAGCATGCGAAAAGACCGAGACAATGGAAGCGCAGATGGAGAGCATGGAAGACCGGATGGCGAAACAGGATGTGGCGCTTGACATAGCCAACGACAAGATTAGAGAGCTGGAATCCAATCTTGATGACCAGATCGCTGAATTGTCCGAATGGAAGGACAAATACAAGCAACTCCATGAACTTTACGAGGTAACGAAGCACTCGACAGATGGATCCGTCGTCTCCGCGGGATCCGGGGAGCTTTCACAAGGCCTCGGGAGACGTCGCAGTCAGAGGGAGAAGAAAGAAAGCACGGACATGACCTCTCGCATGAAGCAGCGCATCAACAGGGGCGACCAGGCCGACTCGGGAAGCTCACACGGATCGAAAAGCTCGCGAAGTTCTGAGGCTACCGTGAATTCGAAGCGTTCCAGCCATCACGCCAGTACATCCTCTAGTGACAAACTGCCTTATATTGAGAAAATGCCGCGATCTAACACCAGCGGTCTGGCGGCAAGCGGTCTGACGTCGCCGCGAGAACATGGGAGCTACAAACTCACAACGGCAACATCCAACACTTCATCGTCACGAAAACACGGGGTCAGCTCCTCCTCTCGTTCTGGCTATCGCGAAAACGGCGATTACATTGCGCATCCTCTCCCCGACCGTAGCAGATACTCTGGCTGATTCCAATGTTGGCTCGACTGACGTTAGTCGGTATTACAAGCGATCATCCGATATTCTACAGTTATTACGTTTCACGACATATGTAGCCACATCATCAAGCTCGAGGTTTCAAAACCTATGCGGCTAAACATTCGACCTCCAATCTCCAACGGTGTACCACAACGGGCCTTTTTCTCAAGTCGGTACATACTGTCTCGGAGTGTCAACAAGCACGCGGGGTAGACTGACGTTGCATGCTCGAGAATCCACGCCCACGTTAGGAACCGCAGATGCCTGCGCTTCCCAAGGCATGGGACACCCTGTGCCGTCTCAATCCCGGTCTCAATCAGTACCACACGATCTGTGCCACACAACTGCCCCGCCCTATATCCTAGGCAGCCGTTCACTTGGAACTCATCCCATTTCTCGATTGGCTTACCGCGACACCTTGCATACCAACGGTACTGCTATTCACATACCTTATCGTTCCCATTCCATGCCATCCGCATACACTACACAACTCCTGTTGATCTACAAGTAGAATGCTGCCTAAGGATTGGGCTGGCAAAAATGATACCCCCGCATATTTCCCCTTTCCACTAGGAAGATGTATTAGGACGCTCTTTATCGTGGTCAGATTGTGGTTACCCTCCTTGCATTCATAGACCGGGTTCCCTTCTTTTGCTGATGGAGATGACCATATATAGAAGATAAGGTTTTGGCAACGGCTGCGGGGTTCACAAGGAAAGGAAGTTATCGGCGTTGTTGGTTTTGACGGGTATTTCCCGTGCTATTTCATTCTCTAGGCAGCGCTTACAACGCTCCTCCATTTTACTGTCATTACGTTTTTACGTCAATTTCTCGTTGGGATGTCTAACCCCACATCTGTTGGTTATTGGGATTGTGATAATGAAGATTCTGGGTTACCTTGTTGTTTTGCTACATAGACTGTACCGGGTTGCGACAGCCCATTTGTACAGACTGGCGTCAAGTGTATCGAAAAGTGTTTTGTTAGTTACTATGCACACAAATACCATATAGACGTGTTGCACACCATCATCGTTTTGGTGATAGAGGAGGATGGGCGTTATGCCGGTTTGGGCGGCAACGCATCTAGGACCGATATAGAATAACAATGAGCGATGTCGAATGTAGCCCACAGAGATCATCCTGAGAGACCCGTCTGACCAGCGCACCACGGTATTCTAAATTGAGAGAAAGTTTCTTCCATTGACTTGTTTGTCTGATGATTATGATGTTGCTTGGAGTTGGAATTCCTAGTTCGGGACAGCCTCCGCCTCCTCGAACATCTCATTATCCTACTACAGTTGACCATAGCTAGGTCACATAGTATGAGATTAGATGATCGGAACTAAGGCAATACAAGTAAAAAGTCGTTGTCATGAAATTTACGATTGAGAATGAGCTCATACTGAGTCGAGCGATTGCTGCTACCGCTGGGTGCTGTAGCAGCCGTTTGTAGTGGCGCTGGGCCCACTAAAATTCTGGCTGCTAAAAAAAGGTGCCAAACGTGGAATCTTAACCAAGTCGTCCCAGTCCTTGCCTAAACGAACGTGATGTTTCGTATAAGCCTGACGAGAATCTCAGGTCCTTATATAAAACAAGCCACAAGGAGAGTTTCGATACTCGTTGGCTCACAAGCGGCCGCGAATGGCAGAGCCATCTATCACCCGTACTCTGTGATCTTTCGGAGCTATAGTCGTCGCGATCGTCAAAATTGGACTACAAAGATGAATACAGAGAGCACGACATTTGAGACGGACGGTGTGCGCGTCGCCATTGAAGGCTGCGTAAGATCATATTCTATTCAAACAACAACAAAAAACCATTTACTTACAACGTCACTAGGGACATGGGACACTCGACGCCATCTACACCTCCGTCGCCAGGTCCAGCAAAGCGCGAGGATGGGACGGCGTAGACCTTCTCATCATCGGGGGCGACTTCGAGGCCGTGCGCAACGCCGCAGACCTCTCCGTCATGTCGGTGCCCTTGAAATACAGGGAGCTCGGTGATTTCTGGCAGTACTACAACGGCGAGAAGAAAGCGCCTTACCTCACTCTCTTCATCGCGGGCAACCACGAGGCGAGCTCGTATCTGTGGGAGCTGTACTACGGCGGCTGGGTCGCGCCGAACATGTACTACCTCGGTGCTGCTAACGTCTTACGCTTTGGGCCGCTGCGGATCGCCGGGATGAGCGGGATATGGAAGGGCCACGACTACCGCAAGCCGCACCACGAACGGCTGCCTTTCAACCAAGACGATATCAAGAGCTTCTATCACGTGCGCGAGATCGATGTGCGGAAATTACTCCTGCTGAGGGAGCCCGTGGATGTGGGATTGAGCCACGACTGGCCGAGAGCCGTTGAGAACCACGGGAATACTCGCGCGTTGTGGAGCAAGAAGCCCGACTTCAGACAGGAAAGCATTGATGGCGTACTGGGAAACCCGGCTGCCGAGTATGTTATGGACCGGCTACGACCAGCGTACTGGTTTTCCGCGCATATGCATTGCAAATTCACTGCTATCAAAAAATATCAACCGCCTCAAGCTAAGCCAGGACAAGATGGGGCTGGTGTTACAGAGGCGCCTGCGGAGTCTGACCAAGCCGCGGCAAATCCAGATGAGATTGACCTCGACGCCGAAGACGACGAGGCACCTTCCAAAGACGCACCTAGCACAGAGCAACCAGAACCGACACCACAGCCATCGTCGTCAACAGCAGTAGCAGATTCCCTCCGCGCCCAACTCCCCGCATCCTTCGCCGCGCCAAAGCCAAAGCTAAACCCAGGCCAGCCAGTACCGCCCAGCATAACCAACACCACAACGCGCTTCCTCGCGCTCGACAAATGTCTTCCAGGGCGGAAATTCATCCAACTCCTGTCCCTCACACCGTTGAACCCAGACCATCTAACACAATACCCACCCTCCTCGCCACCCCCATCCCCATCCGGGAAGTACCCCCTCTCCTACGACCCAGAATGGCTCACCACAACACGCCCATCCCGCCGCTACACCCTGTCCTACGATCCCGAATGGCTCGCCATAACACGAGTCTTCAACCCACTCCTGACAATCGGCGACCCGGCCGTTCCCACGCCGCCCGACCAAGGCGAAGCCGCGTACGCAGCGCAGATAGACGCCGAACGAGCCTGGGTCGACGAACACGTCGTGCGCGCGGGCAAGTTGGTTATCCCGGAGAACTTCGCGATCACGGCGCCGCCGCATTACAAGGGGATGCCCGAGAGCACGCCCGAGCAGCCCGAGGAGTACACGAATCCGCAGACGGGGGCGTTCTGCGAGCTCGTGGGCGTGAGGAATTGGTGGGATGCGAGTCCTGAGGAGCGCGCGGAGAGGAAAGCTAGGGGTCCGCCGCCGTCGGAGTTCCGTGGCGGTGATGGCGCTGGTGGTGGTGGGAATAGAGGACGGGGAGGTGGGCGTGGGCGTGGGCGTGGGCGTGGGCGAGGTGGAGGTGGAGGGCGTGGACGAGGAGGGCGAGGGAGGGGAAGGGGGAAGGGATTCGGTGGTTGGCGGTGATTTTTGTCTTCTACGGACACGCATCTTCGCTATTAACGGATAGAACATAGCATAGTAGGAGATTTGCGGCAAAATTCATTGCTATGTATTACTAGATACTATTGTACAGACATAAACTGGGTTGATCATATTCGATTAAATCTCTTATCTCTGATATGGAAATGTCTCCCCTCCTAAAAAGCATGATCTCGACGGAGAAATAGCACAAGTCACGCAGAGTGACGGGGGAATCAATAGAAATTGTCAATCTACCATCGATATTAGACGTTCAACCCAAGGGAGAGCGAGGAGTTGAACGCATATGCTAAGATGGAGTAGAAGAAAATGAGAATGATTAGATGCAATCTAGCCCAAGCAAGCTGAAGATTACCTTTTTCTTGTCTCCTCTTACGGTATGGGGACAAGTTGGACTATGTTGAGGAAGTACGTTGAGGTGAGATGACTCAGCGTTTGAATGAGGCCTGTACACAATCCCTCCTCCCTTCAGCTGGTTTGATTACAGCATTGCATTGTGGTATCAAAGGCACTATGATTACTCCTTTGCCGCAAACGCCGCGGAGATCTACATCTAGATGGACTAGAGGGCCAACGCGTGCTGAGAGTGGTAAGATTATGATGGCCCTTTATTTGATGTTAGTGTGCGACCATTGGTTACCTTACTTGTGATGTGTAATGAATCGGTCAACAAGGTTAGGGCGGAAAGCCTTACGATCTAATCCGAGGAAGTCTGCAGCTTGCAGAAGTTCAAGACAGAGTTCGACAGGAACATCCATATCAGGAACATTTGGACTCTCCTTGTACTTGTACCAATACTGGCAGTACTCGGCCACTTTTTCAAGAATGACACCACTAGAGAACATCAGTCAGCCTCAGTACACTGGGAATGTTGGTCAAAACCAGGAGGAACGTTGACGCGAGGGGAGAGTCAGATCAAGTGTAGTTTGCTGTCATGCGGACCAACAAGGTGTCGGTCTATCAGTAAGAACACAGCGAAATATTTTTGTGATCATCATTATTGTAAGCGGGACACGTCCACTTGGATACGGTGTCGACGGCTTGATGGCTTGGCAATGAATGAGTCGACTTACTTAATCTCCTCGAAGTAGCATCGACCTGTACGTGCCTCGCTGAATTGACCTAACAAGCGGTCAGAGGGGGATTGGCCCGTGGAAAGAGGAAGGTGATGGCAACGGTGGTTCGATAGGGAGTAAACTCACTCTTTGGGTCCAGCATTCCCTTGATGGCTGAGCTTACCAGGACAGCCTCGCGCAGCACGACGAACTCGTAGCCATCGCCCGAGGCCAGAGTTACGTACTTGCTGGGCGCAGGGGCATTGGACTCGGCCATGGTAGAGCTATTTGTCTGTCTGGCTGTCAAGCTGTCTGTGCATGAGTCGAAGATGCGGTGATGTATGTACGTGTCGAAAGGGCAGTGAATGACTGGTCGCGTATTTATGGAGTGGGAGAAAATTTGGCGTGAGAGTGGATCGAGGTTAGCGTACAGAGCATCCAGACCGCATCAACAGGCCAAGTTGAGTTTACACTGAGCACGGACCACTTATGCTCAAGATGGATCGAATCGATTACTCTTCACCTGATTGTCAGACCAAAGTGATGATAGAAAACTAACAGGCAATGAACAAGCGTCTCGTGAGCACTACGAAGGGAATGAAATGAAATCATGTGGCGGCTGTCAGGTCGGGGCAAGTAGGTACCTACCTACCCAATGTACAATGTACCGGTACCTATCTGGTCATCGATAGGGCTGGTAACACGGTAACAGTACCTAGGTACCGGTGACGTGACCCCGAGCTACTATGCCTGTTCAAATACCACCTACGAAGTACGGAGTAGTTCCAATCACCACATCACATCGGGAATGTCTGACTTTAAGTGTCAGTGCACTCATCACATCTTGGCAAGCACTTTCCTGCTTGCTGGTAATAGGGAATAATAAGACTCTATTGAGGACATGGAGCTGGGTGCATAAGCACTTACATAGTAGGTAAGGTTACCGTCCTTGAGGTAGAGTCGGTACGTACCTATCTGTCCACCAATGGACGGGTGGAGCCAAGCCAGAGAAATACTTACAGAATTCGGCCAATGTTATCGATAACAGGTCGATAACGTGGTTCCTGAAACTTGAAACAGCGCTGTGGGTTTAGTGGGTTTAGTGGACTCTTTTTAAGCTTCGAGCCACTAAACTGGCGCCGTTGCCCTGCCGACTCGATTCTATTGATCTCTGACGAAATGCATGATCCCGGACCACCAGCCAATCAACTCTTCCACAGGTTCTTTCCGATTCCTTTCCCACCAACAGTGCACCTTCCCAAGTCCTCGGGGAGAGAGACCTCGATGTTTTCCTTCTTTACACTTACTTCCCACACCCACAACATAACACAACACACTACAAACAACATCACTCATCACCACCGCATTGCATTCTCAAACCTCCAATCTAGGCGGATGAAGTCTCACCTCCATTCCAACGCCATTGAAAACTCCCCAATAGCAATAGCTCATCAACCAACTCTCTTATACCGACAGCTATAGTCAGTCACTTCATCCTCTAGCCAGCGAACAAGCTAGATAGCATTACATCAATCACATTCCCAACACCCCCCCGCGCCCGTTATGGCGTACTCACAGTCTCAAAACTACTACGACTCATCAAGATACGACAACGGCCTCCAGCGCAAACCCACAGATCGCAAGCAAGGGCGTAACACGCGCGCCAGCGACGGCACAGTCAGCACTGTCATGAGCAGCACATCGACAACAGGGAGAGACTCATCCGCTACACACATGACAGAAGCCCCCGCCTACTCCAAGAAGATCGTCGTTGTCGGCGACGGTGGATGCGGCAAGACATGTTTACTCATAAGCTACAGTCAAGGATATTTCCCAGAGGTAAGGTTATACAATACCCCCTGATCCCTCAAGCCTTTTATCTCTCTCTCCTTCTCTCAGTGCCGTCTCTAGCTTTTATTGTATTCTAACCCTTCGCTGCTATTAGAAATACGTACCAACCGTCTTCGAGAACTACATCACTTATCCGACACACCAACAAAGCGGTAAGACTGTGGAGCTCGCGCTGTGGGATACCGCCGGCCAAGAAGAATATGACAGATTACGGCCATTATCATACCCCGAGACAGATCTGATCTTCGTCTGCTTCGCCATTGATTGCCCCAACTCTCTAGACAATGTCCTCGATAAGGTTTGTTGCCCCTCCACTCCGCCAGCGAATCCATATCAGCGACGCTAACCGACCATGATTAGTGGTATCCCGAAGTTCTTCACTTCTGCCCCTACACACCCCTCGTTCTCGTCGGTCTCAAATCCGATTTACGGCATAAGAAGACCTGCGTCGAAATGCTCAAGACTCAAGGTCTCACGCCCGTTACAAGCGAGCAGGGCATGACTGTCGCGAAGAAGATGGGCGCCCAATACATGGAGTGTAGCAGCAAAGAAATGGTCGGTGTCGATGAGATCTTCGACACCGCTATTCACACCGTCGTCATGAACGACAAGAGGAACGTCGAGGCCGCCATGGCAGCGGCCCCCAAGTCATCAGGCACCGGACTAGGCCGCAGCAAAGACAAAGACAGCGGCATACCAGGAGTACGCGCTTTTAAGAAGAAGAGGCGGAACTGCAACTTCCTGTAAAGGGGAACCGGGACGTTACTACTTCCTGCGAGCGACGGATAATGACGTACGACGCTGCAATGACCTTTATCGTTTCTTTTCAATCGTTTTTTCCCCCTTGTTTGTTCGCTACAACCTTTTATTACGGCCTCTGGGCATAGGCGAATAGGTATCCGGCGTACCTGTGCGTCTGTCGACTGGAGCTTGGGAGCTTTCGAATTTCCACACAAATTTTCGACATTCAGACATCTTTGCATGAGACTTTTCTTCTTTCGATGAAGGAGAATGAAGGAGACTTTCATCAATCGACGAAACGGGATCAAGATAGGGACGGCGGATGGTTCGGTTGGCTGGATGGATCCGAAGGCAGAGAAAGGGGATGGGGAAATGGTTTGTCTTTTATGTCTAGTCTCATATGGTTTGCCAGCATTGTTGTGTCGATAACGACTGGAGGCGGGTAATGGTATATATCAAGATTATACCTAGTTACTTTCTCTCTGTCTTCTTTTTGTCAAGAGGATTGGGAAAATTGCCAGGCTGGACACGGCGAAAAACACTGTATGAGTTAGAAACCCGCGTGGGATGGGAGATTTTGGTGTTTTTTTCGTCGTTTGTATGGATTTGTGTTTTGTTTTTACTGTTCTTTTGCAACGCATAAAGCATGGTCTGGGATAGCAAATAAACTGAAATTATTCATTATCAGCGTCGAATCTGATATAGCGTTGCTCTACTGTATTTCATTCGTCGTTCGTGATGGTGGTATGCCTGAACGCCGTCCCGCGATAGAAGTAAAGTATCAAGAAATCCACGCGTCGTGACCTTGTCTCGCTTACACTCTCTCTACACCCATTTCCTCACGACTGTGGCGTTGGCTCGCCCTTGGGCGTCGTCGACCGCTCCCCTATATCCTGCTGCTCCTGGTCATCGCCCGCTGCTGCCTTGGTCTCCTCGTCCTTGGCCATGACGTTCTCGAACTGTGACCAGAGCGCCTCGACGGACGAGAACTCGTTGCCTACCTGTGTTGATGATTAGTGGTTCTTCGGGAAATGATTCGAGAGGGAAGAGGGGGAAATAACTTGACTTACTGCTACAACGGCCTCGAGTGACCGGTTCAGCTTGTTGATGTTGGCGAGGACGTGTTCGAAGCTCTGTGCGTAGGGTGGATGGTGTTAGTGCATGGCTATTTCCCTTCTCCATCTCTCTCTCTCTCTCTCTCTCTCTCTTCAGTCTTAGTCTCTTGGTCGATTACTCATGAGCTGCTTCATGTCCCTAATTCCCCGTATCTTAAGCAGATATGCATCCGGAAGCAAGTCACGGATTCAGAAGTGAGACGGGAAATCTGATGGAATAAATAGAGAGAGAAAAGGTGGATATGAAAAGAGATGAAGAGTGGTCAAAAGAGCCAAGAACGCACCATAGCTATCTCCCCAATCAACGCCTCACGCTGCTGCTCGAAGTGCGTCTTCTCCCTGCCACCGGCGACGCTCGTGCTCCGGCCCATGATGGACGTCGAGCGGGAATGTGACGCCATGTTCTTCGGGATTATGTATCCCTCACTTCCCTTCCCTTTCTATCGTCCTTAGATGCGAGAAAATTAGGTATTTGGGAAGCGTGTCTGTGCGGGTTGATCTACGCGGACGATCCACAGGCGTTTGTCTATGTACCTCGATGAAACGGGATCTGATAGGTACCTAAGTAGGTAAGTATCTAGAGAGAGACCTGTTTCTAGGCGAGTTGACCGATGATACTCCACGAGGTGTTCCTCAGACGTTGTTAAATCAGATAAGTTAGGCTTTAGACAATCCAAGTCGCGTGTTGCTGCGTGCTCTGTCTGTCTTATGAGGTCGATGGTGGGGTTGATCCGGGGTCTCAATGCCCGGTATTAGGGCGCAGTGTAAAGGTTAGCCCCGACCCCTCCATAGTGGAACCAGATCGATATCTACCCGCGCGGCGTTACGCACTGGGGTGATACAATTCCGCATTCCTCCCAATAGACACGATGTGCTCTAATGGCACTCGTATCTCTTCCGAAGATCTATCTTAGCGTTTTGAGATTCGCAGAGGCAAATTCTTGAGTACCTGCTTACCTACCTACCGTAGGTAGCCCCCCATCAACTAAAGATTATTGGTGGCTGTATATATATTTATAATTGAACGTCCGGATTTGACACGAATTAATACAGGTCATATAGAAAACCTTAGAATATGCAGTGCCGACTGGAAGACTGCGTCGTTTACGTAATATACAAACAGGAACCGTCCTGGGTGTCCTCGAAAATTCGTTGAAGATAAAAAATGCCACTTGTGCATCATCGTAGACGCAATCCCGTTTAATCCCTTCTATATGCATCGTTGCAAGGCAATCGATTGCCTTTGGTTGTGTCATCATTGTATCACTGCCATCCAAACGCCTTAATGGTATCATCCAGCTCATGACGGAATCACAAGTACAACAACGTCCCCTTCTGCTCTTCAAAGGAAATAGTCTGATGGCCCGCGCCGTCCCGCTGGCACGTGTCGCATGTCGTCCGGGACAGCCGAGAAGATACAAAATTTAGGGTCTAGGTTCTTGTCCACCGTCATAATTGAGGCAACATTGCCACAGCGGTAACAGTAGTTTGGCGCCGACCAAACTGTTACGACTGAGTTTTGAGGGAAGTGGTACTGCCGATGTGTTAGGACGCGAAGATGGCGTGGCGGGCCTGGAGACATAGATACATACCTTATATCCCTCGTTCACTAATTGATGCGCACGAGCAATAAGCTTGAGTCCATTAACATGGTTGAACTCGGTTGCGACTTTGTCCCCAAATAACCACCCAGCGCCTCGAGGACTGATAGCCCACGTCTCTACATCCTCGGGATCACTCCAGACAAGGTCGCAAAAAGCGCCTTCATGAGGAATTTCCTGGGCACGAGCAACGACTCGAATCTGGTCGATAGTGCGGATCTCAGGGCTAAGACCTCCATGGACGCAGAGTATCTCGCCGTCGACGATCGCAGCGAGCACTAAGAAATCAAAAACCTGGCAACATGCCTTCCACACCGACGCGTTGCCATATTTCTGTTGGCATTCTTCATAGAATCCATATACTTGCGTGATCTGCCTAGACTCGTGGTTGCCACGGACAAGGATGATACGGTCAGGGTATCTGCTCTTGCGTTAGCATGGGAGAGCCTCCAAGTCTCAGGGGACATGTGGGTCTAACTTGGCTTTTAAGCACATAAGTAATGTGAATGTTTCAAGACTGAAGTATCCCCGATCTACGAAATCGCCCAGGAAGACGAAGCGGGTATCTGCGTTTGTGGCGGCCGCGACCTCGCCTGACGTAGGATTGGAAGAGTTCGCAATCTCAGTAGCGTCCTCTTCGTCCTCTTCGGCGGTACCTGAGCTCTCCCAGGTTGTATCTGCGTTCTCGGGCTTTTTGGTTTGCTTTATCTTCTTCTTTAGCTTCGGGTTTGTTATTTCGGGGGGTTCGATGTCGTCTGAGGTGATTACGGTTGTTGCCGTCGCGGGCGCTTCGGTGGCGGGCTGTCCGGGCATGCCTCCGCTGACGCGGAACAGCTCTAACAGGTCGTAGAACTGGCCGTGAATATCACCGCAGATGGTCACTGGGGTCACTACCGGTTGGATGTTGGATTCTTTATAGCCAAGCCAAAGCACATGTCAGTTGGGAACGCCCCATAATCTGTTGAGCGGGGCCTTGAGAGGGCAGGCCTACCTTCCATAAGAACTTCCTTAACGATCTCACAGAGCTCCTTCATGACAGGCTCGGGTAGATAATGGCATTGTTTCGCTTCCTCGAGCCACTCGTCCAGCCCGGCGCCTGGGGTCAATTTAGCTGGCCCGGGCTTGGGTACTGCGACACGAGCAGGGCCCATTATTTGGACAAGAGAGCTCGAGATTTTGTTGAAACAAATGGGGTATATAAAGAGAAAAGAAATTGGAAATAGACCGATATGACAATAGCAGTACCCTTAACGCGGTCTTGACGATGGTAGACAATGCCCAGGTGGGTTGTCGAGAGCTGGGGGGTGGTGGGCTACGGATATGCTAATAGTGTATTAGTAGCATAACCCCGATATAGGAATGACTAATCTGTGCAGAGGCTCATTGATGATGACTAAGGTGGGATGAATCTACTGTAATAGTAATTAGATTACAGTGCGTATGTACTGTACAGGTACCCTGGATTAGATAATATTAGTACTATACCTATAACACTTATAACGTTGTATGTACTTCGTAGGTACTTAGGCAGGTACAATGCCCAAGCTATCCATGGTGGGGTAGGTGCTTGCTTGATGCGATAATGAGCCAGCCAGGTATGCGCCTTGGTCGCAGTTTACTTTCCCTCCTGCTCAAAACATCAGCTCCTCCTAACCTTACCTGGTGATTCACCCACTTGAGACACCAAGACACCGTCTGCAAGGTATCTTGGCTAGTAATTCTAACACAAAGATCATGTGCTTTACGTCCGTTATTGATAGTCCGCGTTCGCCCACGTTCTTAGGAAATCACCGTTATCACATTCAAGGATGGGTAAGACCCCAGCCGAAGGGAAGAAGGTTGTGATTCGCCGCTTGCCTCCTGGCATGACTGAGGATGAGCTCTGGGCTATCCTTGGTGATGGTTGGAAATCCGGCAATGGCAAGGTCGATTGGATGCGATTTGATGACGGCGAGATTTCTAATGAGTTAGTCTTCTTTGACAGGCTGTCTATCCCATTGCCATTGCCTTACCACTAATGCTTCGTCTCCAAACCTAGTCCTTCCGACCTTTCTCGGCCTGCGCGCTGTTACCTTCATCTCCTGAGCCTAGCCGACCTCCCAATTCTGTCAGATAGAGTTCAGCAATTGAAGTGGGAAGATGCTAAACGCACGGCTAATGATCCAGCTCTTGTCGGTCCGCCCTACATGGAAATTGCCCCTCTGCAGAAAATCCCAACAGGAAAGAAACGAACCGACCCGAGGCAAGGCACCATCGACTCTGAACCGGAATTCATGAAGTTCCTTGAAAGTCTCACTGCACCAACGCCGACCAAGGAGACCGACCCTGAACAAGTTGCTGAGGATGCCACTAAAACTGACGTCAAAGTTACGACAACCCCCTTGGTCGAATATCTCAAGGAGAAAAAGGCCAACAAGGCAAAGGAAGCTGCACTGTCTAAGAGCGCTAAACATCCCCGGCATGAATCATCCAATAAGAGCAAAGACGACACTAAGAAGAAGGGCAAGGAGTCCAAGACCGACAAGGCGGACAAAACCTCTGAGAAGGACAGGGACAAAGATAAGGCCAAGGAGCCTGTCAAATTACTCACAAAGAAGGCAGTCGCTCAGGAGGTAGCAGAGGCTGCAAAGTCTGCAGCAAATTCAGCTACATCCAGTAAGGCAAGCGAGGAGGCAGCTCCGAAGAGTCGCCGCGCGAACATAGCTGCTGCTGCTAAGATATTGCAACGTGACCTTGGTCTCAGTCCAGGGAGTGCTCACAGGCGAGCACGGCAGGATGCGGCGAAAGATGCAGCTAAGGCCGAAGCTACTGGCAAACCAGAAACAAGCAAGGACGGTAAAGAGAACAGTGGTAAGGCTGCTGCTTCTACAACGCCAACTGGACCTAGGGAGTCTGCCTCCTCTACTGCGAAGTCGTCAACACCTACCGCCTCGAAATCGCAAACCCCCGAAAGTTCTCGACGAAACCGGGGCGGCAAAGGTGCGAAGCAAAATCCATCGAACGAAACTGGAAAGGGAAAGGCAACCGAGACTCTCACAACCGGCAAATCAGCGCCAATGCCCACTCCAGTCATCTTGAAACGCAAAGACAATATCACACCCGCCGACGTGGCACCAGCAACGTCGACAACAACAGCTTCAAACTCCACCCCAGCAACTCCAACTGGGCCAAAGGCCGCGAGTGGTAAAGCCGCGTTGGCTGGGAAGTCCACACCTACAGCGCAGAAAAAGGGAGCCGCAACCTCTTCTATAACTCCGGGTGCTACTCGTGGCTTTGTCAAACACGCAAACCCCTCCCAGGGTGTCACGGAACCTCTGCTCAAACAAGCCATGGAGGGTTTCGGCCCTGTTACCTTCGTTGAAATCGACAAACGTAAGGGTTTTGCGTATGTTGACTTTGGTAATCACGATGCGCTCATCAAAGCTGTAGCTGCTAGTCCAGTCTCGGTAGCTCAGGGTACTGTTCAAGTTCTGGAACGGAAGGAAACAAAAAAGGCATCTACTGCAGCCACGGCGACCACAACATCCACATCAACATCCACACCCACAGCTGCCACTCCCACTCAACAACAAGCTGCCGAGAAGAAGGCCGAACCGCAGGCAGAACGCACTAAACGGGGTGGCCGTGGTAGAGGCCGACGAGGAGCTGCAAATGCTGGCACAAGTGGGACTAATGACCAAGTAGGCCCACCAACTTCACAGCCAGGGGCTTCTGCTGGATGAAGAATACTTTTTGAGCAGAAACTAAGTTGCCATCGATGCAATATCCTAAAACACCGGGTCGTGCTACTCTCTGACTGAATTCATCGGGTTCATCAATATTAGAAAGCTAAACTATCCGGCTTTATGCAGACGGGTTACGAGCCATCACCCTTGACTGAGCAGAGAATCAGGTACCAGGCTAGGAAGCCAGCAAAGCAAGCTTATAAATTAGGACCCTACCGGCTTATCTCAAAGCGCATGTCGCGCCATTATAACCAATAATCCCGCAACAGAAAGGGAGTGGAAGTGTGTCATTAAACTGGAACTTCAGGTCGTCCTCAATAATGGCCGGTAACAAGTTCCTTGTAGGTCGACGATAGTGCAGTCCTCAATCGACTCTTTAGACTTAGCAAGCACCTGGCATGGTTGGTTCAGATTCAGGCTCACCAAGCTGACGATATTAGGTGAGCTTGGAGAGTCGAACATGGCCCTAATGATGTATCTAGAGCCTGTCTGACCTCTGGCTTGGAGAAGAAGGTCAAGAATTAATAGAATTATTGTAAGACTTGGCCAGTGCTGGATTGCCATATATTCATGAATAGCGCCTGCGGGCCGAGCCGTTGACTGGCGTTTAGCGTAACCACTGATGTCGTCGCGGTACCTAGTCGACTGTTGAGGGCTCGCCACTGGTGTGATGCGGGCGCCTCACTGAGTGGAACAAGATGAGAACCGGGAGCGATACCAATGAAGTTAGGAGAAGAGCCTTGGGAGGTGCCAGAGTATTTTCTCTGCACTCATTGACAGTGGGGTTCATGTGACTATGTAACTTGGAAAGACCTGTGGGCGCAATAAGATGTCTATACTTCCAAGATAGATATCATACTTGTACAACCCTCGAAGCTCTCGCAGCCATATGCTTAATGGCTTGAACCTGTCCCTCACTACCGGCCGATTTTACTGAATACTAAGCATACAACTCCATGGTCTCGACGGTGAACAAACCTCGAAATAGCAATACCTAGCAAGCCTTGCCAACTCTTCTCTACTTCGAGGTCGATACGGTCAGGCGGTGATTAGGGGAAACACTCCGCGCCAAGGTGAGTTCCACGAAGCAGTTGTATGCGCCTTTAGCTTGCATATGATAGAAGCCACGCAAACGTCTTGCAAACACTGAATCACGACTACGAAATATTTCTCCAAAGAACTAACAAATACCACATTTGATAGACAACTGTTGGAATAACTAAGGCTTAGGTATCAGCCAAAGCCAAACTCGCTCTATGGGGGGTTTGAGGAGGAATACATCGCACAAGTAATCATTATCCGAACTCGCAGCCACTCTAGAAAATGCGGCACTATTCGAGGATAGCCTTTGAAGCAACCCCGCGTTTAGAGAACTGTGCTGTGAAACCCCCAAAACATCGCCCTATTGGACACTTGTACAAAAACAATATTCAAAGAGGCGAGACCGGAGGGCAAAGTGCTCTCCGGATGTGGTAGCGATCCGGCAGCCACAAATATCGCGGGGATGCGGGGGCTACGAATCCACGAGGACACCATTGGTTGATTGGAGAAGTTCAGATCAAACATGCCGTGATCGGCTCCGTACTGGCATCATCCGCGCCAGTTGCAGTCGGCAAGATACGGCCGAGCAAGAACGGCGAATGCCCAGTGAGCGCGAAGCATTCTGTCTGCACCGAGAACTGAAATGAATTGCCAAGTTGACGTCACATGAATTTAATATATATGTGTTTCAAAGCTATCCAGTCATTGTTACAAGATGCGTCAACTTTGCACACCGGTGAGGTAGATCTGCTCGGGATGCAGTGTAGTTATACATAGCATCGGGATCAATATGCAAGTTTCTGTCTCCATTCACAGGCCCAGCCAGCCACACAAGGGTCCATGTCTTAAATGTTGAGTAGCCAGCCACTATATGTATGAGTTCTCGTGAACTCCTCAAAACTAGGTAGACCGTTTGTGAGCTACTGCCTCGGACTTTTCTTTTTTCTATTCTAGTCATATCTGATTACGTATTGAAATAAGGGTCCCGCATGAGGCGTCGACGATCATGGGGAGTGGAAGTGCCTTGCATCGTCTACTACGCAGGAGATATCGGTAAACCCGCCCTACGCGAGAGAGAGAGAGTGTGAGAGACAGCATCTCTGCCAGCTATTGTGTGACCTGTCTACTAATGTGTGGCTATACTATACTGATCATGAGAGTATGCTGCATAGCAACACCTCTGGTCTTCACAGGGCACGAGAATGTGGCGAGCTGCTAGCTTCCGGTCTTCATAGCATATGATTCTTGATAGAATAACGGGTACACGAGCCGTACCTTTGCCTCAGACAAGTAGCTCATGAGCCTGTCCACTCCTTCAAGGACCATCGTATCTCATGTTCTCGGATCAGCCGTGGCTTTAACGACAGCCATGACTTACACAGAGTGTATGCATAGTACTTTGCCAGTGTTCGACGTATCAATCTTTATTGCGCTTGCCAGCGTACACTCATGTATCTGATATGATGAATCTGGCGTTTGTGTCAGTCAATTAGAGTATGCGGTATACAGCTCAGCCGGCCACTGACCTGCAATGTCTTATGTAGTCCGAGGGGCCAGTAGATCAGCGTCTCTCTTCACAGTGAATACATCGGGTGAAAACGATTACATAGGCTACCTAGGCGAGCTGTGAGTCCACTTGGGGACTGGACTTGCGTCTTTGCAACATGCAACACTTCACCACGTATCGAGCACCTCCATATTGCCACCCGCGGTAGACCGCTAGAAATGATTTACCACTTCCGAGTTCGAATATTTAAGGGGGCAATCCTCCGCCATGAGTCTCTGGTCATGAAACTCCTCTAGTCATCACCACATCAATCTTGCTCATCTTCCTCATTATACCTCCTTTGCCTCTTTCTCAAGTCTCAAACTCTAAGTCGTCACTCCATTCAGCATCCCAACAATGTCTTCTCCATCAGCTCGAGACGGAAGTGACGTTGCCGTCGCTGCTCCAGGCGAGTGGCAATGCAATGTCTTTTACCAAGATGACAACGGCGCGGTGCGTCAATCTATCCATAACAAGGGCAATTGGAGCCACACGACCACTCCGACCTTCACAGCCAAGCCGTCAAGTCCTCTAGCCGCTATTAGCTTTGATGGCGGAAAGGAAGTAAGTACTATCGCCATAGCTTCACGCATTTAGTATCCACGTCTGACTTGTACTCGCGAGCTAGGTCCGTGTATACTGCGTCTCGGGAGAAGGGTACCTGGAGGAATATGGATACTCGTCCAACAAGCCTGGCTGGTGGGGTGGTGCGCTGAACAAATTGAGATTCCGCGTTGCCGCGGCCTCAAAGGTTGCCGCTGTGTATTGGAACGATAACAGGAATATCAGAGTATATGTCCAAGGTGAGGTTCTGATGATGATCATTCAAGTCCTACTCAACTAACGGAAGAGCAGACCCGGATAACAAGGTTCAAGAACTTGTATACGATAACAGTGGTGGCTGGAGGAAGGGAGCTTCTCTTCCCGTTGCTCAGGATGGGTCCAGCTTGGCTGTTGTGCGCTGGGAAAAGGAAGGGCGGAGTTGCCTGCGCGTATACTACCAGGCTCGTGACAGCTCGACCGTCAAGGAACACTGTTACGAGAATTCTAAATGGTTCGAAGGTGAGGAAGTGAACATCCCTATTGAGAGTATCTGTTTTAGCCTAACATGGGTACGGTGCAGGCGAATTCTCTATCCCCGACATCCCCCCCTACGCCTCGATCACCGCTGTGGTGTTCAGAGACGCTCAAGCTGGTGTGCACCTGCGAGTGTTCTTGCAGGACTCAAGCGCCAGTATCATCGCGTACCACAACGACGGAGGGTGGGTAAAGCAAGGGGCTGTCGTAGGACCTCTGCGCCCTGGAAGACGCATTGCAGCCCTCGAATGGAGAGAGGGAACTGAGCTGAGAGTCTTCTATCAGGCTGATGATAACAAGATTCGCGAACAGGCCCAGTCCAATGCAGGAGCGTGGTACAAAGGCGAGTATGAGGCTTAAGCCCGAATCTTCCAGTACTGTTACGCAGTGGTGAGTGCATCGTCTTTGAGGTTATGCTCGCTGAGTTGGAAGTTCGACGATGAATGATGATCATTGCTTCTGTCCTTCAACAGGCCAGAAACTGGCCGTGGCCGAACCTACCTTTCAACAGGTCGGGGGTCAATTAGTTAGTTGATAAAAGCAATTTATCTGATTTTACAACTATAAAGTAGATCCCTTGAAACCAATAACGTACCGGTTGACTTTCTGCTTCGAAACTCAATTCGTATCTGTTCCAATTGGACGATGACTGCGATGCTATAGAGCAGAAGTGACCCATTCCGGGACACCTGCGCGGATACAAACCTTGTGAACCGCCCGGTCTCCGTTTTAATTTGGGCATATTGACTCCACTAGCGCACCATGTTGTTGGAAACTGGCTCGGTAATTTCGGTCCTCGGTGTTATCCCCTGATTCTCTGCCTGCCGGTGACTAACAGAAGTACAGAGAGACGTGGCCAGAAGCGTAACCAAAACTGCAAGACATTATACTGGTCTCAAGTTTCACAATAGCTCCCACATTTGTTGCTCGAGATAGACTTGAATATGGTTGGAGCAGAGCTGATGAAGGGATTCGACTACAACAGTACTGATACTGTTCCGCTATGTAAGAGATTCACACGACCCTGAATGCCTCTGACATCAACATCACAAGGTGCAACATATGATTATAAAAGCGTTCAATTGTGCTTTGCGATCTAAGAGATAAGGCATCTGAAAAGGGACATTTATAAACTCATGTCATCGGACCGCCATCGACGCAATATACATTGGGAGGCCACATCACTTATGAATGTTCAAGATATGGAACGGCCCAAAGGTGCTGATGTACTCCGTACACCACTGTACTATTCCTCTTTTATTTTTGATCTTACACCTGGGGCACTGTTACGTTCTTTATTTAAATGAGGGGATCTAGCTCTACTTACTTCTGCTATACGCCGGCAGTAGATATCTTGTGCCGTGATAATTTCAACCACGTGCGTCGAAAGAGCACGAGCAGGACGAACTATCCAGGAACATTGATAAAGGCATTCAAACCCTGCGCGTCAGACCACCCCTTGAAGCTTATGTGCTCCCCCTCTTCCCTAGCTTCTCGCCATTTCTTCCACTGCTTTTGCCTCTCTCTTTTTTGAGCTCGTTTAAGCGTTTTCTGCTGTAACAGTGCTGCTTTCTTGGCCGCCTTTTCTTTTCGTTTCTCTTCCTTCTTCCTCGCCTTCTCAGCCGCCTCTTGCAGAAGTTGCTCAGAACTCTTCTTCGCTCTCTCAGCTTTCCGAAGTTCCCTTTTTCGAATCTTTGCTGCTTCTTTCTCCTGCTCCTTCTGCACTATTCGCGCCATGTTTGCACGAATATTTTCACCGAACTCTGTTAACTTCTTGGGATCCTGCACGAACTTGAGTACGAGTTCTCGCGTAGCAAGGGCGTCCTCGAGGGGATCATGCGCGCCGCGCGTCTTCTGCACGGTCAGTTGCAACAGCTCCTTACATGCAGACTTCAGGCTCCAGGTGCGCGGAAAGGTTTTCGCGTCCCCGAATACAGCGTGCGATAGCAGCGTCATGGAGTCAACAACGCGATTGGTCGCCATGTGCAGGACACGGTAATCGTTGCTCAACGCATGCCCAATGAAGATAGTTTCGGGGTTTGTCACATTGAAGATCTTTTTGCGCACCACCGCCCAATTGGCGAACGCCTTACCTTTCTTGACGGCTTCCGCCATCTTTGCCTTATTGATTCCTGTGACCCCTCGGCGCCAGTCGGTGACGATGCCCGTCGGCTTTACGAGGCCGCGCATCAAAATTTTACCAGTGAAGAAGTCTAGAACGACGACACTCGAGAGGCCCTGCTGGCCGCCTCGTAATGTGACCATCTCGCAATCGATGACGATTGCGTCGTACGTTTTATGGTCAGCGTCAAGGTGAACGCACGGCGTCTTGACTGTCGTGTCATACGGGTCCGGCGTATCGGAATCGCCTTCCAAAGCGTCGGAATCGACAGTTGTGGGTAGGGCGGGGAAATGTTCGGACGCGAGACGCTCGCTATTGAGGACGTAGGACTCGAGAACGCTGTACAGATGATCGCGTATGTAGTCGGGGGTTTCCTTTGAAGCCCAGCGAAAGCGGCTGGGAGGGCGATGCTCATGATTCCATGTCTTTTTGTGTCGACGCCCCGATGACTTGGTGGCGGGGGTTCGCCGCGGTGTCTTTCTCACTAACTCGGTGACGGGCGCGGGGACCTTCTGAAATGATAGACGTGGTTCCTCGATGCTGCGGTTTGAAGCAGAGCTGGAGAAAGCATGGCTCGGTCGACGGTTCGTATGTAGGCTCCCCTGTAGCTTCGTATGCAGAATCCCACGGAGACCAAGGCTATTGGGTTTGTACAAGACTCTGGCATAGTTAATACATAGGCAGGTATTCATGTGGTTCGCGTTGAGCGTTCTCTTCTCACCCGCATCGTGCTAGGACTCTCATTATAGGAAGTCGCTGTAGGGCAACTGGCCCTCCGTCATGGTGTGTAAGCGAAGTTTATGAAGTATGTATTGGTAGTCGTTGTCACATAGGACGATCTTCTGGACGAGGATTGCGGTTGAGGAGCAAGGGAATGGTTCTGAAAAAATGCACAATTCGCAATTCACAATTCACGTCAGTGGAGCCTTCAAGTTGATCAAAACCATTTATATGTGCATATTTGCATATATGCATATGTATAATAAGAGGAGTCTGGGTGTACCACCGACTGGCTGGCTCAATAGCAGCGATATAACGTTTGATTGAAACACCTTGAATCTTTTCTAGCTATGGATTATGAATAAGCTATGTGACAGCCATAATGCTAGGTATACAGTAAGTGCCTGGATGTTTAAACTTAGATTTCTGCTGCACCACGTGCTAGGATAAGATCTACATATGCCTGCAGAGGTACTTACAAGTTACAGGACACAATTGGCCCTGATATCAAGGTCCCACCTTATTGAAAGGGTTGGTAGATGGATGTAAACATTCTTTTATAGGTAGGTAGTAACATTGAAATAATGGCCTTTTGCAAGTATTGAGAGGATAGGTAGGTGTCAGAGGCATCTCAATGTTGCCTCCATCGAAATGGGGAGGTATCATGGCGCATCATCTGCATTCTCACCTCACCGTTTGTCTCTATCCATTTATGGCAAATGAGCGAGTCCGATAACATATAATGCCTCATAATGTGAGGCTATCACTTCATTAGATTGCTAGTAGAGGATTGATGTTCCGCCGCTTGTCTCTCTCATCATTGTGATAGTGAATGAGATGTAAAGGGAGTGGGTATGAGTGAGTGTAATGAAAGCGGTGAAAACCCAACCAAAATTCCAGTGCGATGTGTTTTTCTTCGCTTTAGCGGATGTGGCTGGGGCATCCCTTCTTTCTTGACTAGGCCCAATCAGAGACGCCAACGTTTCCGCGGCATCGTAGTGTCCAGCGAGAATGCTCTAAGGCCGTTTGACTCGCTTAGCGACTGTTGGTTGGCTGGTCTGGGACACGCGACAAGTGGGATAACAGCCCAAGTGAAAATTTCATGACTAGGTTCTGACTTGCGCTGTCGCCCAAAAGCTTCCCTCGAGTGTAACAGTCATCATCATCATCAACTTCGCGAAAGGAAGAGAATAACAGGAAAACATGGCTGATCCCGTTGCTGCGCCTGCGCCTGCGCCCGTGCCCGCGCCCACACCCTCGCGCTCGTCAGCAGCGACGTCCTCCAACTGGCGCGACGCATCTAGCTGGAGGAAAAACGAGAGCCCTGCATCTTCACCGAGGCCGTCTAGATTCACGCAGAATCGGAGTACCGGTGGTCCCTCATGGCGTGATAGAGAAGAGAAGAAAGCGACCGAGGACGGGCAAACTAATGGCGATAATGCCGCCCGTCGCTTGGATCCCTCAGACTTCTTCCCTAAAAGCCGACCGTACGACCGGGTAAGAACTAACAAGTCGCCTCAGAAAGACGACGATGGTGCGGCGAAAGCTATTGCGGAAGGGAGGCGGATCTATATCGGCAACCTCCGTTACCAGGCCAAGCCAGATGATATTGAGGATCTACTGAAAGCAAACGACCTGGGTCACTTCATCAACATTCACATCTCGATTGATCCTTTCACCGGACGCAATCCTAGTTATTGCTTCGTTGAGTTCCCTGATGCCGACTCAGCAAAGAAAGCCATGGAGATTTTAGAAGGCAAGGATCTACTCGGTCGTGAGGGTAAGCGGTTTCTCTATTTTTCCCATCTGGCTTTATCGATAGGGCTCGGAATCTGTGTGCCAAGAGCGCCCGATGTCACCAACTGCGTTCACCGAGGCTGCTGAAAACTAACGCGAAACACCATAGTCAAATGCCGACCATGCCAGCCCAAAGGAAGCGGCTCAGGCGGAAAACCCAGCGAGGCACCGAATCGCTGGGGTCAGTGGTCGGGCGAAAAGGATAGTGACGAGCAGTCGAAACCAAGGTCTTTCGACAGATATCGCCAAGACTTCACGGGGAAGCGTCTCTATGTGGGCGGGCTGCCGCGGATGCACGACCAGGCAACTAACTTCGCTGAGATGACCGAGCTATTCAAGGATTACAAACTGTAAGTTTGAATTTCTTCTTTCCGCTTAGGTAAACAAGGGCCGCTAATTCCGAAACAGTGAAGCCATCAGCAAGCGTGTCTCTGCACATGAAAGCACCCGGGAACTTCCTGGCCGCCATGACTACTGCTTCGTGGACTTTTCGACGCCCGAACAGGCCAAAGAGGCCATGGAAGCGTTGAATGGAACACCATTCAAAGGAGAGCGTTTGAAGGTATCTCCAGCCAAGGGCCGTTCCAACAAGTGGCGGGAGAGGGATGAGCTCGATGGCAAGCGAGGTTTCGACAAGCAAGATGCGCCCGCTAGGGAATGGGGCAATGAGGAGTGACGTGGAAGTAAACTTTGAGGCTCTTGTAACAGGTCTAGCTAAAGACCAACTAGAGAGATAACGATGCACTCTCTGATGTAGCAGCTATCTTAAGCCCGCGCGTGGTAACATGGATGTTTGGCGCATACTTATGCTTCCTCCCCGTCTACGTATCAAATCCAGCATTCTATCTGACTCCTAGAGATGAAGGAAGGAAGTTGCTAGAGAATTGCGTTGGCTGAATTAAAATATGGTCTACGCACGTCAATTAGGGACAATCCCACAGCTTGACTCTCGACGAATTGGCCTGACCATCATTACTTAGTCGGCGGCCGAAGTAAACATCATCACCAGTCATGAGCATCGTTATATGGGAATGAAGGAAAACGCTTTTTATAAATCTCACTATCAATTCTAGAGAAAGCGATACACTACGCAGATAGCATGACTTGTCTTATGAGAAAGACACGCTGCTAGATTTGTACCTTACCTATCATCGGACCCCTTAGAAGCCACACTCTATAAATACCCCTGCGTCGTCGACGTTTCGAGTCATCTACTTTCGCCCTGTACTTCCCATTTCCTTGATATCGTCTCTCCCCTATATGATCAAGCCGCATACGTCTGCCATCAGTGGCAAGATATCTCCAACACGAGGGGCAAAGACCTTTGCCCTTCTCCTTTTGGAATCCTGGGTATGACATTACACAACGGTAGCCGTTGCGCCATACACAACCGCAGTCATAGACGCGGAAAATGCGGCTTTCCGTTTTAAGTGTTCGTTTCGTTGTCTTTAGTGAAGCATACTGCTCTCGGGTTAGATGAGGACATACTATCCTACCCTGTAGTTGGCACACCTCGCAATTGGTGGCCGAGTTCGAGGGGTCTTCGAGGCGCAGCGCTTCGAGGAGTACCTGGAGCTTGTCTGGTGTGTTAGACATCTTGGATATGTTACTTATGAGCTTTAGAAATAGATTCCGTTATATCAAATCTTGATTCCGCGGTGTTCGTAAAAATGACATTGTTAGATTTGATGGTTTGTCTACGGTTATATACCTCACGCCTTCAGACCTGTGTTCAAAGAGTTCAAAGAGCTGGACAATACCTTTGTGCCGAATCAAAGCATTGTTCATTTTATCTTTTTAGATTGAACAATGCCTTGCTCTGAAAACTGGCCAACCGCTTTGACAGCAGGCTCACACATGAAGGGGATTATCACATCTTTGACTTGAAGCTCATGTAGCCGCCACAGGGATCCAATATCTGAAAGGATGTTTGATCACCGGCTTATTGATAGATCTTATCGAACTGTAGGAGCCAATTCGGCTCAACAGTAACTTCTTGCTGTGTGGATTTGTCGAATACCTACAGAATGATCCTTCTCAATCGGCATCCCAGCCTTTAGAGTGAGTGTCCAGACCTGAAGCCAGCTCACAACACACGGTCGCTTCACCTCTAAAGTTCATGTCTCACCATATCTGATGTTGGGGGCGTCTTCATGGGTAAAAGATAGTTGAAGGTGCTTACCTTGAGACCTTCCTCTTTTAGCATGATCCCTACCCTGCCTAACGATTACTAATGGCGTCGCGGGTCTTGAGATCCGCACTTCTCTGAACAGTATTACCTCCTTCATCATTATTCAATTGAGAAACACTGGTCTATCTGGGTATCGTGCTCTACCCTTCAAAATGACTAGACGCAAGCCCCAGCCGTTGTCTATGGTAACTGAAAATGTGTCGGCACGAGCTGATGTGATGCCCGCCCGCATCCGCTCCACCGCCTTCGGGATAACAGTGCGTCCCAAGCGTGATGAGGATAATGCAGGAGAAATTCTCAAGAAGACCGTATACACCATTATCAAAGCCGCTCTGTTAATCCCCGGCGACGGAGAGCCGGTGAAGTCGGCCGCTCTGGTAATCGAGAACAAACTCATCGCCTGGGTCGGGCCGGAGCACGATGTACCCTCCAAGTACACAGACGGCGCTCATAGAACCTTTTCCATCCCCTTCGTGATGCCGGGACTCTGGGACGTGCATACCCACTTTGGGGGCGAGGCACCCACGACACTGGATGGTATAGATCCGAGCGGCGACCCACGGCTCGAGCACCCCGCTGTCGCCGGCGCGCGACTGACGAAAGGGTGCTGGGAGGCTCTCCAGCGCGGATATACATCGCTCCGCGACGTCGCAGGGTACGGGTGCGAGCTATCCCGCGCCATCGACGACGGCAGCATCGTCGGGCCAAACGTGTACTCGTCAGGCGCGTGTCTGAGCCAGACTGCCGGTCACGGCGACATGTTCGACATGCCTGCCGGAGACATGCACCTGAATACTGGGCTCTCGAGCGTGCACCCGGGCCACTGGGGCTCGACACAGAGTCTGCTTGTAGATGGCGTCGACGAATGTCGGCGTGCCGTGCGTCTCCAGATCCGACGCGGTGCGAAGTGCATTAAGATCTTCGCGAGCGGCGGCGTGCTGTCGCTCGAGGATAACCCTCTGTACGCGCAGTTCAGTCCCGAGGAGTTGGACGTCATTGTGCAAGAAGCGACACGTCAAGAGCGCGTCGTCGCGGCTCATGTCCACGGGAAACCTGGGATTTTGGCGGCTGTGAAGGCGGGAGTCACGACTGTGGAGCACGTCTCTTTCGCCGATGAGGAGTGCATCAAGCTCATCAAGGAGAAGGACACGGTGTATGTCGCGACGCGTACGATTGTGGATTTGCTGCTGCAGGGTGGTGGCAAGGGGTTGACGAAATACCAGTGGGAGAAGCTACAGCTATGCGGCACCAACCACCTCAATGCTTACAAGATGGCGATCGAGGCTGGGGTTCGTATTGCGCTGGGGACGGATACTGCTCCGGGCTTCAATATGGCGATGGAACTGGATTATGCTGTGCAGGCAGGTCTGACTCCCCTTGAAGCCATCAAGGCTGCGACAGCCAATGGACCGCTCAGCGTCGGAGCGATGGCGCCTAAGACGGGTCAGTTGAAGGAAGGTTATGAAGCGGATATACTAGGATTACTGCATAACCCTGTCGAGGACGTCAAGATATTGCAGGAGAAGAAGAATGTCGGCTGGGTTTGGAAAGGTGGTCGCCTGTTCAAAGGCCCCGGCGTTGGACCATGGGGCGAGGATCCTTTATAAATGAAGTATATAAAATAATAGGGAACTATTCAAGCTGACATTGATGTATCCAGAAGCCCAAAACCCACCCAGCATAAAATATCCTGCGTAACTCCTTAGTCCTAGCCCTCAAAACTCAACGACAAGCCTGTCCTCTCCCCGAGCTGCCCTATATCTATTCGTTGCCTCAATCAGTGTATCACACCCCTTCAGCAAGAATCCCCACTTCTTCGCGAATCCTGCCGTGACCTCCCATCCGGTCTCCGACCAGGGCTCACCCCAGACGAGCACACCGTTGATCTCAATGTCGTTGAACCCCTCAAACAGGCCCCCCATGATGTCAACGCAGAAGTCGTCTTCGTCAATGCCAGTCCCATACGCCAAGATATTGTCTCGCATCTTCGGAAATGGGATCGAGTCTATCCACATGTCGTGCGATGTGTTTTGTTGGAGCCAAGTGTCCTGCAGCGATGGCGGAAGTACGTCGGGGGGAGGTGGGAAGTCTTTCGCATAGAGCACCATGCCACATTCCGTCGGCAGCCGTTCGATAATGCGCAACAGCGCCATGTTTGTCAGCATGGCGCGGAAGGCGTTTAGCTGTATGAGGACCAGAAGCCGGTGATCTGCGGAGAGCGGGAAGACGACGGCAGGGAGATTGGTCCCGTCATAGTCGCTAGCTAAATAGGTGAACACGGGTGGGAAACGTCGTGTTCCCTCACCGGGGCTGTTGAAATCGTAGATGAGCGAGGAACTTTGCTTAGGGCGTAGTTGCACGCCTCGGGCGATATCGAGGGCTTCTACTCGAGCCCGTAGTTGTTCCCAGTAAGAGAACGGCTTTAACCGTTCAAATGGCACGACAGGAAACTCTCGGCTTACAGCCAGGTGCTCGTCTAAGCCCCTCTGGACATCTAGGGCATAGGCCTGATATCGGTGGACAGTTAGTATGTTGCTCTGAACTTATGCGGCCTGCTCGATCTTCTGAGGACAGGGCACCTTACATTTAAAGCGTCAATATGAGCCAGCCCAAGACTAGGCAATGGCTGATACTCAGCCTGGTCTTCATCCCGAGCCTTCTTAGAGGCGGCACCAACCTTCTCCGCTTGTCTACGACCTATTTTTTGGTCAGCTGGTGGAAGGACGTCGACGAGGGTCGTTTTTGGACCCTAGTTCTTCTGCAGCTCTAGTGTCCATTCCATGCTCGTCGTCGCGAACCCCAACGTCGCACCCCACCCTAGCGCAGAAACAGATTACGTGTCCAAGCGTCTTGTTGCTAGGTAAGGGTTTCCTATGTAACTTACGCCATGCTCGTTGGTGCAAGCGATTCTGTCGCCGTCTTCTTTCGGCCGGGTCCGTCAGACCAGTCCAATCGTCGCTGCAGCTTCGTGCCTTTTCCTCTTGCGTCAGTATCAATCTCGGTGGTGGGAGTGCAAGTGCTCGGATAATTGTCTATATATAGACCAGTTCACTCACCTCGCGTAGAGATTTGACGGCAGTTAGTTCAACACTCATGATGCATGCAAGCTAACTCAAGCGTGAAGGGTGGAACAGAAAGTGCTGTGGGTAAACATCAGTTTAGCAGAAATGATCAATGCAGTCTGCTTATTTTGTGAAGATTTCTAACGAAGCTCAAATCCTCCCGTAGGAAATAAGGCCGGGGCCATTGTCGAGGTCATCGACGTCGAGAGCCACGTCGAGGGCCATGTCAACAGCGGACTGGAATCCATCCGATATCTTGGCCAGGCGGCCAGGCGGCCACTAAAACCGGGCAGTAGATGGTGCCGTATTGTCGCTAAACTCGGAAGAGTGTAGCGCATCTGCACGCTGCTTATTCTCCACAACGGGCTGCCAGGGCCGCGGACATAAGGTCTCTGATGCTACGCCGTTGGTGAGCCTGTCGACGGTGCTGTGCTTTGTCATAGTCATTCATACTCAGGAGTCGCAAGGCATATACTATTGTCATCGATTTATATCTGGTGTCGCTTAGCTTTGTTAGCGTTGAGCGTTATGATGGCCTTGCTTATAATATGTCGGGGACGTTCAAGGCGCCGTCGGAGTCCAGAAACATAAGGAAGGACTCAAGCTTGTGCCAGAGAACTAATACTTAAAGGCAGCGCAAGACGAGAAAAAAAAAAGATATTCGAAAACCACAGACACATACATATAAACTCTCCAACGCTCGGCATAGCTCAGAAGCTCTTCCTTTGTTGTGTACGACTGAAGGAATTTCGATCCCTAAAATATCATTGATAATTAGTTCAACGCCAATAGACATAGACACCATGCCGAGCATGACAGGATTCGTGGATTTCAATCCGGAGCAAGATATTCCACGCCTCGACGGAAAAGTCATATTCGTGACAGGAGGTTAGAGTCTGTCACCTTCGTTTGCGTACAAACCAAAGTTAACAGACTGTTCCAGGAACTGCAGGCTTAGGGAAAGCTTCAATACAGGCCCTGGTGAAGCGCGGCGCATCACACGTCTATTTCACTGGCCGCAATGCCGAAGCAGGAAATACACTCATAAATGAGATGAAGAAGACCCACCCTTCCGTAGGCTTGACATTCTTAGAGATGGATTTCCTATCCCTCGCCTCGGTGAAGAAAGGGTGCGACAGTTTTGTCCATGATCGCCTGGACCTTCTCATGTAAGTATCTTGGTTAACTCGAACTATGTGCGGTGCTTATATCTATCTGTATCAGGTGTAATGCGGGAATCATGTTCAAGCCGCCTGCGTTGAGCCAAGATGGCTATGAAGCAACTTTCGCTACGAACCACCTCGCCCATGCCCTGATTATCAAGAAACTTTTGCCCACCCTGCTCAAAACTGCTGAGACGCCAAACTCAGATGTCAGGCTAATCAGCCTGACCTCAGAGGGTTGGGCCGGTCACCCCAAGGAGGGTGTCAACTTTTCCACCCTCCAAACCACGCAGAACGCGCTGTTTGGGAAATTGACACGTTATGGGTAAGTAGGAGGTGATTGCGCCAAGGAACACACCGACAAGATGATCTTCGAGTTCATACTGGGGTGTTGAGTCAGCTAACCGCTACCACAGGCAGAGTAAGCTGGCGAACATCGTTTATACGGCTGAAGTCGCACGTCGTCATCCACAGATCATGTGTGCCTCGGTCCATCCGGGTGTTGTAAAGACAGATCTCGTCAATAACCTCAGCCTCTCGGAAAAGGCGTTGGTGTATGGTGCGAACTGGCTGATGGGCGTGACGTTGATGGAAGAAGACCAAGGTTGTCTCAGCCAGCTCTGGGTCGCGGCCGGGGCTCGCAGAGATCAGCTCGTCAACGGCGCTTATTATAGACCGGTTGGTGTGCAGAGCAACTCTGGCCTGGATAAAATTGCCACCAGTCAAGAGTTTGCTACGAAGCTGTGGACATGGACCGATGATGCGTTGGCGAAAGCATTGTGAACAACATCCGATGAAAAAAAAACCCTTGCCCCTTTAATGGGCTCCGTATCATGGAGCAGAGCAGTCGGCAATTGCGGTCGACATCAAGAAATGGTATGAGGTTCTCATTGGTGTCCGGCCCCTATCTAGCCTGGTGGCATTGATTATAATTGCAAGCAAGGGTTATATCCACCCGCCACAGAGAGTTATTGTCATACCTTTTCTGGAGGTCGAAAAAGGAGTCCTGTATATAGTAGAGATCTTCAATTGATTAGATAAATTAAGCGCGTTTACCAGCAGAGGTCTTTATTTCGTATACTGATCAACATGGGAGGTCCTTGATACATAAGACGGCAACCAGGGTACTAGCATCTTCGCAGCATCATCTGCGGCAACGAGACATAAACGGTTACTACTTCCGACGCGGATAAGGCACCAGATACTCACGATGGGCTCAAGCAGTGTGCTACCAAGCTTAATGACTAGTGCTGATGGCAATATGGATGCTGCCGCCGATGAGGATTCATCAATCGCTTCTGCAACGGAAGCTTACCTCCTGTGAGGCTGAGAGACCAAATCGGGTGACCTCGTCAAGACGCCGTCTCTTTTCTTTTCATCTTCTATACGACTCGGGGACATTACATAGAATAGCACAGGATGTTAAAGGTTTATCGCTAGGCTGCCATTCTAATTACCAATGTAGGTATTTTCATGTTAAATGTGTATTGAGTTGAAAGCTTGATGACGGAGATATAATATCGTACACAAATCGACAACGGATTCGGTTAATAAGCATCTTTCCAAGCTAGCGTGATTGCTGATAGTTAGCCCAGAGCGTCTCGTTTTCCGTTGCATATATGGTCAACCAAGCAGTTGTACGATACACTCTGACAAGAGCCGAACTGGCATTACATCATTTAGTGCCTTCTCTGCATTGCCCGAGGTTGCAGTTGTGCCACTGGAGGCTGACTCGGCGGCAATGGGAAGGGGGTGAGACTGATATCAAAGAATCATCTCTTACAATCAAGAAGCAAGAAGGAGAACCGGTCCAGAATCGAATGTCGGCTTCCCGGGTACTCTGACCGAAAGAGGTCGGAGAAAACGACTCACGCTCATGCCGTATTACCTTTGGCTAGATGCTTGTATCCCCTAAGAGCTTCTTTTTCGACGCATGATTACACATCCTCGTATACCTAGGCTGCGGTAAGATTACACACCGAACTATCCTGATGACAACTCACAACAAAACATCGTGGGGGTCATGTCAAAGTGAAAGTATCGATTCAAGCAACAGCCTATCAAAATCAAGATCACCGACTTCTCAATGACAATCTTCAGGTCGAGGACTTGCAGGGACAGGGTACTGTTAAGGCAAGGGTCTTCACGTTCCAGCACCCCCTAAAGTCATTTGCGGCTCGCGGCGGCTCGGTACGCTAGCAGTAGCGTTACTGGGCGATTTAACTGCAGAAAGGAAAAAAAATGTATAAAGGAATTAGTACAATTCTCTCACTGCCTCAATAGCTGGTCGCATGATCCAAGAGGAAGTAGGAATCTGTTTTCAAATTCCGGTAAGTTAGAGAGTACCAATAGATGGTTGAAAATTCCCGTATTGCCTGCATGCGAGTGGCATGCGAGGCACGAAGTTAGCGGGACATCTGGAAAATGACAATTATGAATCCTTGCCAAGCTGTGCAGCTGTAAAAGCTCCGAGATCTTGTAACACCTTCCATGTCAGTATCCGCGCATGAAGAATACAACCATGCATAACACTTATCTGCGGAACATCCACCTACCATCTCAATCGCATGGTACAAATTTATGAACAAACCGTGACTCTGGGTCGCACCGCCTGTTATGTGTTTGATACCCGCAAACTGGAGACAATGTTCTCGACAGGCCTCACTTTGTTACAGAATCTTCGAAAAATTACCATACAAGACCCTAACTCCATTAGTTGGCTTTATGTGCTGAGCATAGGCGAAACACCACGTGGCGACCCCGGGTAGCCGGTATCAACCCAATTGGCTCGGTTTGTTACCGAAAAAGCACGCGGTACTACAATAATAATGCTAATATAGCCTTTTGGGTAAATACTATGTACAGCTAGGAGTAGCGTCGCCAGATAGCCATTGACCCGATGATATCATATTAGATAAGTGTTCAACATGGTTGCGCTAAGCTTGAGCCTTGGGAGTTGGTTGATGCTATTAAGATCATCACGATAATGCTAGATTCGGCTAGTGGGCGGCAGTTGAGGCTGGAATGGGGCTGGCTCCAAATGGTATTGGCGCCTCCACCAACGTCCTCATCCCAGACCATGAAGACGGCACTTCGGCAATGGGACGGTTATCAATTTGCTAGACGCACAAGAGGCGCTTCTATTACTTCTAGACCGGTTGATGGGCCAAGCCAGAACAAGAGCCCGGGAACCAGCCCAGAAGAGCACAAACCACACGCCACACCATTCTCACTACGTATCTACGGTACACTTTCGCCTTCACTGGCGATCAGGGGCTCTTGGAAATGGGCGGTAAATCGCTATTCGGGTCCCTGCTCCAACGAGAGCGCCAATGCCCGTGAACGAAATGAGTGATCGGCTTCTTCACGGAAAGCCATACAGGAGATGGGGGTCAAGGCGGTACATAGGAGGTGGGAGATGATATTGTCAGTATAGATTGAAGATAGCTTTGGCTATATATATGGGCTCTTCAATCCGTCCAAGATACACATTCTCCTCACCACCACTCAGCTCCATCAACACAACAATAGTCACTCGTTCACGATAATCTATCAAGTCATTCGTTCGAATCCTTACTCTTCATACCCAACATCATCCTACTTGCCAAAATGCAGTTCTCTACTTTCGTCCTCGCCGCCCTATCCGTGGGCTCTGCTATTGCTGGCCCTGTCGCTGGCTTCGTGCCCTTCAACAACGCTGCTTCTAAGGTTGCTGAAGTCAAGGTCCTTGTCCAGCAGGAAGCTGCCAACATCAGTATGATCAGGGCTCACCGCTCGAGAGAGATTGAAGACTAATTCGACATTTAGACTCTGCCACCAGCGGCTCTCCCAATGCCAAGACTGTTGCCGATGTTCAGAAGTCCCTTCTGACTATTGGCCGCGGTATGAACGGCCTTATCGACCCTGTCAACGCTCTCGCCAGCGTTGGCCCTACTTCTCTCACCAAGGAGCAGATTGCCGCTGTCCCCCAGTTCCAGAAGGACTTCCAGACCATCTTCGTCAACCTTGAGGGGATTGGCAAGAGAATCTCCAACAGCAACCTTGACAAGGGTGAGTGTTTCTTCAAATCTAGCTTTTTCAACTCATGCGCTGACAATTAAGTAGCTGCCATCTCCCAAGTCAAGCCCGAGCTCCAGTGGGTTCTCTCTTCGCCCGCTACCATCTCTCGACCTGTCATTGCCTTTGTAGATGCTGCTGCCCCCAAGTACGCTACCTACAGCTACTGGTACCCTTCTCTCATCAACATTGAGGCTCTCATTGTTGTTTTCCTCGGTCCCATTGCTATCGGCCTTGGTATCGGCATCAGCATCTTGTAAATAATGCAACGACTTAGTTTAATTCTTACGTGAGCTTGGAAAGGAGGAGTAGTTTGGAGGATTTTGATGCGATACAGATATACGAGGGTTCAGTTATTGGCACAGAAGGTGTTTTGCGACGTTCTTTGGTAATAGTTAATTGATCTGATTGAGCTGGTATTTTATATATTTGAAACTATGTTGTGCTGCCCACATATCTTTACTTGACTCAAGAAAATTGATGAATCATTCGTTGGATAGTAACATCTCTCACTCATTTTAGCAGTTAGCGCACTCTAATTCAAGTACATTAGTTATAGTAATTATTCTCACAAATATTGAATGTAGAAAATACATATGCACTCATCCGATACAATTAACAGCTATGATACTACATTATCAACTATCACACCTTCCTATAAGACACTAGAGAATTTGCCGCAGACAGCTCCATCTATAATAACTTAACAAATCTTCACACTGATCATTGTCCATCAAATATTAGACGAGCCATATTAACGTTACCCCAGTTGCTTGCAATTCGCGCAGAACATGGACCAGTGCCGAGATTAACCTCGGCACCTACATCATGGCAACTTCGGGCTTTGTAGTGGGCGTCTGCTGCATCGCTACCCGCAGCAAGGGTGACAGAGTTCTTGCCACCGAAGCCTGAGTTGGGACAGTCGAGGCCAATGGCTACTTCTCCGCCACCACGCTTGAATACGAGGCCTACAGTTGTGCCGTAAAATCCAGTCTTTCTGTCATAGATGTACCAGCCCGCGTAGCAGCAAGGGCTTTTCTCGGAGGTTTTCGGGATGAAATCCGTTCCCGCCGTGACTTCCCCCGAGTATATGTCGTGGGAGACAGGCTGTATGTCCGAGTGGGTGTTATTGACGACGAGAAGCATGTTTCTTGCATCTTTAAAGACAAGATATAGGCCACCTGCATGAAATTACCTTCAGTATATGTGTTATTATGGGTAAACTGTGCCACTTGACTTACCAGCAATCGCGGCGAATGCAACGAGGGCGATAGCAAGAACGGCGGCGATTCCAAGTGTAGTTAAGGAGGCGGCGACGGACGTCACCACTTCGAGTACGAGTCCCATCTTAGCCCACACGCCTGTCAACTTGGCAATGAAGCCACCGATAGCAATAGCACCTCCTCCAATACCCACTATGGTCTGCCATGATGTCTTGGGGGCATTTGCGGCAGCATTGAGGGCATTGGATATTCCCAGAAGCTCATTTTTGAGATCTTCACCTTCAGCTTTTCGCAGTCTGGACAAGCTGTTACGCATAAGCGTTATGGGCTGGCAATTCTTGTCCTTCGGAACACCCTGGGCCCAAGACTCCATGGCTGTAAACCCTTTAAAATCATTTGCGGCCCGTTCGAGCTGCTCGAAATCCTTCTCGCACAGCCGCTCGGTGATGGGCTTGTTGAGCTCATTCAGGTTTGCGAGCTCGCTGGTGGTGAAGTATCGCGTCAAGCTCTCCTCTTGCTCTACGAAGTTCTTGTAGTCAAGATGGAGCTTGGCTGACTCTTGGTTGAGCACATTCGTGACATTGGCGAAGGAATCACCAGTGCCTGCTCGGTACATGACACAGACTTCTATTCCCTTTCGTGAGTCCTTCGCATCTCGAGAGGGAACGATGATCTGTTCTCCGGTGAGGCGGGCTTTGACGGCCTGAATTAGTCTATGGCATTGCCACATTAACTTGCCGCGCTGCACCGTAGGAGGGTTTAAGGTGCTGTTCCAGCAAGATAACGTAAAGTGTCCAGCGGCGGTCGGCATGGTGAAGATGGATTCACAAGAATGATATGACTAAGTCTGAACTACACTGCGAAGGAGCGTAGCAGAATATTTCAACAATCGTTTGAACGGCAGGATCCTCCGATATTCTCTGACATGGCACCAATATTTATATCAAGACACAACCAAAGTCAGGCTCATGGCCGATCTGTCATCTGTGTTTACCATACCGATGTCATGGACTCGGCGCTGATCATCAACTTGATTGCACTTTGACTGATGATTGGCCCATCTACTCGGGCATCCAAATACCGGGAAATAGCTTGAGGCTAATCGGAGTCCCTTTCCTCTTTGGATGAGAATTGTCGTAAGGGGCTTGATGTAGATCAAATCTCTTTCCTTTCACGGTATGCTAGCTCGGCTAGTATGTAGATGGCCTGGACGGTTTGAGTCTAGAGAAGCCTCAGCCGCAGGGGCTAGTCTAAGGCTGATCTTCATGCCCAGAATGCACCTCCTTGTTACGGCTGTATACTAATACTATAGAGCCTGACTGTCAGCTGCGCAGCTGCGCGCGAGAAGCAGTACTCTACAAAACTGATCATGGATAGAAACGGTCGCCGTGCTACCGTTGGGGGTAGATTGCAGAAGCATCAGTTCGAATCTGAGAGACCATTTATTCTACCCCTATTCCCCCCTAAAACACAATTAATCAATTAACTGTCGTAAAAGTTCATAAAATAATACACTTAATAGGCATATACATATCAAATATCTTCTTCATTCCTCGAACACAACCCAACCCCAAAAACCGCCCCAAAAAGAAAAACCTGAAATTTCTTTTTAGGAATCAAAATAAACGATGAAGATACAAAACTAATAGCACTCTAAATTCGCTGATTGTCATCGCCCCAACTCCTAATTCAGCAGTAGGAAGAATTGGATGCAGCTCGGGGTGCCCTAAACTGGTGTACTGGTAGTTGAAGTTGAAAGTTGCTATCCTGCACCTCAGGACTCTATGTGAAGATTGACCACGTAGAAGGAGACGTGAATATTTTCCATTGAGAATCTGGCACCCATAAAATTTAGATACTTGAGCTATACCAATTCTAAAATGCTGCTGTTGCAACTGGGATATGCCGTTCATTATACTATGTGAAGGGTGAAACTCGATGACATTGGAACAAGTGTGAACTATGACAAATACAGCTTAAACTAAATGATGTTTCATGTTGTTATACAAGCCGTGTTGGTGGTGTAAGGACGTTCCAATTCGCTATTATATGGCTATTTCACACATGCCGTTGCGTGGGCACATAGGAAAAAGCAAGATGATGTTAACTATCTAGTAGAAGCTAGAAGAGGTCTGCCACGTTGAAAATATCGTCCATAGAAGCCACCGTTCATTGCCCAACAAAAACGCCTTTTGACTATTGGCAACAGCACCGCAGGTTCTTGGTCTAAGCGATCATGGCAGATTAATGAGGGGGATTTGACCCCCAAATTGGCTCTACTATCCTCTTAACGGTCACTAAATTTCCTATAGATGTAGAAGTAGAAGTAAAAAGGTCACATGTGGGAGGCATCGTATCACATCTTTATACATCTTTATACGGATTTCACGCCGGTGGGTGCCTACATATTAAACCTTCACAGTAGGTCGCTTTGCTGCAGGTACCCTGATTCACACTAGCCTAGGCACCAGACTGCACATTCAAAATTTGCAGAGAAAAAGGTAAAAGGCGTACACGTACAGTGCCAGTCTTCACTGACCCGGCTTAGCAATGGAGGAGCAGACAAGACCCCCCGTTCTTCAGATCAACAGTTGATATTCTACTTGGCAAGCTCGTAGGCAGACTGTTAAACTTAATCCGACGTACAGAATTGATTATATAATAACTTGATTAAATTTATAATCACTACTTAACCTAATCTTTCCAACATGTTAGCAGACTTTGTGGCCCATTAAAGTGTGAGAATATAAGAAGTACGCTTTAGAAATAAAGGTGTATACAACTAGACTGCGATGGAAAAGACCTTATCCAAAATTAAAATCAGGAATAGAATGGAGTATTTATGGCTTAAGAATGAATTACCTCTAGTATATATGTTCCCCCAGGACGCCAAGCTTTGGAACATACTCCAAACAATACAATACATTTTTAAAACTCTGCAAATGCGAGCCTAAAGAGAACGTAGGAACACAAGTAATTTCCTAGCACCGATCTCCCAAGTCGTATCGTTCTGCAGGTGGTGGCCGGCATCAGGCACCCAAGCTAGTTCGACGCCATGGCCCGCATTGTCCATGCTCCCTTCCCCTGGCAAGGCATGAACAACTTCATCTTGGGCCTTCAACTTCGCGTCTCGGACAAGCTCAGAGAATGCAGCGCGATATGTTTCAGCAGCTTTCTCCTGGATCGGCTTGGTCATCAGCTTTTCGCTTGTGCCCGCCATAATCAGTAACCTGTCCCCGGAGCCCCAGCCCTCGATGCTCTGCAGCACATTTTTTGGGTCAACAAAACGGCGCATCATGCCCAGAGGCCAGAGAAAACTCTCGTAGCGATTCCCATGGCTGTGAAACTCGGCGAGTTTGTCCTCGGGGTAATCTTTGCTGAAAAACGCCTGTTTGACTAAGAAAGGGTGCGAGAGAGGCGAGTTGGAATGCCAGCCATGGAACAACATCCGGACGCTAAACCAGGGATCCATTCGCCACCAGTTCATATACACCATTGATCTAATGCACGTCAGTATCAATCTTATATAGAATTCTGATGCTCACAGAATTGGGGGAACTTACGATCCTGACCCGGGAACTGCCCCCAGAAGCGCCAGACCCTCGACCTTGACGTCGCCCTCGTTGAGGATGAACTGGCTCAGGCCACCGCCGCTCGAATGGCCGACGAGCACAACGTGGCGTCCCTCCCACTCCTCAACGGCCTTGATACCCGCCACAACGTCGTCTGCGAGGTCGCGCTTCGTCGTCATGTAGAGCATGCGGAGGAACGAAGGATGCCAGCTCGCGCCATGTCCCCGCATGGAAATGGCGTAGCTGGTGACGCCGTGGGCCGCGAGATAGCGCAAGTACTCATGCCAAACCCAGGCACTCCCCATGCCGCCGTGCACGAAGAACACGGGTGGTATCCCGGGTGCGGGATTCGCTGGCTTGGCGCATAGTAGTTCGAGATCCCCTTTCGGTGTGGAGATGAAAGCTCGCGTTGTGCCGCTGGGCGCGGGCGCGGGCGGCCCGCTGGGACGACGCCAGTAGAGATACTGATAGCTCAGATGCAGGAAGTTGAGCATTGCAGATGGTCGCCGACGGGACCAAAGATTTGTGTAAAATGGTATCGACAAGCCGAATGAACGGACAGGGATATTGTAGTGTAGTCGAATTATCGAGGCGCTATTGCGATGTAGGGATGAAATGTATAGTAACGAGGCCGAAAAGACCAGAACCTGCCGCCCATCTTTGGCTTTTATCTCAATCCCTTCCTATTCGATTGCGCGCTATGGCTTGGGCTACAGCATGAAGAAAAAAACAGTCATCGGCGTGTTACCATAAATGAGCGGGAAGTTTAGGAGCCAGAGCTGGGTTTTTGGCCTTGGCGATCAAGCCACAACAGCACGCCGAGCAAATCTCAATGCAGAGATTACGAGAATTTTTCAAGCTCGTGTCTTGCTGACTCACATTAGTTCTGATATACTAGGAAAGGCTTCTTTCGTAGCTGAACACTTGAGCGCATTTCTATAGGTATGGTGTTCGAGGTTGCGGCAATGGGGGCTACCAATGCAGAGTATGATACCTATTGTCGGCGCTACCGAACGCGAATTAATTCTATGACAAGAAAGCCATCATCGCGCCGTGTCTGCCCGGCGACCTAGGACCTTTTGCGACTAGATATTGTCAACGTATCTTCAGATGGCGTTTCATCTTCGCGCCGACAGGTGGTTTGTCGTGAATGTAACGTCACTTGGTTCTGCTCAACCATGACGTGTAACAGACAGCGTCTGACGCCTATTGCCAACAAACTTTCCCCGTTCAAGTCACGATTACATCCATACCGGTGCCTCTGGCATGAGTTCAATACAGGTGGATTTCATTTTGGCAGACCTGATTAACTTGGATGTCATTAGCCCTACGCCAGCGTAGAGATGCGGGAGTCGCGATGAGCGGATGTGATCACTTTTACATTGTGGAAGAGGCGGGTTGGCAGTCCGTGATTATATCTACCCAGTTGTTTAATGACCGAAAGTTAGGGATCAATATCCACTAATACGGACAATATTAAAAGAGATTCCCTTTACCAATGCATGCTTTTCCACCATTCTACGTCTTATTGTATCTAAGTTCATTAGATGAGCTCTACACATAGGTAATTAATGAACAGCTGTATTTATGGAAGGGGAAGAGGTTGTCTTATGTTTTTAAATGTTCAGCCTAGGCCAAAGCGCGATATATATACTTTCAGAATAGTTATAGATTAGATAGACTGTTCATTCTTGTCTTGATTTCATCTCTTTTCAGTCTTTTTCTTAGTAGGTAGAATGCAGCTGAAGATAGCGGCTTGGTGTGCACTGAGGGCTGCTATGACAGTGCCTGTGATCAGCATTCGTTATGGGGCGTTAGCACTGCCAGCTCATCCATTGTGCAGCTGGCAGCAACCTTTCATTCTTTTCACTCTACGCATTTCCCATCTACATACTTAGTGGGAGTATGATGGCCACCAGCTGGATACTCTTCAAAGTCGTTCCATGATGATGGCGGCCGACACTCTTCCTGCAACTTTAGGCTTCCTTACGGACGCTGCTCATCTTCTTGCTTCGGCGGCGCCCGAGACATCGGCACATCTCATGTCGCGGCGGAACGCGCTCATGTTCGATAACGAGCTTGGCCAGTCCGATGTACAGAGACAGCGCGTCTGTGGTTGTTGCGGCCATATCATGATTGCTGGCCTTGGTGATGTGCTCAAAATCGATAGCAACAAATCGTGCCACAAGAAAAAACGCGCCGGGAGCAAGCAGAGAAAGGGCGGCGTATCACCGAAAGTTGGATGCCGCAAGACGTGGAACTGCAGTAAGTGTGGTCGGTATACGGCCATTAGCCTTCCGCCACCCACGCGCATCCCTCAGCGACGCTTTAAATCGACGGCTTTACGGTCTTCTATCACTACCAAATCAGTTGGTTCGGCTCAAGTGGCATCGGCATCGGCATCATCATCAGCAGCAGCGACAGCAGCGACAGCGACACTGGCATCCAAAGACGGGAGCACTCCGGCGGTAGCATTGGTGGCATCTAGTGAACTTACGAGGGTATCAGCAAATGCTAGCAGTAAAAAGCGAGCCAAGAACCGGAAACAAGGCCTCCAGGCTCTGCTTCAACAATCGTCTAGCTCTAAACCTCAGTCTGGGCTTGGACTGAGCCTGGCGGACTTCATGCAGCATTAGTCAGCCTCCCATCTGCATACCTGTATCTCGAATGTATGTCGATGCCTGACGGCGCGGCCAGTGCCTACTAGATCTATGGATCTATTCGCTCGAGTTGCCAATGACCCTCTTCACATGTCCATACCACGGGCCAATCCATCGGGTGCGACGCGACGAACGGTAGAATCCCCGAGCAGGGCCTAGAAGCCTTCTTCTTACCAGGCTTCCCGCTAAGGCTAGCCCCAGTTGGGTGAGGCCCCAATGCGCAGGCACCCAAAAGCCCCCCCAAATATGTCATGCCGTGCCTACCCCGCCATCCATCTGAGATTTGCCCCTCCAAATTCGGATTTTTTTTTTTCTTTCTCGTGAGTCAAGCAACATACATCGATAAGACGTCGCATTTCCTGTTCCAAACGCACAGCGCTCTACACCAACGAACTTAAAACTCGCATTAGCCCCGAACTTTCAGTTACGCCTGAATTCGTCAAACAACCAGCACGCGCAAGCTTCTGTCTGAGTGATACAACTTGATTCACCATGTCGGCGCCCCACGACACGGCGACCACAACTGCTGCTTCGTCTTCCGAGTTTTTCGAGTCTATCGGAAAGAAAGCCGACCAACTCGCCCCGTCTACCAACGGCGCAAATGGAGTTACCAGCGCTGACGATGACGATGGCAGGGTAGTCGAGCAGATCGAGTCGCTCTGCATGAACTGCCACGAAAATGTAAGTCCACGTTCACGACGAGTCCGTTGTTCCTTGGAGCATGACTGACTTTTCCTCTGGCAATGTTCAGGGCATGACGCGCTTGCTACTCACTTCCATTCCCTACTTTCGCGAGGTCATCCTCATGTCATTCCAGTGTGACAAATGCAACTTTACCAACTCCGAGATTCAATCCGCCGGCGAGATCCAGCCCAAGGGTGCTAGCTACATTTTACGGCTAACGGACATGGCCGATTTCGAACGTACTGTCGTGAAATCCGACACCGCCGTCGTCAAGTTTATCGAACTCGATCTTGAGGTCCCTTCAGGTCGGGGACAGCTCACGAATGTCGAGGGCCTTCTTAGCAACATCATCGATGACCTCGAACTCGGACAAGATGCGCGAAAAAAACAAGCGCCCGAGATTTACGAGAAGATTGCGCAGATAATCACCAAGGGACGGGCTATGCTTGCAGGGGAAGCTTTCCCATTCCGACTCTCCGTTGACGATCCCGCCGGAAACTCTTGGATAGCCCCCAACATGAGGGACGGTGTCGGTAGATGGGAGAAGCATGAATATGTGAGGACACCGGAGCAAAATGAAGCCCTTGGACTGTCGGCAACCGAGCAGGCCGCCAACGGCAACGTCGAGGACGAAGACATCATCCCGGATCAAGTCTATGAGTTCCCAGCCACTTGCCCTGGCTGCATGCACCCTTGTACGACCAGGATGACCATGGTTGACATACCGCACTTCAAGGCTGTGATACTTATGTCGACCGCTTGTAGCGACTGTGGATATAAATCAAACGACGTCAAGACGGGCGGAGAGATCCCAGAACTTGGCAAGAAGATCACCTTAAAAGTGGAAAGCGTAGAAGACCTTGCTCGCGATATTTTGAAGAGTGAAACTTGCGCGTTGGAATGCCCTGAGCTCAACCTACAAGTAAACCCCGGCACCCTAGGTGGTCGGTTTACTACTGTCGAGGGCCTATTAACACAAATTCGCGACGATCTTCGTTCTCAAATCTTCGAGACAGGCTCAGGCGGCGGCGACTCTCTCGCCTCTGAAGAGAGGGTGACCTGGAACCAGTTCTTTGACGGCCTTGACGTAGCTATAAAGGGGGAGAAGCCATTCACAATCATTCTTACCGACCCGATAGCGAGCAGCTATGTCCAAAAGGCCGTCGACCCTGACCAGGATGATCCTCAGATGACGATTGAGGAATATACTCGTACGGATGAGGAAGAGGAGGATCTGGGGCTCAAAGATATGAAAACCGAAGGCTACGAGCAAGATAGTGCGAATCAAACTGCTGGAACTGAATCTAATCAGGAAGGCAGGTGATGTTTAGAGGTTTAGATACCATACAATACAGATGAGAAATAATCCAGAGCGTTCAGATACCCAGCCCCTTTTCGATTCACTTATGATGGTATTCATTTGATACAACATGTTAAAGACTAGATTTTCGAGTATTGTGTGAACTGATCGTGCCCGAGCTCTGTGTAGTCCCAAGTACAACGAGCTTGATTCTATCTCCTTCGCACCGATCACAGGTTTGTCCAGCGCGACCGCTGTTTCGAACCACCATGTCATGTTTTGAATGAGCCGCAGATAGATACTTCGTGTTCAGCCACCAAATACCAGCGCCGCGGATCTTCATGTACTTGAACGTTATCCTCCGGCGCTCACGCTTCTATCATATCAGTTAATCGCCACAGTGCATATGCTTGCATTGAACTTGATGATAGACACTTGGAGCTTTGAAGACGCGTGCTGTGCATCTGAGAATTGCGAGTTCGGCGATACATCCTATACTTGCACGGGGGAGCTGGACTCCTTTCGTCTTAATGTCTCAAGTTACTGAAAACACGTGGATTACTCATTCACAACTTAGTCAATATCTACTAGTAAATTCAACTCGTGCTTGATATTACTAATCTAAGTACGTATTTAGACTGGGATATGAAGCTGATTTGAATGTTGCGGTGCCAGCGGTGACAGATTGCCGCCTAAGAGGTTAATGAGTGTATGGCAGTCGCGGTGTATGAATGTGAATGGAAATGATGCCATTCTGAAATGAGTGTGATGTGAACTGCTAGCACGTTGGGCCAGACTCGGCACCAGATGATACCGTACTGGGACGGCCATGAGATGGATGTGGGAGCACACGGGAACTACGCTTCCCTACTGCTGGCTAGAGCCGTGCCTCATCGCGTCAGCCCCTACTTTTTGTGATTGATTCCCCCCTCCACGAACCGACCGGAGTCATAATGCACGGTCTTCGAACTAACACCCCGGAAGTCGAACACGGAAGCATTCCCCGAGTTCTTCGAAACCATGGTCCCAGTATCAACGTTCTTCTCAAACCACAGGCTGACGTTGGCTTTGGGAGACATCATCTCACTGCCTTGGGGCTCGATCGCAACGGAGCTGATGTAGAATGGCGTGGCCTTACCGTTGACCTTTTTGTAGACTACTGCTGAGGCTCTGCCTGAGGTCAAATTAACCATCTTGAAGGCCCCATCCGGGTGGGTTTCAGGGGAAATCGTTCCATTCGCCCAAGTTGCTGGGAGCGTGTAGGTTTGATTCTTCGTGATGGCCGTCGACCCCGTGTTGACGGTGATTCTGGCTACAGAATCGAGTTAGACATTGTGAAATGATGCTCAAAACATGTACTTACCTCCATTCCTGAACTCCGTCTTAGTAGCTGCAATGGAGAACTCGTCTGCCCAACTTATACTAACGTTTTGAGCAATAGCTAGGACCTTCATTAGCAACCTCGCCAAAGATTGAAGAGAAGAAGACTTACTATCTGCGTAGGCGATCACGTTAAAATTGTCGTTGTCTCCCATACCAGCAGTAAAGCAAAGTTGAAAGCCATTCGTGTTGAAGTAAATAACTTGGTCCTGAGTGAACTCGATGAGAATGCTTCTCTCGTTCGCCATTGTTGCTTGTGGTGGTTGGGTAGGATTGGAGTGAGTGCTGGATTTCAAAAGACAAGTGTGAGTAAGGTGATTTTGTGTCTGGCTTTGACCAAGCATGCGGATCATGGGTATGATATATATATTCTCGACGCCACAAACACCTTGATCTTCTTCTTCTCTAGGTTCTTCCTTTTTGGGTCTTGCAGGATAACGCGGCTTTGAAATGTAAGAGGCAAGCTGAATGTCTGAGACCGATATAGGCCCGGTGGCGATCACGAGTCTTCATTGCGAGAAATCGGCCGAGTAGTTTTCAAGCCTTGACCCATTGCGACAAATCAGTGAGTCCAGGTGCAGTAAGTCGGTAGAGTCCCGGGGCGCCCTCGGGTGAGTGCGCATCCTGAGACCTCAGGGTCAAGGCCGGTGAAACCCCATTTCCCCTCCTTCGGGATCTGTCTCGAATATGTGGCTGTAGCGTAGAAATTCGGGGTGCCCGAACTGTGGTAGAGTCAAAGTTGATTTATGTCGACTAGGCGACGTACATTGGAGTGGTGTCACCTCCGCAAACGCCTCGTTCACTGCATAGCAGACTGCCACATAACTGTCATCAGTACAAGGCACAGTCATTTCACCGGCATTTCTACGTTACTAGTCATATGGAATATCCCGGACGTTGCACAAGTTTGAGATACTGTCAAGCCAGCCTCACCAGAGCAGTAGTTAACGGTCGTGACAATTCATGGTTTTGAACAGTCCAAGTTGTTCAGGTTGTGGAAGAGGCTGGAGCGGTAGATTATTTGCCACCAGTACCCTCATTGACGGTTATTGACGTTGAAACCTAAAGTACCTTCCAAGCCCTCAAGTACGAGTCCTGTCATTATTAAACACCGCTGCCCTGACCGAGCTGCATATACGTGGCTCTGTGCACAACATACTAACCGTGTTGTGACTCAGTGTATTGATTGGATCAACAAATGTTACACAAAGCCAATTGACAGCGAGGTGAGCTGAAGCTCAACTATGTATGAAAACGTGGCGTGAGGCACCGTGATATGATTGGGGAACCTATACACGTGGAGGAGAATGAATGTCATGTAACTATATTTGCCTTTAGATAGCTGCATGGCAGTTAGGCGGTGTGTCCAGATTATATCCTTTGTGCTAAACGCACTTTTATGGCAGTTCTTGTGTTAGAGTTTACACAAGGGTGGACTACATCTGCTCTGGCTACGCTTATGATAGGCAAAAGACGTAATTATTCCGGCCGACAGCCTCCTCAGAATGCCAGGACCCTCGCCTAGAATTCTAGTTAAGCCAACAAAGACAGGCTTGGATCCACCCAGAATGTCTGACCTACCTAGGAGAATACTGGTATTTGTTGCACAGCGGGGTTACTGTTACACTACATGATCGATGCCGGAAGGGGCGATGTGGCTTGAACTTGAACCCGAGGTGTGCAAAATGAAGCGGTAAGTACAGAGCAGCAAAATACAAAACACCAAACAACTTGGTTCAAACCGACCACGGCCAATCCGTACATACGGACGCTAGAACAAGTAATATCAACTATAAACCATGGTTGTCTAAACTAGGTATTATCAATGAGCACTTTCTAACCAATTTCCGTGATTTAAGTACAACAACGTTTGTGTTAAGTACCCCTTTTCAAACATAAATATCATAGCGTGAACAAAAGTATGAGTCTGAGGACTACTCCTCTTCTCTGTTTGTGCAAGACCAAGTCTACTTGTCACTGGGTTGTCAAGTCGCCGCCGAGTTCGGCAACTGAGACGGGTTGGCAGAAGCAGCTAACCTATCATCCAAATCATTCCTCAGGTCAAATGCCTACTGCATATATGCGCAGGCAGGGTTCAGCATGGCGCTCACATGCATCAATGTATTTCTTTTGAACCCACTGCACTTCTAATACAGAGACAATCCTGTTGTGGTCAAGAAGCGAGCATGATAGGCACGACTAGCATCCTAGGCCCACAAGCCGTTGTGATCGTCGAGTTGTGGCTTGACAATGTCACTGTGACGAGCCATGGGCCGGGCTAACACTGACAAGGCCATCACAAATCAAGTAAGCTTCCGCTTCCCGTGTTGCATTCTCCCCAGTAGCTCTGTTTCTCTATTCTATAGTGTACAATCGGGTTGGCCGTTACCGTTGAATTGGCTGACGCTCGGGATGCGGGATAGATATCATGGAAACCCACAGATTTTCATCAGGCCTCACCGGGTGTCAAAAAATTCATTACGTGTGTCATGAAATTACGAAAAAGAAAAACCCGATGCAGTGTTTCAGAAGACAAGGCAGTGGTCATCGTGTCTTGTACAGCAATGTCGGCATGGAATGAGCAGCTCTGCCCAACAATTCCCAGCATCACCCCAACAACAGTATGAAGCCTATAGTTTGGTACACCATGTGTGCCGAGCGTCCGGTATCTCAAGGTAGCTTCATAGCTCGAAGCTGAAAAAGTGCAAGCTAGATAATCAGGACCAACCAGAGTTCTGACATAGGCATCCACCCGTTGTTCAATAGATATGCCAGCCATCTGCAAAAGGCTTGAATAGGTAGCTGAAATGACCCCTACGAAACAAATACCGTGTAGTTTGGTGTTCACGGCTTTTAGTGACAGGCTGACGTAAAACCGCTTGACTAAGAAGAACGGGCTAGGTTGGGACGGTGTGGAATTGTCTCAACGGGTACATACAGAGCTCTTCGAGCCGCGGTAAGCCAACGAGCCCCGATTTGCGGTGATACTTTCCTTGGTATTAGTGTCCCTGGCGGCATGACAATCATGATCTTTTAGTACAGTAAACAGTTATTGATCAATGTATTGGGCCGAGGGGTGGCGGTATTCAACACAGTAGCATCATACTTGGAGTTTTCTATATGTATATATAACTAGCTTCAATACCTTTTCGTGTAATCAGTTATCTTCTCCGATACATTCTTCAGCTTCACCACATTTAATCTCCTTTCAGACTCTTTCTCGCGGATTCTCTTCATCTATAACTTCGATATGCCTGCTGATGGTACTTCCAGCTCGGCTCAGCCAACCCAAAACCTACCGGCCTGTGATTATCTCGGAAAAGCCGTGAACTTGTCTTCTCTTAGTAAGTGAATGAAGTGGCTTCAACCTTATAACACTGATTAAACGCCTTTAGATATTAACCCAGGAGATCTGAAGTCAGTCCGTGACAACAGCTCTCTCGTGCCGATCGTCAAACTCGACAACACCAGCAGATCACCGGTCACGCCTCCCGGGTCAGGGACAGCATACTGGCTACCAGGGAACACCGTATATGATAACCTCGGTTCTGAAAGCAAGGCCCGTGACTTCCTAAGTGAGAGAGGAAATGACCTAATTGAGAAGCTAAACCGCGGCGCGGATCTTGGCGTAAACTACCTCAGCGTCGGCGTCACAGCTGGTATACACTACAGCTACTCATCTGCGCTCAAATCAACTAGCGCCTATGGAGCCTATAGTTTTGACCAGCAAGTGTATGGCGCCCATCTGGACCAATCCAAATGGTATGGATGGGTAGAGCCAGCGATGTTGGCTGATGGTAGAAATCTACCGGCCTGGACCCTTACCCCTGGAGTCTACAATAGCTATCAGACTTTCTTCCAGAAATGGGGAACTCACCTGATAACCCGATCTTACCTTGGTAACAGGTACCAACTCATGGTCATCAGGGACACGATGAGCCAGGAATCCGTCAGAAAGTTCAATCTCCAGGTGAAGGCGGAATTCGCCGGAATCATTAAGGGCGGAGGTGGCGACTGGGGCAGCGAGCAAGAGAAGAAGGAATACTTGAACAACCGACAAATTAGCTGTCACGTCCTTGGCGGGCACCCTACAGAGAATGGGAACCTGGCGAGATCCCCTGAAAGCCAGGAGGCTTTCGAGAAGTGGTTGGCGAAGCGAGACGCGGCGTATGATGCTCACCTCTCGTTCCAGACCCAGAGCCTCGCCACCTTCCTGGAGAACAGCTCTGACCCAAGCTACAAAGCTGTGGGCAAAAAATTGGCTCCCGCACTTGAATACTGCTGCAAGTTTGCCCTGCTGCAAGGGAAGCTTGCGTATGAGGTCGATAAGGGGAGCAGTAGCTCCGTGCAGTGGGGAGAGTGTAAGCTACCCGCTCTCCCTGGGCTGGAACTCAGAGCCATCGCCAGCCGTGAGTGGAGAGTAGAAGCCATCAGTGCGTCCCACGTGAAAGTCACCCGGTCGGGAATCGGGACATCTGATGCTTTAGTCGACATCACCGTCAAGGCTCCGCCAGTTGAAGCCATTGTCACACTGAATGCTGCGCTCAATACACCTACTAGTAGGGACAAGATCATGCGCTTCTTTGTGCTCTCACCTTATGGTCCTGCGCCAAGACAGCACGAGACTACTGTCATGACGCACGATGTGAGCGGAAAAGAGTCTCAGACAAGGGTATATCCTACATTAAAGGCTTTTGGCGTCTTCAATTAGATTTTGCCCTAGTCCCTGACTATTCTGGAGTTGAAGAAGGGTCCATCAGGTCAAGTGGCAGGGAAAGCTTGTTAGGGAAGATATCGGTATCATTGAGCAAAGCTGAATAGCCTTGATTTAGAGACTAAAATTATCCTTCTTATCGGCCGATCAGTCTGTGTTTCATCTGAGGTAGTTCGTAGTTAGTTAGCTCCTGATATTGAATGTGCTGTGTGGCGATTCAGGTTCGCTCGTACATTGCCATTATAAAAACAAATGCCGAATTGTACTATACGGGAAAGGGAGCCTGTACTAAGAGATCTGACCTGTTACACGCGCTCAACACTGTCGTATACTCAGACACGAGTGTTACCTACGGCTTCGGGCGCAATGTCTCGCAAGAATCCTAAAACAACATGCAGTCCGCATTGAAAGTGAGGTTATCCAGACCTTTCTTGCATAAGACATATTAAGGTGCTTTAGAAGTTAGCAAAGACCAGTTTGGTCCACATATGGTATCTAGGTCAGCTGTCAAAGCTAGGAGGGAATTCGAATGGAGGTCTTCATGGACATTTGCCATCAAAGAGGAGATTGAATTACTCCGCGAATGTTTAGGATACAGTCGATCTCCGTAACTTTCTTAAGCTAGTCAAGTTGAGATCTTTGGACACCTGATTTGGAGCTGGTTAGGTTTATCATACATTTCGACTGTTCCATCTGATTATAGTTATAGTTTAGACGCAGGAATTCCACGCTTAGATAAGCAGCTTGGTTTCGTGGTGTAGTTGGTTATCACGTCAGTCTAACACACTGAAGGTCTCCGGTTCAAGTCCGGGCGAAATCATTATCTATTCTTCTGCTCCTTTGGTTAGTCGTTCATTCTACTTTCGTCGCTTTTTTTCTTCTTTTCCTTTTATCTCAATATGCTGCGCTCAATCTCTATATGTGTTAGGGTATATAGTATGCGCACTAGAAAGGAGAGTAGGGTGTGATGTTGATTTCAAGCAAAGACATCTTCGGCAAAACTCGGACTTCGGCTGAAAGTACCAATAAGATCGTCAAAGATAGATTTTAACATGAGCTATGACATGATCATAGACCGTCTGATGAGCGTGGTCTAACTTGTGCGATTCAATACGCTTCTTTTTCGCCCTTCATATACACCAGTTGCAAAGTGTGCCTTTTAACGCCGCATCTAGATGTAGACTATAGGTCCCAAGGAGTAACTCCAAATAGAACTGAACCCTGGTGAGGGCAAAACTCTTAAGCCCTGGCATGACGGGAAAGGGGGGTTTCAGTACGTCGTCCTCTAGATCCTCTTCTTGGAAGAAAAAAAAGGCAATTGACATCGCGAAAGCGGCCAACTGGAAGTTTTTCATCATCTACGTTGCCTACTTGCCTAGTCTAGGTAGTATAAACTCTTGCCTTTGAGTCTGAGCACGCGTCACTGGTATAGGGTTCAGGAGGCTGTCAATTAGTACACATGGCAAGGCCAATATTTCCGTCATGCAGATATTGTACGCATACCTGGAGACATGCCGGCTTCGGAAATAGCAGCTCAAGTGCATACAGACAGACCGCGAGGTTGTAAGACTGGTACTCATGTGCTATGGAGACTAGATGCCAGCAATCACAGTATTGCGCCCCGATGTGCCGCGTGGTGGGATGTCGGGATTCGGTCTAGCAAAGAAATGTCGCCAGTTCGAGAAACTACAAGAATGGTCTGCGAAAAAAGCGCTGAACAACCCCGAGCCCTGTGGCTGACATCATGGGCAAGAAGCAACATTGTAGACGTCCAAATGCTGTATCAGGAAGATTAGTCTCACTCCTGTCCAAGGATTTGGCTGCTAGTGTAGTCAATTCGTTTCTATTGTCTATTGAGCTTATAGAAATTGCTTTTTGGCACAACAAGTGTTGCATTCGCGTATGGCCGAACATGCAGGACAGTTACATGCCTCGCAAAAGAACACCTAATACGGCATAGAGTCACATATTGAAAGTAAGATTATGTAGACATCGCTGGTGTGAGGATATTCACGAGTTTCAGAATTCAGCAATGAGATTTAGAATCATCTCATCTGGTAAAGAAAAGAAAAAGACCTGGTGACTGAGGACCTAAGCAGACCTAGAAGAAGATCAGTCGGCGGGGGCTCAGGGGCAAACTACACAGTCGCGAATTGAGCAAGTGAGCATTGTGTTCAGGCATTGAATTTACCTAAGGTTGGTTTCCCATTTGGGATGAATACCACTTCCACAAATTGATCGTAATGGACTCTATTTTCTCGTATTCAGATATTGATAGTAATACAACGCTCGCTTTTAGATAACGCCTTGGCTTCTATGAGAACCCAGCAAATGAGCTTCCCGCCCGAGGAGTTGTTGAAAATATTTTTATAATACACCCTTGCCCTGATAAAACCTCACCAACCTGAATATTTCGTCGGCTGGCCCGAACCCTTCTCCACCAATTCAATATCATCGGACTCGTTTGATCGTGGGGTGTAAGATATCTGATGTGTAACAGTCTTGTTGATGACTCTCGAGTTTTTCATTGGCGTTCCCGATAATTTGTATGACTGGGAGTTGGGATCGTTCGAAGAGCCGAAACAGGAGGGGACCATAGTGCGTAGAAGAGATCGCACGGAGGGTAGACAACAGCAGATGATGCTGACGTAGGCTTCAAGCACACTCCAGTATGCTGTTGAGACGCTGTCATCTGTAGATCTATGATTAGCTGGCTGGGCACAAGTAAATAGAGATTTTAGGCACTCACAAGTTGGGTTTGTTGTTGTGGCAAACTGCACTAGAGTTGTCAAGCGAACTACACTAACCACGGTGATTCTGTATAAGGTTAGAGATAAGAAACCTCGAAAAGATGCGACCAAAAACTCACGCAAGTCCAACACTAAACATGAGAACCAAGTGGATTTTTCTTCTCCTACCAAGTTGTAGGTTGAGGAGTGAAGGAATAGGAAGCGCAATGATCCACAAGTCTTGTGCAATGCTAGTAACGGCCTTGGGAAGAGACATAGGTTAGCCTATTGGGTCCTTGGGAACTACAGATATATGGATACTTCTGTCAAGGGAACTTACGTGCGACCACGCGAAGGCATTGAAGTTGATGCAATGACCTTTTGTCTCACCAGTCCAACCAGTCCAGATGTACGAGATGGGTGTACAGTAAAAGATTCCGGTGAGGGTAAAGGCGATACCTGAAGCTATCACGACACCCATAGTAATGTAGCAAAGTCTCTTGAACTTCTCGCTGGGAAAGACTCGAAGATAAAATAAAAGGAGGGAAATCTTCGTTAAAGCCAGCAGGATGAAGTACAAGAGCTCCGTCACCCATGTGAACTAAAAAATGCATCATGCGTCAGCCAGAAGTCTAGAATTACTGCTATGTATCATCATGGTTCCTACCCTCACAATAAGAGTTATGCGGTATGGCGTCAATGTCCATATATCCTTGCCGAAGCCAAGAGATGACACTGTTGTACTGTTAGCAGCGGCGTCATTGTTGACCAGCTGGAAAGCAAGTAGGGGGGAAAACTCACTGACAAGCTCCAAAACTGCCAACGGTATTCCGGTCAACTGCATTTCCATTAGGAACCGTTCAAGTAATACAAATGACTTCAGCTAGTAATTGATCAACGTACGAGAGCAAATACCGCACACACATCGGCAGGCTGTATGCTTCGATTAGGGAAGATGTCCATCACTCTCATTACCACCGCTATGATGGCCAAAATTCCGGAGACGGCGACAATGATGGGGGTGGTCGCCGTAATGTCTCTAACTTCTACACCACATAGTGTATTCGTAGCGTTCTTCGCCGCTATATTGTTGAAAGTTGGTCAGCATGTAACTCCCATATTGATGTTGTTGTCGAAGAGGACATACCAAGGCCTTCAATAACAGTGCAATTAGCTAACACACATGTCTCAACACTCGAGAGCAGTACGGTGTCTGAGCATATGCACGCCGTGTCAGCCGGATCACAAGCTGACTGCGCAAGAGATACACCTAAGCAGTCAGTCTAGCGTCTGAGTTAGCTTCCTGTCGAATCCGCATAATTCATTCAATGTTATCATACCGCGCATGCTGGCATGGACTGAGCTCGCGACAGCGACGACAAGCACGCGGTCGCAACGACTACCAAACTCCATAACCCCCTCATCTTGGAATTTGGTTGAAACTGTTCGCGTCCGTGTAGAAAGACAAACCAGAAGAGGCCTTGGTAATCAATATGGAACGATTTAAATCAACTCCAAGCATGACAGGACTACATATTTAGTTACTGTACGTCTCGCTTAGGAATTGCGTCAAAGTTTGTAACCCCTAAAAGTGCGGACCGCACTGACCGCCAGGGTCATCCTGGACTCTTAGGTTTGTATCCATCCCGAATACTTAGAAGGGATTAGCAACGCTCCAATGAGGCAAAATCCAAACAAACATGCAGCCCGACATTGAGCACAGACCCGGATTAAAACGGTTCACGTCCGTGTGGCCGTGTGGTCTATCAAGACCCACTCGAGGTTTGTCAGTGTAACCTTTTCTAGGGTCTCTGTGCTAGTTCAGCACTAAGAACCAGGATTCGGGCTAAAGGTTCGTGGTTTACCAGGATTGCAAACAGGGTGCTACCCGGTGTAACTGCAGTATCCACGCAGTGTGGTTTGACCAAAGTGGTACCATAATTCCTTGGGGTCTCGGGGTTTCCAGTTGATTTGCCAAATCATGCGAAGTCCGACGGCGAGGTGTCTGCTGGGTACGTTGAAAGCCCATTCTCGATTCGGTGGCAAATGGTGCAAATATTAAAGACCTTGTAATAGGTGTAACCATGAACCTGTGATCTGCCGTTTCACTTCAATACCTTTTCAAGACTCGGCTCATATCTGCCGCTGGAACCAATGCTGCATCTGCAAGTACGCAGAGTCTAGGAACCCCTTTTCTGACTTGCATGAACCATGCATACAATTACATACTTGGATGCTACAATTGCAGCAAATGTGCGGGAGCGTTTTATATGCCGAGTATGCTTGCTTTTTCATTTATATGCCCATCGACAAGACCAATTTACTTAGCTGGCAAACAGTGGACCTCGGTTCAACGGTCTTCTTACTGTAAAGGTCATAGTCTATTAAAAAGGAGCTAAGCATCCGTCTGCCTCCACCACCATCCGCCTCATTGATGAAATCACGATAGTTACGCCTGCTTACATAGTAAGTCAGCAGGGTCTTCACAAATATCAATATTAGAACGGACCCTACGCACAAAACCATGGCTATAACAAAAGTTTGACAATAAAGTATACTCAGTATCTAATAGAATTACGAGAACTATCTCCACCTCATTTGACCCCTATCTTTATCCACGTGTGCTGCCACATGTTTATGCATCTACTTCCTTATACAGGAATAAGACGTCCCACTTGATCAACCTGAAAATGCCTAGACACATGTATACTACATAAGTAGTACCAGAATATCCATTACTGTAGATGTTGGTGGTGTAATGCATGATAGATGCCGTTACTGATGAGGGGTAACTACGTAGTATAAGTATGAAGAGTTCCTCTCCCCACCAGTAATCTTGCACGGTGCAGTTATCCAGTCCTTTCTTCTATGAAGATCCGGTTCCTGTCAGCATGGCGTCCCATTTCGGAGTGTCCATCTTATTATCTTACCCATTCACCACCCTTATGGTCATATTTGTGGCGTATTGGATAGGATGGATTATTTACGCTAGAAATTTCCATCCGCTCAGCAAGGTTCCGGGTCCTTGGCTGGCGTCCGTGAGCCGACTATGGTTTATGATTCAGATAGCAACTGGCGAAAGTATGGACTGCCTCAAGCAACTTATTCCCGATCAGCCGACTTGCTAGTTTCCTAGACTTGTCTTCGTTAATATGAAGTTGAATAAGGAACGCAGCTAATCTCAACTATCCACAGCGGAGAAGACCACACGCCGTCTTCATGAAAAATATGGTCCTATCCTCAGAATCAGCCCGAACGAGGTTACCTGCGCATCTCCGGAAGCTATCAAGCTCATCTATCGCACTCAACAGCCCTTGAACAAAACAGACTTCTACACTCCGTGGAATACTCAAAACTTTAGCAAGCACCGGGATGCCTTCACCGAGATGAACGATAAGCGACATGGGGAGAGAAGAAGGATTGTGAACCATGTTTACAGTCTTGCCAACATATTGAAGTCTGAGAAGTACATTGACCTTTGCTCCGAGGTTTTCATTGACAGATTGGAAACCATAGCTGCCTCGCAGCAAGCGATGGATTTGGGACAATGGTTGCAGATGTATGATCAGTGTTCAATCGCCATGTGGTCTAATCAATTGCGACTAACCTTAGTTCATAGGTATGCCTTCGACGTCATTGGTGAGCTTTACTTTGGTCGCATGTTCGGGTTTATGGAGAACAGCCATGATCACGGTAGCTGGATTCAATCGCTGGACCTGCTCATGCCTTTCCTATGCATGACCTCAATTGCGCCTTCATACGTGCGCCCCCTGATTCTTTCCTCAGCTTTGGCCGTTCCTGGGTCTATAAAGGCGTTAAAGGCTGTCGACACCATTGGCACCGCAGCTCGGGCAGTGGTCGCGAAGCGATTCAACATTAGCGCCAATCCTGAACATGAACCACGAGCAGATGTACTTCAACAACTATATGACATCTATATGGAGAAGGGCTCCAAAGTGGACTTCAAAATGGGTGACATTGAACAGGAAGCCTACGTAGCCTTGTAAGTTACGATTCGGACGTCGTTCAAGTATCTTGATGTATTTCGTTCTTATGTACTAACGGTACATGCTAGATTCGCTGGTTCGGACACGACTGCTATTGCGTTTCGGTCCGTCTTCTACAACCTGATGAAGAACCCAGATGTATACGATGCGCTCGTGGAAGAGATCGACGCGGCGGTCGATGATGGTAGACTGCATTTCCCCGCGAGCTACGCCGAGGCCTCCAAGCTGCCGCTCCTCTGTGCTTGTATCAAAGAGGCGTTGCGCGTGCACCCTGGTGTTCAGCTGACCATACCAAGGATTTCTCCGCCTGAAGGTCTCGAGCTCTGCGGCACGTTCGTTCCCTCGGGTTACACCCTAGGCGTGAACGCCGCAGTAGTGCATTTTGACAAGGCCGTTTTTGGCCCTGATGCGGACCAGTATCGGCCCTCTAGGTGGCTAGAGAACAAGGATAACGCCACCAATATGGATCGATATATGTTGCACTTCGGTGCTGGTACGCGCACCTGTATCGGCAAGAACATATCTATAGCCGAGATCCACAAACTGGTTCCTGAGCTCTTGAGGAAGTTCAAGTTCGAGATGTGGAATCAAGATGCGCAGTGGAAAACGCACAACCTCTGGTTTTGCAAGCAAACCGGCCTGGTGGTCAAGGTGACGAAACGGGACCTCTGTTAATACTAGTAATGCTTTTGGGTGGTCATGTTTACCCATGTCTGTAATAATGAATGTTAGCATAATTATTTGTAGCTAAAGGTATGTACCATGTTGTTCAATTTAATTTGAATTCTGACTTCGATTCATTCGCGCGCAGGCTACACTGTATAAGGTATATCTACACTTATGCAATTTCGATAAGAGTATTTGAATAAGACTGGACTTCCCATCAACGTTGATAATAACTTCATTACTTAAGCTTTTCGATATGGCCCTGTGTATCTAATTGCAGCGGGACCTCAGGGCACGAGTGTGTTCCTGGGCTATTGAGACTTGTAGCATGTAGGAAGCAGCTATGGTTATGTAATCAGATGCCATGACTTAATTACAATAAAAAATAAATGACCTTCCCGAAGGCGTGGGACGTCTTGTAGGTAGGTGGTTCTTTATGTGGATGTTCGTAGTAAGCAGGTCGCGATTGTGGCTGAAGCAATCAACGGGACGGAAGTTGGCAAGCTGTAAGCGTCATAGTTGACTAAGTTACCGCCGTATGAATTGCTAGGATATGTCAGCAGACACTTAGTTGCCGAGCCTTCAAAGAATCGACGAACCTTACCCGCAAACATTGAATAAAGACGCTTGGTACCCCGTCCTAGAAGTTCTTACCAGCCGCATAAGGATGGGCGACAGCGGGATGAATGAGCGATATGGAGAATACGCATTGCGTGATAGGAGTCCGATGAGCCAGCCCGTTAAGGAAGGCCTGGGACGCCACCAGATGTAGAAAGTGACGCTAAGATTTTGAGCAGTCAAGTATAAGAAGAAGGCGAGTTGCTGAAAAGAAAATAAAAAATAGGATAAGTAAATCTTGACATTTAGCTCGAGCGGGTATTAGCTGAAGTTGCTCCCTTTCACGTCTTTGAATAGAACCCTCTGTCACAATGCACGTTTCCAAGTTGATCTTCACCATTGCAGCTATTGCTGGACTCACCCTCGCCGCTCCAGTAGCCAAATGTAAGTTTCATCTATCACCTTGCTCTTGCTTCATGAATTTGAGAGAACTTCGCAAACTAATTTATACATTCCTTATAGCTGATAAAACGGTCACAAGAGATGCATCTTCCCCTCAGCTCTACTCGGGTACCAGGAACATCGTGAGCAACGATAAGAGAACGGAGGCACTCCCTCAGCTGTATGAGCGTCCCAAAAATGTCGTGGTCAGTGAGAAGAGGAAGGAGACACTGCCTCAACTGTACTCCGGTACCAAGAACATCGTGAAGGAGTAGAAACTGGAGAGAGTGATTTCATTAAGTCGAGGTGCTTGGTTTACGGAGAGCGAGACGCAAGAAATGAGTATAATACGTCGAGTTATTTTTCATGGAATGGTAGTCCGCTGTTTTCATTATAGCCCAAGTTACGAATCCGAAGTATGTAAGGGCTATTATTCTATATGTGAATCCGATGTGACTTGATTCCCGCTGACTTGATGTGGCATTCTTACTTGAATACACTAGTTGCGAGGAACGAGCGAAGGACGTACACTATGCACAATCATAACTTAGACCGCCGACTTCATCATGCACGTGGTCTGCAGCCACATGTTTACGGAGTCCGATATTGCATAGGCATAAATGTAGGCGATACAAATGCCTCATAGTCGTATTATCTTCGATCTTGCAGCTGCTCGGCCGAAGCGCTCATTATCTCAGATGTATGTGGATATAGAAAGCCAGACGCTGCCACGGTTGATAGATATAATACAGTGGTTGTCGCTCTTTGGGGAGACGCCTAGAGAGCTATGGTTCGTCAGAGTCTTCGTCAATTAGCTTCAACTATCTTCGATGCCCTCCTCTCTGTTCAAGCCAATGCAGCTTTGAAGATAGGAAGAGAATAGTCAAACATGCCTTATATTCATTAGGAAGGTATTCTAAATCTTGGCACTAATGTGGCGTTGGTAAACCCAAGGCATGCGATGTTTAGCCCGCCAAACTTTCAGCTTCTAACCTCACTTGTCTTCGCAAGCAGGTAACCTTGTTTAGACATTACAATCTAAGATGAGTTTCTACTTATTACTGCCGGTATCTCTTGAACCGACCACCAGCTTACTATACAAGACTGTTTCGGATGTAAAAGAAAGCGTACATAGCCCGGTAAAGTATAAGCACAACTTATGTGCATTCGGCGCTTTGAGGCTGAGCTCACCGGAAGAGCTCTTCAGTTTCATAAGGATAGAGTTTTTCTATACCGACTAATGTACAAATGAGTGGTGACCTACGATGGACTATGAAGAGGTCAACCAGTCTAAGGAATCGCTTCTTTCGGGAGAGGAGCCTGTATCTAAATGGCAGGTCAAGCCATCATCATGAGCAAAAAAGGCATGGATCTTGACTGGGTTCAATATCGTCCTCTTCTTCACCTCAGTACTACTTCTCATAGAGCGAGAACACAGCTTAAGAGCGAAGCCGCAGGATAATTGGCTCCGCACAAGCACCATGTACTGTGAGTATAACACCCAGATCAATCACTACGTTTTACCTGAGACTGACAGACTCACGCCAGCACCGCTATGGGGAACAGAGATAGAGCAACAGCTCAAGAAGCATGGAATGCAGATGAACAGCAGCCTCTTCACCCCGCCTCACCCCTCAAAATACCGGGACTCAATCAAGCGCTCAAAAGACGTGGACGACGCCTGGGACGCGTTAGAATGGGTCCGGACCTTCCCCATCACAGAAGCAGACATCATTTCAATCGGCAAAGACCCGCGCACAGCCGTCAAATTTCCGGCCGAGTACGGTTTCGGGGACAACGCGTACGTCGCGCAGCTCGACATCTTCCACCAGCTGCACTGCCTGAACACCCTGCGGCTGATCGCATGGGGCCAGTTCGAGCCGGCGCAAGAAGCAGCAAAGCGGCCGTACTCGGACCTGCACTGGCATCACGTCGCGCACTGCACCGAGGTGCTGCGCGAGAACCTGATGTGCAACGCAAATCTAGATGTGGTCACGTTTAACTGGAAGGAGACGCAGGAGGTGCCGTTCCCGGATTTCAACCTGAACAAGAGGTGCACGGACGCGGAGCTGCTGATACGGTGGCAGGAGGCGAACGCACTGCCGGTGGAGGCATCGAGGAACTTCAGCAGGCCTGAAGGTGTGCGAGAGGTGCCGATGGAGGATGAGTACTATAGGCTTTATGGATTGGATAAGGCGAATATTCAGCATGGACAGGCGCATGCACATTCGTGAGATGATATGTTTCAGCGATGGAAACTATGCATAACACATGAGGCGAAGGCTACTGGCTGCCGGCGGTAGAAGTGTTCCAGTTCACGAAAAAGGGTTGCCATGATTCTGGTTTGGTCGTTTGCAGTGCGGGAAAGAAGCTGTATGAGTTTTCGATCGTTCGTGGGAGTTTGGCTGTGAGTAATGGAAACGGATTGGCATTGAAAGGACGAACATGTGTTTGAGTTCTTCGATACCTTCACACAAAGTGGCGTAGTATATGAAAAACTGACATCCACAAAAAGTGAAAGAGCGCCCAGGTAAACTTGCAAATATAATCAGACTGGCCGGATGGGTGGAGGGGTCTGGAAGATTTGTTTCAATTGTATTCTACTGTCTGCGTTACGTATCTGTTAGACCATCCTTCGCTGGGGCTCTGCAATCTCTGTTGCACACATATGGGAACCGGCCGTCTACCTATAGACAGAAGGTTGGGCACGATACATCGAGGATGTGGATAAGCTTGGCTTTATGGTTCTCTTTCGTCTGGGAAGGACATATCACATAATGCGGGAACATAGCGAGCGCGCGTGCGAAGGAATTGGCATTTCTCGTAATGGTGTACCCTAACCCTCTCATTTTCCCATGCTCCTGTTTCCTTTTTGAGACCAAATGCTCTAGACAAGGCTATCTAGCCAGAATTTCCTCGTGGATTGAGCGACATATCGTCAAGTTCGGTCGCATGAGGGTATCGGTGGTGTTGTTAAAGAGAAATCGTATCGATAGGTCCATCGCCATTTACCGGTACTGCAGCCCCATCGTTAGCATCGTGGGCAGGGACGAGTCGTAGTCAATAGTATTACCTTGATGAAGCCGATCTGGGTGGCTTTCTCTCTGTGGGGAGTAGTCAGTCGCTTAGGCCGGATATAGGACTTTCTAGGGTAGGGTGTACCTGAAGCATTGACGGCACAGCTTTTACGTTGTTAGCACATTCAGACGGCAGGAGTTTGACGAGAATAAGAGTATACATACGTTGAGACCGTACTTGCGGATCAAACCAGCTTGGTGGGTGCAAACACGGCTGTAAACATGTCAGTTGCGTTCAGATATCTTAGACAGCGCTCCAGTCGACCAGTCGACCAGACAGCCGGATGCGCAAAGTAGATAGCACACGGAGAGTCGCGTAGAATATACGAGAATTGGTATCGAAGGTGTAAATGCGTGTCGAAGTTCCAACATACCATTGACGAGAGCCCTTGCCGTAGTTACGGGGGCGGCTGTACCAGACGGATTCGTGAGACATGTTGGCGGTTCGTGAGACGAAACTGGAGGGTGATCCGAGGTGGTAGGTTCTCTGCAGAAGTTGCTTTGCGACCGTGAAGTTGAGATTTGCGAGTTGGGAGAGTATTTTGGACTGCGAGTGCAAATATGTGGTGCTGTGCGCCGTAACCCTATTCCGGAAAGATGGGTGGATATTTGGATACCTAGGTACAACTCGACACCTGGGGCACAGCTGTTCAAACGTTTAGCGAAGCGTGATACCATGTACATCTTATCGCATATCTTATCTTATCCAACCAGCCACATAAAGCTGTGCCACACCTGATACCAGCCATTAGGCACCTAGGTACCAGTACCTCTCTCAAGCTTAGTGTGAAAATTCAAATGACAAGCATGTTGATAAAGCAAGTCTTATAGACTGAGGCTGGGCCCAATCTACTATATCTCCCACAAGTAAACTTCTATTGCCTGGATGAATGTCAGAGTGTTGAGATAGAAGCTTCTAGGTAAGACTAGAGGTATAACAAGGGCAGATGACCGGGCTTGAGATTGAAGCTATCCAGATTACAATGATCAACTAGGAGTTCTTGACCAACCAATTCCTTCTTGACCTTGGCGTCTAGACTCGACTCTATCAACTGGCTTGCCAGACCTGAACACCTAGGTCTCATTAACTTGTTTCATCAAGCGAAGTCTATATAACCTCACTGTTCAATATTGTCTGTATGTCTCTAAAGATCATGAACAGCCTGCAATAACTTTTCGTGCGGCCGAAGTGCAATGCAGCAATCGGCCAATTTATCTTTTTCGAATTTCCTCTACTGGTCTAATCTGTCGTAGTATGATTTTCTTACTTTAGGGTTATTGTCAGGTTATCAGATCTCTCTCGCCAGGTTAGAGATAGGTAGTGCATAGGCAAGAAGCAAGGGATAAATCCTGTTATTAATATAGATATTCGCAATTAACGAGGAGGGCCGCAGTCTTTATATGGCTACACTAGCAAGTCGAAGTTACCTAGTTAGATGGTCTGCGATCGTCTTGATCGAGACACGTAAACAATAAGCGTAGCTGATAGAATCGCTAGAGCCTTTATAACTCTTCCGGGAGTGAGTTGGGCTAGGATATGAGTTGTTGCTGAGACCTTTGAGGATTTCTTAATCCACGGATGATTCGCCACCTCACTAATGGTGATCCTCTTAGCCGGGTCGTATCGGATCAGTTTTCGCAGTAAATCCGCGACTCCGATGACGTCTTGTCTGGGAAGGTAAATATATTTACGCTCGTTCCGTTCGTCCTGTGTCAACTCCTTGTTGTGATAGTTGGGGCAATAACTGTTTGGAAGGCCGAGCGCAGCCTCAAAATGATCTGCGTATCCTGTTCTCTTGACAATCTTCTCTCTCTCTTCGATCAGAGACTTATATTCAAATTTGTTTGTTTGTTTCTCCCACCTTAATTCATCGATCACCCCTGTCTCGTTTTCCGACTGAATGGGTGTGTTTGATGGTCGGCCGCACATGGCGTGGATTTGCTCCCAATATACAGCTCGGTATGGCTGGGGCAGACCACCTGGAAAGAACTCGAAGTCACGCAAAGTGCCCCCGAAACTTTTGCTGTCAAACATAGCCCCATTGCATACCAATTTGTAGAGAGTGGCAGCTAACGACCAGATATCGCTATGAAAGCCCGGCTGAAACGTCTTTTGCCAGATTATTTCTGGAGGTGCATAACTAATTGACATGACATTGAATTCAGACGGATCACTAATCAGATAAGACTCCCCAAAGTCCGTGATAGCAGGTGAGCTGGTGGCGAATCCTTCCTACCAACCGTATGCCGGCTCAATGAGATACTCAGGTGCATGTGGTGCCGGTGACTTTCCTGATTCCGTCTCTACCGGTAAGGTAGAGGGCTGTCTAAGGAGCTTCAACATTTCATCCTTGCCAATTTTATCAAGCCCCTTCACTCTCATCAAAACATTCCGGGCTTTCAGGTCACCGTGGCACACCCCTCGCTCATGTAAATAGCGGACTGCCTGCACCAAATCAACACACACTCGGTGCAATTAAATTTGCACCTGGCTGGATATCCGCCCATTATTCTCTCTTATATTTTTGCCACGGTGTGTGTTCGCGAATCCCCGGCGTTTTCGCCAAGAACGGGAAGAGCGATACAATAATGACGTCCATTTGGCCCGTCAATCCAAAATCGCTCCGAGGGTATAACAAGGTGGTTGTTCTAGAGCTCCATAGGCGAAGATGTCTGTAACAGATGACTGTAAACCTTTTCTTCTTTCGAATGTGCCGAGTCGGATGCCGTCAGAATCTTGACCGCCCTCCATTTATTAGTTTTCATATCATGGCATAGCCAGATGAGGCCAAAACCACCTTGTCCGAGTTTGCGCACAACCTCATAGCGTCCATTCAGCACATCACCTAGATTCACTGGATGATGCCTACATGTGTTGTATAAACCGATGTCCTCAACGTAGTCCACGCCTAATGGACGATATTCGATATATTCACTTTCACCGCCCTCGACCCGTTCGTCTTTGGGGGCATCGCTGTCAAACTTAGGCTGCATGCCCTGATCCGAATCTTCCATCTGCGAGCCTTGGGCGTGCATGTCAATCTGTGTTCCAGTGGACATTCTTTACCACTAACATTGTCTCCAGGAGTATAGAGACCGGGTTGATGTCAGACGCCGTGTTTAAAGGGACACCATAGCGGCGATCAAGCCTGGAATTGTTGGATGCGAAGGAGGAGATGTTAATAGGGTTAGATGATAAGGTGGAGTACAGCGGAGCAAGGCAGAGGAGCAATCAAAGTAAGGGATATGCAGTTAGGCCTGTAACTACTGATTTCCTATGCACTCTGTGTCATGAACTGAGTCCTTCTCCGGGCGACTAGATGTCATAACTACAAACATGGGTATTGACCCGTCTCCCTGTGTAAGAATGACACTGCCCTTCTTCCCCTAAATGACGAGGATGGAAACCGATGACCTACGGGCTGAATCCAGGACCGCTAACTCTAACACGTATTGGTGTAGCGATGTGTATCACTGAAAAATTCATACCGCGTAACGTGATGCTATCTATAACAAGTTCTAGCCCAGTTTGCGAAGCTTGTGCGACAGGTGTGGCCAGCCTGGGTAGCTCGTGGGAATTTTCCGCACAACAATACGCTATCAACAACCGGCCAATGAGAAATCACACTCCAGAGTTTACCATAGGACTATTAGGGGAGAGATCAGGGACCGCATAATGTATAGGGGGTTTTGACTACAGAGTGAGAAGAAGCCTAGTAAGAAGCGTGTGCGAAGAGAGTATGGGGTTTAGGTCTTAATTCCATTTATTCCTAGCGATCTTTACCTATAGCTGGTACCTCCAATTTATATATATCAGGGAATTTCGTCCCAGAGTGAGAGATAGCACTTAGGTAGCGGTTAAGGGGTTGTAGATATAGTAAATGTATGGGTTAGGGCTTAATTGTATTGATTCCTGGGCCTATATATATATATAAAACTACCCCTGTTCAGTGTTTAGACTCGTACTTTGCTGCAGAGTGGCGCTTTAGGTCCTGAGAATATAAATGGCTGGAACTTTGCCATGACCTCGCCGTCATGGTGCCTTTTCCCCCAAGTAGCGCCCCGGTCCCTGGAAAATAGATAGATAAAAAAAACAGTATCACAAAGATCATCTAGAAAGCACAAATTGCTATACAAGCGTGCTGCACCAATCGGTTGGGTGCGGGAAAAGCTTACCAGCCCCCAGCAGCATCGCAGACTTGGGTAGCAAGGGGAATGCGTTGAGCATAAAGATTTCCAGCCTCAGCCTTCTGCACAGCTTGGTCGAGGGCCGAAATTTCCATGGTTTGCCATCCGGGGATGGCAACCATAGCCGCCAGGAACTGGCTGGTGCTGCCAGCAGCAGACATGTCTTTCGCAATATCTGGGTACCACTGAGGTCGCTGCTGGAACATACCTGTTGCAAAAAACATATTAGTAAAAGCATGCTCTCTCTTCGTCTTTATACGGACGACGGGTCGATGCATAGGATAAAACTTACCAACGCTATCTTGGTCTCCGCCTACGAGATCATGGGGGTAGTTCAGAGACTCGGGAACAGCGTTGTTGGCATAGATGTGCAAAGTGGACTCCTGAAGGGCAGTGCTGATGACGGCAAGACAAGCCTGTCGGTTGAGACCCTCGGCGCGGACCTCACCTATGGCGGCAGCGGCATTACGGCTTTGAACATCGTCGAGACCCGGGTAGCTTCCGCTCCCGCCGCCGCTGCCACCGCCGCCGCTGTTGCCACCACCGCCACAGTATTCAGCGCCAGTACCGCAGTAGCCATACTGAGAGCAGCAGTATCCAGCGGGACATTGAGCCGCGCTGGAGCATTCTCCTTCTCTGGCATAAAGGAGGCTGCTGGCAGTGTACTGGGGGGCAGCAGCAACGGTCGAGGCGAGGGCGCCGAGGAAGAATAGAATAGATTTCTGCATAGTGATGGTTTGAGACGTGATGTTGTCAAGGAATGTAAGTCTGTTTAGAAATAAGAGACTACTAAGGAATGAAAGTCTGTTAAGGAGTGATAGTCTGATAAGAAATGAGTGTTTAAGCGACGAGATGGTCTGTGATAGTGATAAAGAGATGAAAATGATGTTTTGGGGAGGGATCATCACTCCTCTTTATATATTCATTGATGGGCCTCAGTGGCTTGTCTAGACTTAACCATCCTGTCCTAGCAACAGGTTACCAAGTCCGTCCCGCTGATGGCGAGGTCGTCCGTTTACCTTTTCCGGATTGACAATTGCATCGCAAAACAGTCAAGGCAGCTTATCAAGTGGTCACGTTGTTACCTTTGTTAGGAAGTCGGTCAAATTAAAAATCCTCCATTCTGAAGCTGAAAATGCGGTAAGCTTAAGGTAACTATGAGGTTCTCGAGCTCCCATATTCAGCTCTGGTTCCGTAGGAATCTTTACTAGTGCTAACGGGCACAGCCCTGAGAGCCTTGCGGTCCTGAAACTCGAAAGGAAGTGGCGCCGGCGATACCACGGTGCTTGAGAGAACGTTACATGCTGTCTGACATGAAGGTGGGATTAAGCCGTCTCCGTTAGAAAATTGCGACAGTTTAGACAGGAGCAAGTGATAGAAAGGAAGGTCGCTAGGAAACATAAGCTCAAACATAAGGGGTGGGGGCATGGATCGCGAATGCACCAAAGGGGAAGGTCTACCGTTTAATCCTTCTGAAAAGGGCAAAGCTGACTTTACCCGAAAAGACCATTAAGAATGTATGCGTCGCTATCACCGGTAAAGCATAAGATGTAGACTCAATCCTACTGGGAGGTCGAGCCCAGTTTGAAGTGATTTGTGAAGTCTAACTATAGTAGTAGGTGGACACATACGGTATCTCCACCCCGAAAAGTTCGGAGACAGACCGATGTCGCCGCATCCTCCGCGATGACCCGGGAGTCAGCACAGGCTCTCGTTCCGAGTTCCTTATATTACAAGCTTTGTCCGTAGAGGCTGAGATGGTCTTACCGCCAACCCCGGAGCTTTAGACAGCAAGCGCCATATTGCACTTCCAACTCATATGTCGTTCCAGTAGCATAGGCGAGCGGCACATCGTCTGAGGGGAATGTGAAGCAGTAGGGCGGAGAGAGGACACCAACTTCGCGGGCAGAGCCCTTAACAGTTCAGAAACAAAGCTAGGAAAAGAAGGAAGGGGTGAGGGATCGGTTTGTATAACTGTCTAACCTTAGGTACCTCGCTCAATCCAATTCTCTGTTTGTCCTGTACCTGGCATTAGGATTAAGAGGTGATCTGTGAAGCGTCACAATACTGCCACCACAATGCCTAGAATATTGAGATTGATTTATACGTTACTGTCGCTTCATAAAACTTGACAGCCCTTTTGTTACTCCTCTCCCTTGGTGTCCGGGAAATCGAGGACGTCATGTCTTGCGACTCTGTACAGCACGTACAGAAATTGTTGCCAAGACCGCCCACAGCTACCACGGCGGCGGGAACGGGCACGGCATCGGGTACAAAGCTCCGTAGATTGATAGTCATCTTATTAACAGCCAGATTGCGCCGCGCCTTGGAAGCCATATTGGCTAGAGATCACCAGAGGACAACAGCTCAGTCGTGTGTAACGGCGAGATCCTTTACAGGATCTGCATATAGCAAGACTCTCCAATTGACCCTGAGCATGCAGCCGACACTGTTTGGTTCCATGGTTTGGAGCATATTCTGGCAACTGGAGATAGACTGCAACTTGGTCAGTCCCTGGCTAAGTTCGATACTCTGCGCACTCAGACCTATTCTTAAGATAGAAGACATACGCCAACTAGCCAGGTTTTTTGCACATCGACGACCGCACGTGTCGTTGTTATGGCTAGGTATATTTCTCCTCGGCGACCAACGCACTACCTCGAGAGACGATGGAAGAGCGTCCATATTTCTGTTCGGCTGCTGTACCGGATACCACTTTGGCAGCCTAGACGGAGACTCCTCAATCGTTTCTAGACCTCACGGCATCACCTACTCGCGACGGAACAACCGTGAAGGAACGGGACTTTGAAAAGTGATGCGGAAAGTCTGTTCTATTGGAGCTCTTAGGTTGGATTGTTACCATTAGCATAGCGGAGTGGAATGAGGATATGTTTAAGTGTTAGTAACGTGTTACGAGTATCAATAAACTATGTAATTGCTAATTTGAAACGTGTTCCGATATCCTTTGTTTTTTACTCTTGGCACAAGGTTGTAAGGCAACAAGAAGACCCCTGCTGTACATACATAGCTTCAGCTTTACCTGCAAGAAGGCTGGAGGGACCTGTCAGAAGGGCTGTACAAGGTATACAATAAGCCCCTCTGTAATGGGCTAGAGACACTCAATCTGAGGGCGCGTAGGGCGTGGAGGTCACGATCTACGCAAAATAGGATCTGAATAGGACCAATCTAGTAACATGAACTAACTAACTCCCAGGCCCCTCGGGCTACCTAGAGAACTACGGTCTAAATACATGGTGGGGTAGGCCCCGGTCGGTCTATCACGTGACTTCGTTACGTACTAGAGACACTCAATCTGAGGGCGCGTAGGGCGTGGAGGTTACGATCTACGCAAAATAGGATCTAAATAGGACCAATCTAGTAATATAAACTAATTAATTCCCAGGCCCCTTAGGCTACTTAAAGAACTATAGTCTAAATATATAATAAGGTAAGCCTTAATTAGTTTATTATATAACTTTATTATATAATAACCCCCCCTTTTATTAATAAAACTATATCTTTATAATTATTAATAAAAAATAATTAAATATTTATTATAATAATTATTAAATAAAAGAAATAAATTAAAAAATTATAAAATAAAACTTTTATTATATAATTATTATAATAATTATTAAATAGGAAAAGTAAATTAAAGAATTATAAAATAAAACTTTTATTATATATTTATTATATTAATATAAATTAAGTTAAATTAATTAAAATGGTTAAAATAATAAATATAATTAAATTAATTAAAATAATTAAATTAATAAATATAATTAAAGGAACTATTAAATAAAAAAGGTAAATTAAATAATTAAAACCTTTAAGTTAAAATAATTAAAATAATATAAGGTATTATTATTTATTAAAAATATTCTTTTTAATATTTTCTTAATTTAAAAAGGTTAAATCCTTTAAATATTAAGTTTAATTTATATTAATTAATTTTTATTTATTATTTTTAAATTTATTATTATTTATTATTATTTATTATTATTTATTTAAAAATTTTATTAAAAAAGGTAGCATTTTCTTTATTAATACTTTAATTATAGTTTTTAATTTAATTATTAATTTAAAGTTTTATAAAAAACTTTATAGCATTATAATTAATTTATTATATATTATATTAATCTTTTATTATTATACGTTTAATTTATATTAGATATAAAATACCTTTAATATATATCTTTTATAAGCTTATAATTAATTAAATAAAGTTTTACTTTTATATTTTAAATATAAAAATTAAACTTATATTTATATTAATAAAGGTAATATATTATTTATATAATATAATATATATAATTTATTTATTAAAAAAAGTAATTTTTTAAATTATAATTAATTAATTTAAAATGTTAATAATATAATTAATAATATTTTATTTAATAAAAATTAATATATTATTTAAAAGTTTTTTAATTATAAATTTTATTTAAAGTAAAAAAATAATTTCCTTTATAAAAATATTATTTATTTATTTATTTTTAATATTATAAATAAAGCTTAAAAATAAATTTAACTTATTTATATATTTTAATTTAACCTTTTTTATTTATAGCTTAATATATTAATTATATTTTTTTTTATTATTATTTTATATTTTAAACTTATTAGCCTATTATTAAATTACTTTAAAGTTTAAAATTATATTAATTTATTAATTAATTAAAGTATTTATTATAATACCTTTAATTTTTTATATAATTTATTATATATATATAATTAAAAGTTTTATTAATTTAAAGGGGTTAATATTTAAATTAATAATTAAATATATTTTAAATATATTAATTTAAACTATTATAAGTATTATAAATTAATTATAATTTTTAATATAATATTATTTATTATAATTAAAGCATTTTATTACTTTATAGCTTTATTATTCTTTATTATAGGTTTAATAATAATTTAAACATTATTTTCCTTATATTATTAATTTAAATATTTTTATTATATTTCTTTTTTTATAATAATTTTTAAACTTTTAAAGCTTTATTATTAATTTATTTTTAAAACTAACTTTTTTTTAAATAGCTATATAATTAATTTAAATATTTATATATATAACTTATAAAAATAATATATATAATAAATTATAATCCTTAAAAAAACCTAATTATAATAAATATATAATATTAATTATTATTATTTTAACGCATCTCCCACTTAACCTGGCCACCTAATTGAGCTGGCCACCCCCCTAGCCCATACAATAAACGTCGGTGCGCTAATCACGTGATAATTTAATAACTCTACAAATAATAGTCGTATGAAATAATAAAATACACCATTAGATTCGTAATAAAAAGAGCTATTCAACGGTACCCTTTACTAATTCTTACGACTTATATTCGCGGAGTTATTAAGCAATACGCTAAAGTAAGCGCTAAATTAATCCTTGCTTAGCGCCCCTTTAGCGTATTGCTTAATATCTCGCTTAATAAATTTTGTAAAAAATAGTAAAAAATACCTTTAGATTCCCCTTTAACTAACAGATTTAACAGTATTAATTATTAAATCGTACGATTAATATTCGTAAAGTTATTAAAGATTGAAATAATGGGGTTTTATATAGGTTATTGGGGTGGCCAGGTCAATTGGGTGGCCAGGTCAAGTGGGAGATGCGTTAACCTTATTACTTTAATTAATTATTACTATTTAAACCTTAATAAGCTTATAAATCAATTTAACGTTAAATAATTCCTATAATTTT